GGGGGGGGAGGGAGAGCCGCTGGTCTTCCTTATGCGTGCGCCTCGGGAGGGATTACATCCGAGCTGGTGCACATCCTCGAGCTTACCTTACCTTGTAGTGCCGACAGGCGATGCTTAGAAATCCACAACGACTGCTGCAGCACAAAATCCAACAGGGTGGTGAGATTTCCTGTACATCATCGAAGGAAAGTGCACATGTAGATGCAAACAAAGATGCATTTCAAGATGAGAGAGATAGAGTTCATCAGCCTCAGATGGCAGATCTCATGCCACGCGCAACAACGACCAATCGGGACTGGGGTGCAGACAGCGGCTCCAGAAGCTTAAATGGACGATGACAGCTTGCGCTTTGCAAATAGGGAAATGGCCTTCTTCGTCATTCAGCAATACTATGGCGTGATCCCAAAGAAGAAGACTCCAAGTCCGATGAAGCCAGCGTGCCAGCGTGCTCTCTATGTATCCGTGTGTGTGGGGGGTCCACGGGAAGTGGAACTCTACAAGGACGCTATTCCCGGCGGCAACAACGAAACAAACACCCGCCAACGTGGGCAGTTGAACCCAGGCAAGCGAGGACAGCTAGGTAGCCGCCATGCAAAACACAAAACAACGTTGGACATATTGAAAATACGAGCGAGTTTGCTTGCTAATCAATGACGCAAAGGCCTTGCACAAGGGTCTCAACCGTGCAACTTTACCCCACCGTCGTGGCCGGTTAGGTATCAGTCACCTCCGGCCCGGCCCGGCCCCGACAACGCCAACCAGCAGGCCCCAGGGTGTATCATTTCCTTGACTCTCTCAAAATGCAACGACATGCTTTGCGCAGCAAGTCTTTACGCAGCAAAAAGTACTAGTTAGAAAACTCCATCTAATCGAGCCGGCATGAACGCTGACTCGGAGATCATATTTCTGTTCACTCGCTCTCTCAGAGATCATCCGACAGGGTAGATGAGTATAAAAGACCAACACCAGAAGCAAGATGCGCTTAAATTACTAACATTCAGTCAGTTGAGGATGCAGTAGCGTTCGGGCACTGCCCTTCCGCCCGCCCATTCCTTGTGCAACTTGGGATGTTTGCCATTTGTAATCAGTGTCTTTCGTCCTCAGCTCCTTGACTTGATCTAATTATTCGCTTCTCATGAAGTCGCTTATGGGTCATAGCATAACGTCTCACGGAAGTACCAGATGGCTACTAAGCAATTGCTCCTTCACAAGCGAATCTTGACGGCTACAAACGACGAGTCGACATGATTCCCAAAACGTAGCAACTAATAATTTCACCTGATACAATGTTGTCTCAGCTAGGTTTTCTCAATTTCCGACCTCCGCACCCAAACCTCGTCAATAACATCACCGCTGCCTTTGACACAAACCCATTGCCCTATTCCGTACTCCTTGGGCGCAACTCGACAGCCTCTGCCACCTCCGCCGACAATCAAGTTCCCAGGTCTGTAATTCTCATCACGCTCCATTCGCCGTATCACGCTTCCGTGAATCCTTACCTTGTCGGGAACATCGCGGACTTCCCCTCGCGGCAATGGCCATCTGATTGGTTTCCAACTGCCGTCTGGCCTGAGGTCTAGTCTCCTAAATGGGAGATACTCCATCACTCGCCACATGAAGACGCTGGCTCGATGCATGCCACATCCAAAATCAAGAGAATCGTGGATTTTGGCTTCATGTGCCGTCTGGATCATCTCGTTGAACGGTGTGACGGTGCAGTTGTGTGTTGACGTTTCCGAATCTCCTGCGTTCTCTGTCACCGAACCGGTTGGCGATGCGGGCCGAGAGCCGATAGGGGGAGAAGGGGCGTCGACATGAATTTCCGGAACTGCGATCGCTTCACACGGCGTGGGAGTCGGCGACTCTCTTGCAGTCTGGGGATTTGGTCCGGCTACTGATTGGACACAGCCCAGGTACTCGAGTTGGCCGAGGTCAAGAGTCAATCCTGCTCGCATAGCTTCTCTCACCATCCACACCAAAGGTATATGGCTGGCGTTCTTACGGCCAGGAACGGCATCCCATCCTCCTCCGATGTCGCCGTGCCCTCCAGAGAACCACACCTCATCAACATCCTGGTCGGCTTCGTCGTCGTCCGAGTCGTAGGTGAGGTCCTCCATGGGCGGCTTGGAGTTGATGGACGATGCGTCATGATCCGTATACGCGTGGCCTGTCCGATCTGTTGCTCGAGATCTGGATCTGGAGCGGCTGCGGAAAGGAGCGGGATGGTCTGCATCTTCTTCTTGTTGATGGACTCGGCGCCTACCACGGTCTTCTTTCGCCACGGCGTCATCGGGTGCAAGTGTTGATCGCCGACCTGGTCGATACTTTTCTTGAAATTCCTGCACTTTTTCGTTGAAAGGGTGATGCTCCATCATTCGCTTGGCTACGGTTTTCTTCCGACTCTTCTTGGGCTCTTGGTAAATGAGGTCCTGTCGAAACTTGGCGCGTCGCTCATCAATGCTGACAGCATGTCTGATGACCTTTGCAGAGGATCGTGCTGTATACGGGAACTTGCTGCGCTGCATCCACGCTGTCTCGAAGCGCGGTACACTGTTCACGGTATCGAAGAGCCCCAAAAAGCGGATTCGTCGAATCGGTCGCGAGAATGTCTCCCTAAAGCCTTTGAGAAACTGATACATCTTCTCTCTGTCTTCTTTACCTTCCGGTGTCGAGTTTGTTCTTCTGCATTGCCATTGAGAGAATGAGCTCCAAGCGAAAGCGACCATTTCCTCATTACCATGGGCAAGAAGACCGACGAAGTCCAACATCTCTGCTAGGAATCTAGCAACATAGGCGCCTCGGGAAAAGCCGAACATGTAGATATCGTCTCCTGGCGAGTAGTATCTCATCAGGAATCGGTATCCCCCCACAACGTGCTGATCGAACGAGGAGCCAACCGCAGAGTCCTTAGCCATCTGGTACCAGGACCTGCATTTGGCTCTAACACCGTTGTGCGTCAGGTTTTCTGACACAACGTATGTCCCGATACCGGCTATGATGATGAATATTTTCAGTGACATGGAGTTTTCACGCAATTGCGGCGGCACTCACGCTGATAGTAATGATCTAGAAACCCCGTCAGCCTCATCGTTCCAAAAGCAATTGATTGTATGCAAAAAGTCTTACATTGGTCATCTGCATTGCTGTCGAGCATGCGGAAAATTTTGAGAATATTGCTGTCACTGTCATCTCCACGGAATTTGTTGCCGGTACCATCAAAACATAGGATCAGCTTCCTACGACCACCACCATGCTGACCTCCCCTACAAGCTCCATTGCCACATTGACCATCTGCAGCGGCTGTGTTTGGTGGATGTTGATTGTTCCTTGATGGATCGCGTAAGTGATTCGGCATTGTGAAAATAGAAGGAGACAAATTTTCAAAGAAAGCAGTTCTCGGAACCCAACAATAGCTGGACACTGTTGGTGGGAGGTGAAGCAACCAATGCTGGCGAGGGTTAATTTTCATATACAATCATGGGTACTACAGAAGGCTTGGCACGATGCCCTGGATTGAGACACTCCGTAGCCCGTTATGTACTGATTGAGGTGCAGCGTAAAGTCAGGAAGTCTGCATGTTTCTAACTAATGGCCCTCATCGAAATGCAAGCAGACAATTCGAATCTGATTTGCGTCACCAAGCCGAACTAATACGTCTGTTTCACTCGAAGGATAAGACAAGATATCGTATTAGTAGACAGGCACAACAGAACAGGTAAAAAGTCCTACATACCGTACAAACTCGCCAGATCCTCCCTACGCTAGCACGTGCTTTCCTTCCGTTAAGCTGTATTCAGGATAAGAACAACGCTGATCTTCGCCAGCAGTAGAGGGTTGGATTCTGAATAGAGGCACTCATTGGCCAAAAGCCTTCCGAGACACGTAAAGCACGGGCTAGCGCAAGTACGAGTGTGACGAGTCTCTACGGCATGTCAAATTTTCAAAAACTCGCGAGTCGGCGAATCAACAAGAAAACACAGGTGATCACATCCGGCATTAACTCCGGTCCTATTGCTCCCCCAGCTTACGCCCCATGAGATTAGTTTGAGACAGATCTGCTATCCGCGCCCAGGAAAGGAAGTTTTCGGACCGCGGATAATTCGCACTAGCATTCTGAGGCGTGCCTGAGTTATTCTTTCAGTGAAGAGAGACACAATCATTTTCCATGTCTTGGTGGGAAGGGAGAAAATTTTCGAGCTTAGCAATCCTCGAGACATGACACCAGAAACGGAAAGCGTAAGCTCTTGTTTCGGACGCGCTTGTTCCGAGACCTGCCCTTACGCCCTACTACCTTAACTCATGTTGTCCAAACCCTGAGGAAAGATGCGGGTATGCGATAGGGGCACGAGACATGGTTGAGCCAGGTCTCACTACTACTCTAGCATCCCGCGCGAGACAGTTCGAATAGGCAAGATAGTGATTAATGTGACGTCAATGACGCCCGAAAATAATTGCCTGATCTGCGATGAATTGGGTTCCAAGACACAGCTGATAGTTAGTCAAACTCTTTTTGAGTCTTCAGAACGCCACATGCAAACCATTCCGTTGGAGGATGCTACCTCGAAGGAATCATAGCAAGTAATGGAGATTGAGCAACACTGCAACAGTGAAGTCTGAACTCACGACGTTCATTGCACAACATATACGAACAGAACGTACCGAAGATCGGGTACACGTGAAACGTTCTCAAGTGCTATGCAAGCTTCTAGTGGTCCGAACAAGCTCCTGTTGAGCGGCAGAGTAGCTTCTTAAGTTGAGGGAGGAGTTCCACTCGGAACACCATGGACGTTGTGTACCACATCCGGTAACTCTCCTTATCCCACTATCCCGTTAAAGCATCGCCGCGCAGCGGTTCCCGAAGAAACGTCTCACAACACCAAAGTAGTGCTTCGGAAGCTACCGCGAGGAAATGATCGGCACCGGTCAGGTCGATCAATCTCCCTTACGCCGGTACCACATGTAAGGCGGTACGGGCGTCAGGTCACGAACGGAGCTATCATGGACGGTTGCAGCTGTTTATTTGACCGATCTACCACCGGTGTCGCGTAACTGGCCGCCGACGTGGAACATACTTGTCTTAGACACTATCTGAGACAGATAGAGACGATCGTATTGTGTCACATTTGGCATTTGTGCTCATAAACCATTTTCCACCACCGCTGTAGTAAGCAATTATGCATGGACCGAAGCAGGAGATATCGAATGGCGGACATATGGATTACACACATCTTGCTCCAACTGGAAGGTATAATAAATAGACGCGGTCGCCCTACAAAACAGCGCTGACAGAGCGTTGCACCTGATCACAAGGATTGCTCACAATTGATGATTGCACGATGAAATCTTACAGAAACGGAAGCAATTCAAGCGCTGGCGCTGATGAGCACGAGCGCACCAACGCTGCTACCAGCAAAGAGAAGCCCCAACCTGGCCCAAGCCGAGCATCCGCTCGATATGGCTCACATGATGTCAAGAAAAAGGGATTCTCGAATCTACGCCAAGCCTCCAAGCGACCAATGCCTACCCAGCGCGGGGATGGGACTTATCCTTCAGAAGTTATTCGACCTACCATGGTCCAGAATCTGAAAGCCCTACAGGCCGCAGGTTGGTAGATCCCCTTGCTGGTACTGTGAAGTTGGGCAAATACTAACGTCGAGAGAAGATCTCAAGACACTAGTCCAGATCATCAAATCCAAGATCAAAGGGGAGAAGATCCAAGATGACAAAACCATGATCATGGAACGGACCATTCAGATTGTCGCCAAGCTCCCACATAACTCTCGCCTACGAGAGCAACTAACAAACACCTTCATTGAAGAACTGTGGGGATCACTCGATCACCCTCCGATGCTGTATATGGGCGATGAATTCAAATATCGCCGTGCTGATGGATCTTATAATGTGAGTTGAGTGGTAATAAAGTTCCATCAATGTGATCTAACGATAAGGTTGTAGAATCCAATGCTACCAAGGCTAGGAGCCGCCGGAGGGCCTTATGCCCGGTCTGTCAAGCCTCGCATTGTCACCCTCGGCGCTATGCCGGATCCTGGCTTGATCTTCGATTCCGTGATGGGCCGCACCAGTTACAAGAAACACCCCAATAATGTTTCGAGTATTCTGTGGTATTGGGCGACCATCGTCATCCACGGTGAGTCACTTCCTCATGACGAAACATCGCCCGAGACATAATCTGACGAATAGCAGATCTTTTCTGGACGGACTTCAAAGATATGACCAAGTCGAAAACGTCTGCATATCTGGATCTCTCGCCTTTGTATGGAAGCAACCAGGAGATGCAAGATTCAATCAGGACGTTCAAGGATGGCAAGCTCAAGGCCGATAGTTTCGCTGACAAGCGTCTGATCGGAATGCCACCAGGCGTTTGTGTCCTCTTGATCATGTTCAACCGGTTCCACAATCATGTGGCGGAGAATTTGGCTGCAATCAATGAGGGGGGAAGATTCACACCACCAGGTGACAGTCTCAGCGGGGAGCAGTTCACCAAAGCTCTGAAGAAGTACGACGAAGACCTGTTCCAGACCGCACGTCTTGTGACATCTGGCCTCTACATCAATATTACGTTGGTCGATTACGTACGCAACATTGTCAATTTGAACCGGACCAACACAACTTGGACTCTTGATCCCCGACAAGAGGCTGGTATCGATGCCGGCACACCTGATGGAGCCGAAGCAGGTACTGGCAATGTCAACTCCGCAGAGTTTAACCTTTGTTACAGATGGCATTCGTGTATCTCGGACAAGGACGACAAGTGGATTCAGAAGTTCTACAGCAAGCTTCTGGGCAACAAGGGGCAAATGTCTCCTCAAGAGATGGCCTGCGTTTTCGGACAATTCGAGAAGTCTATTCCAGATGACCCTGCACTGCGTACTTTTGCGGAGTACGAAAGAGGCGATGACGGAAAGTTTGACGACGACGACCTCGTGGACTGCATCAGCTCCGCGATCGAAGACTGTGCCGGAGCGTTTGGAGCTCGAAATGTTCCCCAAGTTATGCGGCCTGTGGAGATCATGGGCATCTTGCAAGGACGCAAGTGGAACGTTGCTGGTCTAAACGAGTTCCGCAAGCACTTTGGTCTCAAGCCCTACGACCGCTTTGAAGACATCAACTCGGACCCGGCTGTCGCAGACCAGCTCAAGAATCTATACCAGCACCCAGACTACGTTGAACTGTACCCTGGTCTCGTCGCTGAGGAGGCAAAGGCTCCCTTAACACCCGGTGTCGGCATTGCTCCCACGTACACCATCTCACGTGTCGTTCTTTCGGACGCTGTGTGCCTTGTTCGCGGTGACAGGTATTACACCACTGATTACAACCCCCGACACTTGACCCAATGGGGGTACAAGGAGGTGGAGTATGACTTGAATGTCAACCACGGCTGTGTTTTCTACAAGCTGTTTCTCAGAGCTTTCCCCAACCATTTCAAGGGTAACTCTGTGTACGCGCATTACCCCATGGTGATCCCGCCGGAAAACCACCAGATTCTCACGGACCTGGGGAGAGTCGACCAATTTGACTTTGAACGCCCCAAGCCCACCCCACCGAGGACCGACATTGTGTCGTTTGGCGGCGTCAAGTACGTTTTGGACAGCCAGGATCGATACAAGGTGACATGGGATGATGGTTTGTCCTTCCTCATGGGCAAGGGTGGAAGCCGCTTCATGCTTTCCGGAGACACTGATTTCCACACGAGCCAGAAGAAGTGCATGGGCGCCCAACTCTATCAAGACGACTGGGGTTCTCATGTCAAGAAATTCTACGCCGAGATGACGGAGCAACTCCTCCGCGAGAAGTCATACAAGCTTGCCGGTCAAACGCATGCTGACATTATCCGGGACGTGGGCAACATCGCCCATGTCCACTTCGCCGCCAGGGTGTTTAATCTTCCTCTGAAGACCAACAAGAACCCCAAAGGCGTCTTCACTGAGCAGGAGATGTATCAAATCTTGGCGGTCATCTTCGTGTGCATCTTCTTCGACATCGACCCAGCCAAGTCTTTCCCTCTCCGACAGGCTGCCAAGGAGGCAGCACAGTCGCTAGGCAAGCTGATTGAGACGAATGTCAAAATCACTACGAAGACCGGGCTTCGCGGGATCTTCACTGGTTCGGCGGATAAGCAAGATCCCCTCGCATCATACGGAACCAACATGATCAAGGGCCTCGACAAGGCCGGCCTCAGCACCTATGACATCGCGTGGAGCCAGATTCTGCCTACATCAGGAGCTATGGTTCCGAACCAAGCCCAAGTCGTAAGTTCTTGTCAATGCTAGAAATCATGTTCATGTACTAACCTACGCCCAGTTCGCTCAAGCGGTTGATTACTATCTCTCGTCTCCAGGCTCGGCCCATCTTGATCAAATCCATGCCGTTGCCCTAGCACCCTCCACGAAAGAGTCCGATGCGGTATTGCTTGGGTACGCCATGGAGGGTATCCGGCTTGCAGGCACATTTGGTTCCTACCGTGAGGCAGCCCAAGACGACGTCATCGTGGAGGATGATGGTCGAGAAGTGCCTGTGAGACGGGGCGACAAAGTTTTTGTTAGTTTCGTAAGTATCCGTACCGCCCACCGAGACTATTGTGAATTTCCATCTCATATGATTTCCAGGTTTCTGCTGCAAAGGATTCGAAGCACTTCCCGCAGCCGGAGGAGGTCAACCCGCGGAGGCCGATTGACTCTTACATACACTACGGCCTCGGCCCACACTCCTGCCTGGGCCGCGATGCAAGCCAAGTTGCTCTCACAGAGATGTTCAGAGCGCTTTTCCGGAGGAAAAACGTCAGGCGCGTACCGGGCCCTCAGGGACTTTTGAAGAAAGTCCCAAGGCCTGGTGGTTTCTTTGTGTACTTGAAGGAGGATTGGGGCCAAATTTGGCCGTTCCCTGTCACCATGAAGGTGATGTGGGACGATAAATGAGTTGCACGATCTACAGATACTCTAGATCTATACTACGTCATGCGACCTAGCGACGGGTAGCTTGCCGGCCGTGGAGAATGAATTTGAGCCTCCCAATCAGGTTGCTTTACTTCTGTCGGTGATCAATGTTCAATTTTGATGAATGGAATGAATTCTCCATTTAACAATCTGTGAAATAATGGGTTCCTTCAGCTGAGACTGACCCTTTTCGGAGAGTATCCGTGGACCAGTGTCACACGTCTCGGTATATCCACTTGCCATCCCTGCATATCCCTGCGTTGGTGATGGCCAGTTAGGGGCGATCTTTGGGTTGTGAGATGGGGTCGGTCCCTCATCCCTTGACAGCGGTAAGCAGAGACACACCGGGATCGGCATCCCAATCAGGCACTTTTGGCGGAGAGGGGTCCTTGTCTTCAAATGTTTGTGAACGCCTATCCCTTTGCGGCAGAACACACAATTGCTCCTGGTCAAATGGGGGATTTTGATGCCAAGCTTCGAGACAACAACCGCCTTGCGGCTTTGAACCAACCGAGGACAATTACGGTATACTTGTCAAGCTCCTGCCTGCTCTTGCCATAATGCAGACTGGGGATATACAATCCTGTTTTGCATTTTGTTGGTGATATTGACATTGTTCTTGTCCAGTACGCTTCTTGGGGGGCGAGAATTCATTAGTTTGCGCCCGGCTGTCTTTGTAGAAACTGAAGGCTTTTCCTAGAAGTGAAGACCAAAAAAAGGATCTGCTGGGCGCCAGATTGGACCAGGGCATTAAAAATCCCAGTTTCTGCAAAAGCTCTGAACATGCATGGCATGCAGCAGATCCGCAGGGAGGGGGACGGTGAAGGGTCAAAGCACGCTGCACTTCGCATAAGAAATGAAGGAGGAAGAGAAGCGGTGGCCCCAGCGTGCCTAGCGGTTGATGGATTTAACAATCTTGAATCAACTTGACAGTTTAACTTAGTAGGCTGACAGCTTTCGAACGTGCGGCCCGTGTTGTTAGGTTGAGCTGACCAAATCAGGCGCGCGGCCCATGCCACCCACGCCCACAACGTCAGTTTATTTCCAATTTATTTTCTGCCTTATCCCTTGAAATGCGTGGGAAGACCTGGAGCTAGAGATTGAGAGTCCTTGATCTGGGCAGTGGGATGCCGGAAGCGGGTAAGTATTTTCCCCCTCCTCCCCCTTTCTTTGGATAAGAGCACTGTTTTTGGACCTCGGGCGGCTGAACCCCCCACTTGCGGCCCTGATGTTGGCCAGTGATGTTTGGGTGCGTTTATTAACTCCGGACGACGTCGCATTTTTCTGTTTCGCATAGCCAAGCAACCCCTGAGTTTTAATATATCTGGGGTACAGCACCCAACCACGATATCCACCCTGGCGCGTGGACACTGGACCATCACATCAATGATCAGAGAACGGATAGACGGCCTACGTTGTAGCTGGGTCAGCCTCGTAGACCCATGTCCGTCCTAGGGGGCCATGTGCTGCAAGCGCATCATCGAACCTGCCATGTCGTAAGGTAGAGGGCACTCAATCCCGGGCCGTAGCACCGGCATTGCTTGCCTACCTCGGCCGGGTCTGGATCGCGCTCCGGGATGGCCCTCCGAGCGGACGTCACCCGACGGACCTCGCACTTCTATCCGAATGACTAGTTTTACTATTGAACATTCCCCTATTCGCCCAACTTCGTCTCCCGTGGCTCATCTTCCATTCGTCAGGCCATGATACCAAGCTACACCACTTTCCACGCTGCCGGGTCCCGACGATTCCCACATTCTTGGCCGGAGGAGTGCGGATCTACAATATCAGATGCATATTGCTGACCCCCTCCCCTCGCCTAAACGGGGCTGGAAACTGGGGCTAGGCTCTAGCCATGGCACCTCGAAGCAGTCAGTCCCGATTTGGGGCTTCCTTAGCCATGCCTTGTCGTTGAAGAAAACACATATAATCATTGGCACACCTTCTCAGGCAGCCCTCCTTTGCTCTTGATCCTTCTCTCCAACAACTTCATTTCTGTTGCCATTTGCACTGGTTGCTGTTCCACTTTCTTTTGCCCATCTGTGACGGGTGTACACTCTCTTTGACACTCTTGTGTTCCGTTCATTTCCCATCAAACGCCTCATTCCCACATAACGACGTTAGAACCACACATTCTCTTCCAAGCAGCAAACCTTACAATCATTCATCATGTTCAAGTCCCTCCTTACAACGGGGCTCTTGGCTGCGGCTGCGGTCGCCCAGCAGACAACCTCGTATGTCGACTCCGCAACCGGCATCACCTTCCAGAGGTACACCGAGACTTCTGGATTCTCCTTCGGTATCGCCCTGCCATCAACTGTTGGCAAGGACTTCATCGGCCAAATCTCTGCTCCCATCACCGCGGGATGGGCCTCCGTCTCGCTTGGTGGTCCCATGACCAACAAGCTTCTTGTTGTTGCGTGGCCCAACGGAAAATCTATCCAGACTTCCATCCGCAAGGCATCAGGATACTCGAATCCCGACGTTGTGACCGACTCCGGCATCACTCTCAAGCCCATTGAGTCTGGTACCTCGATCAATGCCACTGCCTTCACCTACACCTTCGTCTGCGAGGGTTGCATTACCGGTGACTCGACAACCTTCACCGGTACCTCCGATGATACCACCTTTGGCTGGGCTTACTCGACCACTGCCCTTTCCGACACCACCAGCGCTTCCGTCGCTCTCAACTACCACGGTGCTGGTTTCGGCCTCTTCGGTGCGAACCTCGCCGGTGCCAAGTCCGCTGACTACGCTACTTGGGCTGCGAAGGCATCCGATGCTGTCGCTACTCCCACCGCTGGCAACGGAACCTCCACGGCCGTTCCCGCCAAGATCACCACCACGATTTCCAACACTACCTACGACTACATCGTCGCTGGTGGTGGTGCTGCTGGTCTCATTGTCGCCGAGCGTCTGGCCGAGTCCGGCAAGAGTGTTCTTCTCCTTGAGCGCGGAGGACCTTCTTTGGCTTCCAGCGGTGGCAAGGCTACTGTCGACTGGAACAACACGGTCACCCAATATGACGTCCCTGCCATGGGTTACTACCTCGCGACCGCCAAGGAGACCAGCGAGTACTGCACGGATACCGCTTCTCAAGCTGGCTGCCTTCTCGGCGGTTCTACCATGGTCAACGCCATGATGTGGGTTAAGCCTCCCGCTCATGACTTTGACGACAAGTGGCCTACGGGCTGGAAGTGGAGCAACGTCGAGGAGTCTGCCAACAAGCTCTACGAGCGCACCCCGGGAACCATTCTCGCCAGCAAGGACGGAAAGCGCTACGACCAGGGCGCCTACGACGTCATGTCCCAATGGTTGGCTAGCAACGGTTTCTCCGAGGTCGACGGTCTCGCTGAGCCTAACAAGAAGGAGGCTGTCTTCACTCACCCCCCTTGGTTGATCGAGAACGGCATGCGCGGCGGCCCCGTTCGTGACTATCTTCCCCTTGCCCAGGCTTTGCCCAACTTCAAGTTGCAGCTCAACGCCAAGGTCATCCGCGCCATCCGCAACGGTACCACCATTTCTGGTGTCGAGATTGAGACCGCCCCCAACGTTCGCCAGATCATCAACTTGAAGTCTGGTGGCGCTGCCATCCTCGCTGCTGGCGCCCTCTCTTCCCCTCGTATTCTGTTCAACAGCGGTATCGGCCCCAAGGAGCAGATCCAGACTGTCCAGAGCGGAACTACCCAGGTCACTCTTCCTGCCGAGGCCCAATGGATCGACCTTCCCGTTGGCAAGAACCTCAAGGACCACCCCATCTTCACCGTCAACTTCAAGACCAAGTCGACTCTCAACTCTTTGCCCAGCACTGCCTTCACCGCTCCCAGCCAGACAGACGTCGACGAGTTCGCTCAGGGCTCCGGAGTTCTCAGCCAGGCTGGACAGCGCCTCAACTTCTGGACCAGCATCGAGGGCTCTGACGGCGGAAAGCGCTACGTCCAAGGTACTGTCAACTCTCCCGCCAACGACACAATCCGCGTCAAGGTCTACCTCACCCACGGTCTCACCTCCGTCGGTGCTCTCGGCATCTCTGCGGACGGCTCTACCAAGCTGACCACCGAGCCCTACCTCACCACCCCTGAGGACAAGGAGGCCATCATCAGCTTCATGAACCAGCTCATCCAGTACGCCTCCAAGTCCAACAGCACCCTGACTCTGTCCGGCAATGTTACCGCTGAGAGCCTCATCTCCGAGCACACCACTGGTAGCCACTTTGTTGGCAGTGCCATCATGGGTTCCACCAACGATGGGAACAGTGTTGTCGACACCAAGACCAAGGTCTGGGGCACTGACAACCTCTACGTCGTCGATGCCTCCATCCACCCTGACTTGCCTACTGGTAACACCCAGGCTATTGTCATGGTTGCTGCTGAGCACGCTGCCGCTCAGATCCTCGGAGGAGCTGGAAGCGCCGGCAACTCTAGCTCTGAGTCCAGCTCTGGTTCCGGCTCCGCCACTGGCTCCGGCTCCAGCTCTGGTTCTGGCTCCGGCTCCAGCACTGGCAATGGCTCCGGCTCGGGCTCCGGTTCCGGCTCGGCTGGTTGCAAGCGCTCCGTCAAGCGTTTCGAACGCCTCCAGCGTTTCCGTCGTGCTCGCCACAGCTTCTAAACATGTTGTGAATATGCTCTTATATGTGTATACTTCTTTCTAGGTGTGAAGCACTGCCATTTGTATATAAAAGTAAATAGTACCAAGACATGATTTCAGTATAGCTCTCTTGCCATCGTTTTCCATTTCTTCATATTCCAGAGGTAATCCAGAGTCCTGGGTAAGCCCGCTCATGAGATAAATCTGGTTTTCGTTGACGTCATCCAAAGGCAGTCCCAAGGGTAGTATTGATGCATCAAATGTCTTGTTTTGTCAATCGGTTTCCGTACATATCAAAGCCTCACAAGTCTGACAGGACTTTCGGGGTTCTGGGCTGATGACGACTGTAGCACCACACGCAATACGGGGATGTCACCCTCCATGGGCAAACTTGTCAAAGAGGGAGGCACCGATATGCAACCCGACTGTCAGGAGGGAGTAGCCATGGGTTTCGGATCGAAAGGCGGCATCCGCCAAGAAGCTGTCAGAGAGTATCTTGCGGGCGCGGATGCGGCCGTCGCATTGTCCTAAAGCTCCATGGTGGGACGCATGGCACAATGAGCTTTGGCAGGAAAAAGTAAATATGAGGGTGGGCCAACCGAAGCGATCTTGCTCCGCAATAATCAAAGGGTTCGAGACAGCATTTACACAAGGGGAGGTCATCTAGCCGGGCACTGTCATCGGCTCTTTAACTTTTGTTACAGAATTCAGCCGGCCTTCGCCAACCATAACGGATGTAATGAAGGCAGTAGACGACGCTCGCCATTCGTATGAAGTTGTACCGAGCATTTGGTGATTGACAACTAGACACGCCGGCTCAGAGGTAGGCTACCCACAACCTATCTCGGATGAAATTGTGTCATGGCGGAGTAGAAACAATGCGCAGTCCATGTAGAATCAATTCATCAAAAACTGGACTTGCGGCTCGCCATTGTTTCTCAAGCTTCTATGGTCTCTTTTGCGTGGTGTGGTTGACTTCGGCTGCGGCTGGCAGGGGTCAAAGAGGCTAATAGTTGGCCAGTTCTCAAGACCTTTCTTTTTCCACATCCTGCAAAGACTTGCAAAGAGCAAACGAGTGATTAATGTAAGCTGGAGGTCTGGAAGAGCCTGATTTGGCGCTAGCAATGCAGCTAGTATGGTGCAAGGCATCAGCGGAGGGAGGGGTTTCCAGACCAGCACACCGGGACGGAGCTTCCGAGGATCACTTGCATGAGGCCTGAATCCAAGACCCTGGGATAGGGAGGTAGGTTGCCCTTGTGATTTGACGGAGGCGAAATCTGTCACTATTCCATCAAGCACGAATAGTGCCCCAGGTTACCGAAGTGCATTGTCCTAGATCCGCGAAGGATCGGATGGCGCAACATCAACCTCTGAAAGCCGTCTTAACCCTAGTACGCAACTTAGAAGCTGGTTGCAGATTATTCTACCAGATCTATACTGCAGCGTTACATAGCCCCTCGGAAACTCATTTCATCCAATAGCCGGACAAATTAGAAACCGTCAATTACCCTCAAGTTAACTGCATGAATAGCTCACTTGGCTCAGTAAACAACGCAGCCAACCGCATTTATGATTTATGACTGCATGCATGCATGCGCTCCCTGGTACGTACAGTCTCGCCTCCACGACAAAGCTGTCTTCCGACTCGCCCTTCTGACAGATCTCTTAGAGACCTTGATCCACGTCAAGGTCCGAGACGGCATGGCTTCGGACGCTTGCTGTCAAGCGAGTGATACAAGGAGCTTTCCTAGTGTCGACTAGTCCCCGTAAGGGGCCTTGGCCACTCAGAGGTTTTATGTGATTGACAATTATACACACTAAGCCATCACATCGTGCGGGGCGACCAAGGATTACTATTCCAAAGCTTTGAATGTTTCCTTTTTGACGTGAATGGCATCCTTACCTTGCATCAACGAGGTCTGGCCCTCCTACAAGAAAAGATCCCAGAGGCCGTCCACTTGCGCAGACCCCTTCATCGGACTGCAATTCCGTCGTTTCCGACCCTTTAGCTCAGAATTTACACGTGCTATGGCCGTAGAAGTGATATATTTTTTCTTTCTTTTTCTCAAAAAGGTTTGACATCTTCATCGGAAGCGGACCAGAAGCCTCCTTAAGTTGAGATGGGCCCCGGCCGTGGAAATCATTGGTGTTGAATATGTGATTTCATTTCGCAAATTCTGTGACTTCCACAGCGTCATCATGTCTTTCCGCCCAATGAATTCAGATATTCTAGCAAGTCTTTCTAGGCGCAATAGCTCAACTGCAGCTCCATTCGTGATTGACGTTTCCAAAGACCCTGCGCCGAGGGTCGTCGGTTCGATATGGGCCATGATCTCGGTATCAACTGTTTTCTTATTTCTTCGAGTTTATTGCAAGAGAATCAGGTCGCGAGGCTTATGGATAGATGACTATCTTTTGGTGGTTTCTTGGGTAAGAGGTTACTAGAATCGTTACTATCGCATTTGTCACTGACGAACCATCTCTAGATCTTTCTTCTCGTTTCAACATCTCTCACTACGGAGCTCATGAGACTCGGGTTTGGCAAGTCCATCGCTTTCTCACCGCATATATTCACGCTCTCGTCTGTAAACGTCGTCATGAACAAAGTCGCCTTGGCCCTCAGCAAAACATCTTTTGCGGTCACAATGCTCCGCATCTCGTCTGGAGGACAGAAGGTTCTTATTTGGTTCCTGATCTTGTCTATGAATGCAGTCTTGGCAACCAGCGCTGTCGTGGCATGGAAACCCGCCTGCGATAGGCCGTCAGACTCTTATGAAGCTGTACTACCCGGATCTTGCTGGCGAGTTGAGGATTCGGTCATCATGCACATGGTATCAAATGGTAAGCGACATAAATGATGCATCCAAACACGGCTGTTTTCGGGTAGCAAGCTGACCCATTTTCTCAGGATACTCTGCACTCGTTGACTTCATTTTGTCTCTGCTTCCATGGCCGATGCTATGGAGACTGGCATTAAAACGTCGTGAGAAGATTGGAGTTGCCGTTGCTATGAGTCTTGGGGTCATTGCAGGTTTAGTCGGTGTGATCAAAGTTGTCAAAATAGTGACCATTGCCGAAGGCGCAGATATACCATGTAAGTTTCTGGATATTTCCCTGCTCCTTGGATAGTTCTGATCATTCTAAAGACCGCCTTTCGCTGCTCTTCATATGGGGACAGGCCGAAATCAACGTCACAATCGTCGCATCATCTATCCCGGTTTTACGGGTGCTTTTCACCGAAATGTATTCAACGACTAGATCTAGCGAAAGAGATGGATATTTGAAGTCAGACAGGCAAAGTGAGTTTCCATCAGATATTGGCATGAACACGTTAGAGGAGGGGCGGAAGATCGAGCTAGAGACAAGCCGCAATGTGTTGCGAGCTATGGGCCCATCAACGACTACGAACACCGCCATGAGGGCTCGGGAGACAGATATTGGATACAATGCGATGGATGAGATCACGCAGGGTACCCAAAGGCACACGCTGAGAAACTCTGAAAGCTACGAGGGCATTGAACTTGCAAGCGCGTTGAGATGATGGGCAGGACTTCCTCAGTCAAGACGTCAGAGAGTTAATGAGTAAGATTCCTGGATGACATATGCTAGTGTTCCCAAATGTCGCTTGATTTATGTGAAAATATTACCTAGACAGGTAGCATCTCTAAGCGCAAAAGTCTTGGATCACAGTCTCTATGATGGATGCAACCTCCCGAATGCTCTCTACGCTCACCCATTCCTCCTTGCCATGGATCCCGAAACTCCTGGGTCCATAGACAACAGATGGAATACCAATCTGATTCAATAAAGCGGCATCGCACCAGAAAGAACCCGCGACAGGCTCCTGTGCGTTGCCTAGACACTTTGCAGTGCCCGAGACGAAGGCCTTGACGAACTGATCGTCTGCATCCTGACCAAGAGGAGGCCGCGAGAAGGTAATACGAGGAGTCGTATATTTGAAATCCGGGTTAGACTTGGCGATACTGGACAAGATGCCTTCAATGTCATCAAGAATACTCTGCGACGTCTGTGCCGGGATGGTCCGGAACTCGACAGTCAAAGTGCAGCGCTCCGGATAACTTGACGGTTCCTCACCTCCCTGAATGAGTCCTGCATGCAAAGACGCCTTCCCCAGTCGAGAATCGGACGGCAACGTCTTTGAGTATTCTAACAGTGCCGTCTGCACGGCACCAGCGAGCAAGATTGCGTCAACGCCATCCTCGGGCCTAGAACCATGGGCTGCGATACCGAGGATGTCGATATCGACCCAGATGAATCCCTTGTGAGCAATGACCATTTCCTGGTTAGTGGGTTCCGGGATGATTGCGGCATCGGCCTTCCAACCGGCTCTGATGACCTCCTCGGTACCGAAAGAGAAGTTCTCCTCGTCGGCAACAGCGGCGAGGATGACATCACCCCTTAGAGAAGAGCCCGATGCCAAATTGAATCGAGCCATTGACGCCATGGCAGTCGCCAAACCCGCCTTCATGTCCGCGCTCCCACGACCATAGATTCGCCCTCCGTCTTCGGGCTTGAGCTCTCCGCTAAGCGGATCTAGGTCTGGCGAGTAACTCGAAAGGCTGACGGTGTCGACATGCCCGTTGAGCATGATGGACTTTCCTCCTCCCTTGCCGCGCAGCACACCAACCACGGAGGGTCGGCCTGGCCTCTCTTCCAACCAGTGCGCTTCAAGGTCGCGGTGTTGCAGCCACGCAGAAATGTAATGGGCAATTTCGGTTTCACCAGCACCAGAAGCCTTGGACAGGTCGGGGTTTGAAGAATCGATGGACGTGAGGATTTGTGTCAACTTGACGGGATCTTTGACAGACACATCCAGAGGAATCTTGTAGTTGCGCGGGCCTTCGGTGTTGAGCAGCACAACTACAGCGTCTTTGGAAAGGTAGGCCGGTCGTGGGCTCACTCGTCCAAGCCGTCGAAGCGCCGCGACCGTGGCGCCACCGCATGGCCCGCTCTTGACACCTATGGTCTTGAGATAGTTCACAGCCTCGTGGGCCTCAAAATCCGAGACGGTGGCACTGGCATCGACACCCGCGCGAAGGTCATCAAATGCCGTCAAAGAGACGGTGCCGCAGTTGAGCCCCTCCATAATAGTCCTCGAGGTATGAACCGTCACTGGCTTACCAGCTTTTAAACTTGTCCAAAGACACGGAGCAGTGTCGGGCTCGACGGATAGAACTGCACAGTCCCGTCCATCAGACTTGCAATGGGACACAACGGCATGCGCCAGAGATCCAACACCGACTGGTGTCACCATCAGAGTCGGCTTCAGCCCCTGGTCGGCTAACTGTTGCTCGGCCTCGCGGACGAGGGTGGAGTAGCCCTCGACGATCCAAGAGGGAATTTGCTCGTATCCCACGAAAGCATTGTCTTGAATCAATAGTCCGCCTTTGACTGACTTTGATGCTTGCCAGGCTTCTTCGACAGCGTCGTCGTAATGAGAGTTGCTCACGATGACGTTGGCGCCCTCGGAGACAATGTTGGTGACCGCTTCACTGCCAACACTACTAGGGACATAGATGTGCGCATGGATGCCAAGAATCTTAGCCATGGCTGCGACGGCTCTGCCATGGTTACCCTCCGTAGCGGCGTAGAGTGAGAGATTATGCGTTTGAGCGACTTTTGCGACATCGTCGAGGGGCGTGTCGGTGGGCAAGCCCAGATCAGCCGTGATGGCACGATACGTTCCCCATGATGCGCCCAGGATCTTGAAGGCTGGTAGCCCGAGTCTGTTGCTCTCGTCTTTCAGGTAGACTGCTCTCACGCCTAGTTCCTGGGCGATCTCGTCGAGGGGAATGAGAGGGGTTTTGGCAAAGGAGGGTAGTTGCTGATGAAAAGTCTGTACGAGAGATGCATCGGAAGTCGACTGAACTATCCCTGTCTCGTGGTTGAGGTACACGCTTCGGCGTGCGGTCGTCATGGCTGAACTTGGGGGTATCGTGATGCCGGAACTTCGACTGTTTGGGTTAATAATCTTGACTCGTGAGAGTGATGAATAGAACTCGGTGTTGAGTTGCGCTATCGATGGCATTTCCTGGGCTACTTATAACTTATATGGCTAACCTCAACATACTACATGGAATGATCACCATTACTGAATGATCATTATCGGACCTGAGGTGGAAAGGCAATTGGCGAGTCAATCGCCAAAAGGGGGGCCGAGAGTGGGGAAGTCTGTCGACGAAAGGCGCGGGCGATGCATGAATACTAATCAATAATGCCGCTTAATAAACCACTTCAGACTTTGTAATTACCAAGCACCAACAACTCGTGACTCACTCAATCATCCCTAGTACGACATATAATATAACCGCAGACCCGTTCTATCTGTCATTCAAGCCTTGTCGACATAGAGTTCACACATATTTACCCTCGTGGCGATCGGTCTTCAAACGACACATCGATGGAACTCCCATTCACCACCGTCGACGTCTTCACGGACAAGCCCTTTGAGGGCAACCCCCTGGCCATTGTCACGATCCCGGCCTCGGTCTCCCTGACGCAGGAGCAGAAGCAAACCATCGCCAGAGAGTTCAACTATTCCGAGACCACATTCGTGCACGAAGATGACGACCCCGCATCCACTGAGCGGCGCTTCGACATCTTCAAGACGACGGTGGAGCTTCCCTTTGCGGGACACCCCACCGTTGGCACGGCCGTCTTCCTCAAGCCCCGCGGCATCAAGAAATTGATTGCAAAAGCCGGGCCCATCGCCATCGACGAGACGGGCCCCGAGTCCGTACGGGCCGCTATACCCCACAATAACCGTCTCCATCAGAAGCGTTTGAGAGACCTGGGCCCCGGCCCGTACAGCAATGCGCCGCCGGAACTTGCCACAGCGGAGATTGAAGCCCCTGTCTTTAGCATTGTGGACGGCATGACGTTTGCTCTTGTCGAACTGTCCTCGCTGGAATTGCTGGCTTCTGCAAAGATTGGACCCATAGATTTCCGGCAGCAAGAGCTCTTGGACGAGGGCTGGCGCGAGACTTTAATTTCTCGATACTACTATGTGCGGCTTGGTACCGAGACCGTTGATGGGCGTGTTGTGCACAAGATCAGAACTCGTCTGATCGAGCCTGACTTGGAGGATCCTGCAACCGGTAGCGCTGCTTGCGCGCTTTCGAGCTACCTGAGTTTGTTTGAACTGTCTGGTGATGCACTTAGCTTCGAGATCACGCAGGGAGTCGAGATGGGCCGGAGGAGCAACATTTACATTGACACAAAGCTTGGAAAGAGTGCTGATGGTGCGCGAAAGTTGGAGACGTTGCATCTTGGAGGAACGGCAAGAAAAGTGATGAGTGGTACCATCTTTTTGGAATCATGACCAGCGGAGAACCTTCACGAGGCGGCCCCGTAGAGTACCTTAGTTAGTTGAATTTTTACATTTATACAGCAAGTGAAGTCAATGGCTATCTCGTGTAGATAATCTGACCTTAGATATTGATGTTCAAGCCGAGAGTGTTATTGAAGGTGACAGTACCCCAGTACGGCTCCTGGCCGGCGTTTCCAACATTGACGTAGGTGCTCTCGGAAAAGACACCGTGTTTCGAGAGCGCCAGAAGCCAATCCTTGATGTCTCCCTCAAAGGAGCCCTTCTCCAGGTCACCATACTGGGTAGGCGCGAGTAGTGAAGACACCGTGATGCCGGTGTCGGTGTTCTTGCCCTGGTACAGCTTCCACCCGTCCTTACCATAGAGACCGTCGATCGTGACCGTCGGTCCCTCGGCCCAGCCGATGGGAACCTGTCCACCCTCCCAGCGGAGCCATAGCATAAGCTCCTGGGCGTTGCTGGACGTGCTGTCGCCCTTGGTGTCGGAGGTCATGAAATCATAGACGACGTTGCCTTGGTGGTGGTCGGTCAGTAATCATCAGGCTAAAGATGGTGAGAATAAAATCTACCTTTATAGGCCGAAGAGTTGGAGACAATCCAGCTGTAGGTGCTTGGAATGCTCTGAATGTCACTGAGCTTGGTGTCGAGGTTTTGGGTCAAACCAATAAAGGAGTATCCCTTCACGACGTCCTTTTGGTACGTTGGGTCAATGTCCCAGATGCTGCTCCATTGGATTCGTTGCGCATCGCCAGAGCCGGAGGTGCCCCAGTAACCGGTGCAGGCCGATCCCTTGATGGCCTGGTAGGCGTAGTTCATCGAGTAGACGATCCACGGGGTGCCCGTGAGGACTTCATAGGCGTTGGGGGCACCGCAAAAGGTCTTCTCGGCGATGGCGACCGACGCGAAGGCGGCCGAGGCCAGGTGACGAGAGAAGTAAATCATTGCTTGTTTAGTTATCGGGAACGAACCCTGTAAAGACCGTGTGAAGCGACCCGCTGGTGGTGCAAAGAGAATGACAATGATGGTAGACTGGGCGTTGAATAAGATCACATTTGGGGCTGAGTGTCTGCTCTTACCTACGTTCTGAATAATGAAGGGAGTCTTACCCCAGGAAACCCCCTCCTATCGAGAGTATTTAATAGATTTTCGTGGGGAAGCAGGGGCATCTAATTAAGCAGAGAAAGCAGGTCATATTGCGGTTCGTCAATCTGAAACCGAGCGCCGATCTAAACATACCGGTCCGGACGGGAGATACACTCTCAGCCCACGAATCCGAAGACATTGGCCCTGGGCATCCGCGTCATGTGTTCTTAGCTTGATTGTGGAGCGATGTCAGCTGCGGGTTCTAGACTGTTGACATGGGAATGACCCCGGGAATCAGATCAATCGACCGGTTTCCTGGGCGTGGGGACTAGTTCGCTGAAGCGATCCCGGCTGCACTCATTTCAATGAGTTTCTCTGTATAAACCTAGATCCACCGCTCCAAGCAGCTATATGAAGGATTCGTACAATGTTGGAGCATCTGTCCGTCACATGATCGAAAGTTAGATGGCCTAATCAAAAGAAGTTGCATTGTTGCATGTAGTCTTGAGTGCCAAAACAATCATCAGACTGAAAAGGCTTCCGATCTCCATGCAGACAGATGCATGAGGTACTCGCGCAATAAGGCATGAAAGGCCGCGATAATGATTCGCTCATTAAATGCGAAAAATCTCTGGCGCCAACAAAAGTGTCAAACCCATCAGAACGGGCACGCCTCGCCAGTCGCAGATTCCGGCTGCCGTGGACATTTGCGGGTGGCGGCCCTTTTCATAGGGCGGTGAAGGCGGCAGAAACCCAACCGAAGAGTCAACCTGCATCTTCCTGTCTGCTGAAGGATCTGTCTGAGGTGCCTGGCACTAGCGGGGTCACAACAGCTCGGTCACTAGATCTGACATGCATGGCCGTTGAGAAAATTGAAGCTATTCGTACTTTAGTTCGTGCATCTGCCGAACGTGCCCCTCCCGCTTTTGCCCGTCCGTTGCTACCCTTTGCCATAACTTCCAAGATGTCTATGAATACCTCAAAGATTATTTATAAGCTTGCGGAGAATTTCTCTTGAGAACGGAGACGAGTGGACATAGCTCTACTCAAGATTAGTGATGGAAAGCTCTGGACTTACAAATCAATGTTGGAGAACAACACGGCATATCCAACTCATCTATGGTCTGATTGTCAAGCCGGGGCAAAAAGCGGAATGGCGGCGGAGAGCCAATGGACCCCGGCAGGGATGTAGCGGGTGTCGACCACGTCGAGTCAGTAGAATCCGTGCAAGATGGTAGCATTGCCGGACCCGATATGACGGTATGAGTGGGTATTGCGTCATGCCGACGCTATTTGAAGCTTGGAGCTCGCGAAACCCCACGGTTGCTTTGAAATCTTGAGCATCTCGATATAAAGGCAACGTCTGCCGGCGACGATATCATGTTTACTTAAAGAACTTTTCAAGGCAGACTCTATTGCATCAGCTCAAGTAGTCATACACAAACACACACCAAATTCATCATGGCTCCGACATCAACCAACGCCTGGTCCATCACCGGCATCGGCAAGGACAGCAGCAACTGGGACACCCTCGAGTTCAAGAAGGACGTGCCCCTCCCGGAGCTTGGTGACTACGACGTCCTCGTGCAAATCGAGGCAGTCTCCCTCAACTTCCGCGATCTGGCCATTCTGAAGGTAAGTTTGCTGCTTGACTGCGCCGCTCGTCCGGCAGACCAGCCACGGCTAACACCGAACTCCTCCAGGGCCTCTACCCGTTCCCCCTCAGCTTCCCCCGTATCCCGGCCTCTGACGGCGCCGGCCGCGTCGTCTCCATCGGCCGCAAGGTCACGCAGTTCAAGGAGGGCGACAACATCGCCACCCTCTTCAACCAGCACCACCAGTCCAACCCCATCACCCCCCTGGCCCTCGAGAGCGGCCTCGGCGGCGCCCTCGACGGCACCCTTCGCCAGTACGCCGTCTTCCCCGAGCACGGCGTCGTAAAGTCCCCCAAGACGCTCTCCGCCGTCGAGGCCGCCACCCTCCCCTGCGCGCCGCTGACGGCCTGGAACGCGCTGTACGGCCTGCAGTCCAAGGCGCTCAAGCCCGGCGACTACGTCCTGACGCAGGGCACGGGCGGCGTGAGCCTGTCAGCGATCCAATTCGCCGTCGCCGCGGGCGCGACCGTCATCGCGACGACGTCGTCCGCCGCAAAGGGCGAGGAGCTCAAGAAGCTCGGCGCGCACCACGTCATCAACTACAAGGAGACGCCCAACTGGGGCGAGGTCGCCAAGTCGCTGACGCCGGACAGCGTCGGCGTGGATCACATTATCGAGGTCGGCGGGCCGGGTACCGTCGCGCAGTCGCTCAAGGCCGTCAAGCTGGAGGGCGTTATCTCCATCATTGGGTTCCTGTCCCACGGCGACAAGCCCGAGGGAGACCAGCCCACGCTGCTGGATGCGCTCGCCAACATTTGCACGATTCGCGGGCTGTTGGTCGGGTCGAAGCAGCAGTTTGAGGAGATGAATCAGGCGATTGACGCGAATAAGATCAAGCCCGTCGTCGACAAGACGATTTTCGGCTTCGAAGAGGTCAAGGAGGCGTACCAGTACCAGTGGGACCAGAAGCACTTTGGCAAGGTCGTCATCAAGATTTGAGGTTGTCGCCGGTACGGTGTATGTACGTTAGATGGTGTAGTCTTGCGTGCTGTGTCTTGCGGTAGAGTGCACACGTGAGCGTAGTTTAATGCAGTCATGACCACCATGTTTGTTTGAGCCTGATTGTGACATTGAAATGGTGCAGGTTTCTTCTCAAGTTTCCTCGTATTGATAGCTGTGAGGTGATTTGGTTGATGATCACGCTAACGAACAACGCCTCCCGTCTCCGCTAGCGGCAGCCTCCATCACACCAAATCGATCTGCGATTGTGAAATGGGTTCTTCGTAGTGATGACAAGCGGTCCCTAGTCACCCTGTCTAAAGCAAAACTCCCCCGAACCAAACCCCAAAACTCCGTTCCCATTATGATGATGATGATTCCATCCCCGGATTCCCTCAGTTATTCCCGCTCAGAAACGTCTTCAATGCGACGATCAATCTTCTCCGCCCCATCGCTCTTGACAGCGCGTCCCTCTGGCAGGGCCCGGCCTGCAGAATCGTATTCGCGGCGCTCGAGGTAAACGGGCTCGCCCGTCTTGTAGGAGGCTGTCCGGACAGTGGTGCCCGAAGGGTCCCGCTCCGTCTTGCGCGCCCAGCGCTTCTCCTCGGTCTTGCCGTTGTGGCTGATGGACGAGGAGAAGGAGATTGACGATGTGAAGGAGAAGGGCATGGTGGATGGCTTTCGACTTTTGGTTCTGGTAGTGGTTTTTGGTCTTGGTTGATTTCTTGGTGATGGTAGGAAAGATGCTGTCAGCAAGGTCCAACGGGAGGAGGGTTAGTGCCCGGACTCAAGTCTGCACATCTGAAAGCAAGTTCAAACGCCTAATCAGGTGTATATGACCTGACCTCCTTCCTCCTCAAAGCGCACTTACATCATTGCTCCGCACAAACCACCCTGACGTCATAATATTGCATATTTTGCTTAGTCACCATACACAATTCTTATGCACAATCCTAGATGATTTTGCCAACAAACGCAATAAGTTTGTATTTATGTTCTGTGGCAAGGCTTATTGCTGCCGAGATACTTGGCAACATCAATCCAACCACATCCACAGTGTCAATGAAAGTAGTAGTGTAGTGGGAGAGAGCACTGAGTGTGAATCAAGCCTGAAGCAGCAGAGGAGACTAAATCTCCAGATATGAATGTGACGATTTAAAGATGAACATCGAATGGACCATATGGACATCAATATACACACGCATCCATATACACAGGTAAGGTAACTTAATCAGACTTACATCCGATGAACCATGAAACACATCAAATCTTCCGATCCTCCTAATTACCAATCTTAAACCTCGTCAAAACAGCAGCATGATCCGAAGTCCACTCATTCCACTCATGCCCCGGCTCCGGCGCCGGCTCCCCCACAACCACCACCTCCGACCCGACAACTTCCAACTTACTCCCCCTAAAATACACAAAATCAATCCTGTCCATCGGCTCCGGTCGCCCTTCATTCTCATGATAAATAGGCGACCACGTGATACCCGGCCTCGCCCGCGGGTCCGGATACACGACCCGATACGAGTCAACCAGTCCGGCCCCGGTAGGCTCCACGGACGTGGGCCACGGCACGTCCCCACGCCCGCAGTGCATCCCGCGCGTGGCATCAACCCAGTCGAGATGCGAAGGCGCGTTGAAGTCGCCCATCAGCACCACCGAAATCTCCTCGGCGCTCCCCAACTGCGTCGCCATGGTACCGACGACAGACGTAATCTGCGGCGTCCTCTTCGACTCGGCCTCCCGCGCGAGCACCTCCTCCACCGTCATATTATCAAAACAGAAATCATAGGGCCCGTAAGGATCGTATCCCAGATGGACATTCCACAGCGCAACCTGCTCCCCCTCCCCGTCAAGTAAAACCCTCACTGAAGCAGCATACGTACCGCCCTCGTGTGCTCCGGCCTCTGCAAGCGGATACCTGCTCACGAAGCCCACATCGCCACCCTGCCACGAGTACCACCCCAAGGCCTCCCCAAGCCGAGTAGCGTGCCCGCCAGTACCCTCCTGCACGCCAACGACGTCCGCGCCGCTGGAGGCGAGGAAGCGGATTTGCTTTGCGTGGTAGTCGGACACCTGCGTCCCGCCGTGCCACAGGTTGAAAGTCATGAAGGCCACCTCATCCAACAGCGGCGCGCCGGCAGGTTTGACGGGGATGGTGATCTCTAACCGGTCAGATGTTCCATCTGCAGCGGCAGCCAGCTCGACCGTGACTCTCGCGGAACCTGCGCGGTCAGGCGTGCCGGACATGAGTCCGTCCGCTGACACAGCAATCCATTCGCTCCCTTTGACCTTGTGAAAGGTCACCTCGGAACATCCCCCTTGGCTCCTCAAACCGTCGATCCGCGCCTCGTACCCGTCAGCGACCCGTGCATTCTTCAACGTAATCTCATCGAGGAGGAAAGCAACCGGCCCAGAAGCGTAGGGCACTCTAACCTCCGTCGGTGAAGCGAGCCATGCGTACCCGTCCATGGCGAGGAAGAAGGCGCGGTAGTCGCCAGGTACCAACCCCGACCCCTCAATCTTGACTGTCCCCTCGGCCTCAGGCGCATACCCCCAGACCAGCGACGGCTCTACAAATGTCTGGTTCTCTGGCCCGCCGCCCGAGGCGGGGTAGATGCCGATCCAGTTCTTCGCGTCAGCTTCTACGGTGGAATAGGAGAATGTGAAAAGGGATTCGTCGGGGAGGAAGGATAAACTTCCGGTTCGCCGTGTCGTCGGAATGGCGAGAGCCGGTGTTGAGTATTGTGCTAGCAGGAGCGTTGATAGAAGACGTGGAATGGGCAATGACAAGCGCATGGTGGCAGTTTTCCACACGGGTACTTCATGGTGAGCTAGGATTGCATGGTCGAAATGAATTCTGGAGAGGTGGTCAGCTTTATTCACCATGAGCTGGTTAATACAACCTCAACTCTTCAGGAGATTGATGCAATAAGCGTCAGCTTCAGTGGGTCGTTCAATCCTTTGGTGTAACCGCGCCACATGAACTCCTTGATAACTCAGAAAATTTTCTCACCTCGGAAAGCCGGTATACTTGGCGTGTCCACATGGAGGACTGATCTGCGCAAGAAATAGGAAAAGTCACGCCCGAGTAGATTCTGGTTTGGCAACATCAACAGGGGCTTAAGTCGGTGCCTGGCGAGGTATAGCAGACTGAGAGACTCAAAAAATGGAGTTACCTGCCATGTTGTGGATTAGTCTTCTTTTCTTCTATCTAACAAATCTATCCATCTACAACGAGCTCACAAATCCCGCTCACCCGCTCCAATGTACGCATACACTTCTCGCTACATGCTGACAATCTGGTACATGTTCTCGCCTACTTCTGAAAGCCCGCCTTCTCCTTTTCAAGATCGATGTCATCGTCGCCAATCTCGGTGTGATGATCATCGTCGCTGGAACCCAAATACTCGCCAAACACTCTCTGCTCAATATCCATGTCTTTCCACGCGACCCCGAGTTTCTTGCTGTTGCGGGCCCTGAAGAAGACGCGCTTGCCCCATTTCCAGGACTCGACACCAGCGAAGAAAAGTCCCGCGGCAATAAACACAATTCCCCATTCCCACGAAATGCCCTTGTGCTTGAAGACCACAGTGTTGATAACCGGGATGTAAAGTAGTGGGAACAGGGTGGCAAAGCCGATGATGATGGCCCAGAAAAGGAACCTGTTCCTCCATACGTCAATCATCCACTGGGTGAAATACTTCTTGGATCCTGGCTGCATCCGGAAGAATGACCGACGCATATCTACCAACTCCCAGGCCAAGAAGAGTGCAAACCATGTGAGGCAGGCAAAGGTCGTGGCGCGAGCGCGGAAGACGGTATCGCAAGTGTCATTGTACTTTTCGTTGCAGCTCTCTCCGAGCTCACCAGATCCGAAACCGTAGACAACCAGCGAGAAGCTTGAAAGACAAAGGGCGGTGATCCATAGACCGTAGAAAATCATATCGACTAGAAATTCCATGGTGAAAATACCCGTCTTGAGAGACTGAGGCGGGCGACGCATGATGTCAGGGACAGCGCGCTCAAAGCCAAGACCCATATCGGGCATACCAGAGGTGGCCATAATGATCCAGACGATTTCGACAGGGGCAAGCGGGAAGACTGAAAGTCCTCGACCATCTTTGAAAGTGAGCCCAACAAGCAATGTCCCAGCTTGGGCAATGTTCTCGGCAAGGACATGTAACACGAACTTTTGAATATTGTCAAAGATGCGGCGGCCCTCTTCGATAGCAGCAACAATAGAAGCGAAGTTATCGTCCGTCAAGACGATATCGGATGCATCCTTTGCAACATCTGATCCTGAAAGGCCCATGGCAATGCCAACGTCGGCACGGCGGAGAGACGGGGAGTCGTTGACGCCGTCACCCGTCTACTCATTCTGTTAGTATACTATCCAGCGAACTATGGGTGGCTACCAACTCACCATGGCACAAAACTTCTTGCGACGATGAAGAGCCTCAATCATTCGGACCTTGGTGCTCGGGGCACATCTCGCAATGACAAGCGGCAAGACGGGAAGTTTGTCAACCTCATCATCCCTGAGTGCATCAAACGAGGAAGCTGTCATTACCATGGCGTCGGCAACGTTTCTTGCTATGCGCTCCATTCGAGTAGGCAAAATTCCGACCTCAACAGCGATGGCCTTTGCAGTCTCGGGGTGGTCGCCAGTGAGCATGTGCACCGAAATGCCAGCTTCATGACACTGTCGGACAGCGGTGGCAGATTCCGGGCGGGGAGGATCGTACAAGCCAACGAGACCGCGAAATACCAGGTCACGTTCGACCGATGCCCGCTCAACTTCATCGCCCTTGCTAAATGTGCCTTGATAAGGCTTGCTAGCCAATGCTAGGACGCGCAGTCCGAGTCCTGCGAAAGCCTCCATGTTGCGGAGGATCTCCTCACGGAACTCAGGAGTAATATCCACCAAATCATCATCATCTCTGGGGGCGTATTTGGTACAGATCTGGATCACCCTCTCAACGGCACCCTTGGTGAGGGCGAAGTACTCCTTTGTTGTGTTGTTCTTCATGATGACGGACATACGCTTGACGTCAGAGTCGAACGGGAGCTCGGCAATTTCGCTCCACTCGGGCGAGTCGCTACCACTAACAAACTTGAGGCGATTCCAGTCGAAGCGGGAAGCAAACACCTGGATGGCGATTTCGGTGGGATCGCCTCGGGCATGCCATTGGTCATCTTTCTTGTTGATGGTAGCAAGATTGGCCAGGGACGCCACATAGAGAAAAGCGGAGAGAGCTGACCTGCTATTCTGCAACAGCTGGTCGGTCTTCATGATGGTTCCACAAGCGTCACCGCCCTTTTTGAAGTTGAGATGTCTAGGAGACCGCTCGTCGTAGCGGATATCACCGGTGGTGGGGTCCATCGGTGACGATGTGTTTTCAACGGTGTACGTGCCCATAGCAGGCAACCAAGCACCGCGGGCCAACATCTTGCCCTGGGTCAGAGTGCCGGTCTTGTCGGAGCAAATGTCCGTGACAGCACCCAAAGCCTCGAGGGACTTGAGGTTGCGAACGATGACGTTTCTCTTTACCATACGCTTGGTTCCAGCAGCCATAGTGATGGTGAGCACCACGACGAGACTAGCCGGGATCATCGATAGACCGGTTGCTACAGCGTAGATGATAACCTCCTGGGTAGCCTGGAACTCGTTCGCACCAAGAACAATAATGGCGCAGACAATGGCAACGCCGAACAGCAGCATAGCAAGCTTTGAGAGCTTCTGCTGTAAGGGGGTGCCGACATTGACGCCGAGAAAACGTCCGATAGCATCAGTTAGAGTCAGGGTATAGGCTTCAAGGTATCGGTGAGGCTTCGCTTTGCCATTAGGCTTGCGCTTGACCTCCCGGACCTTGGAGTCCTTCTTGCGCAGGGCAGACGCAATAGCCCCGATCTCGGTATAAACACCAGTTGCAAAAACGATGCCTTTGGCGCGGCCCTTGGTGACATTGGATGAACTATAAGCGACATTGAGACGATCTCCGGGGCCGGTACTATCGGGGAAGGTGGAGTCTTCGTTCTTTCGCACGGGGAGGGATTCGCCGGTCAACAGAGCCTCGTCGGTCTCAAAGTTGACCGCCTCGATCAGTCTGTAGCATAATCAGTTGCTCTGCTTGGTCCTGACGGTGCTGTTGATGGCATAGGATACCTGACGTCTGCGGGGATTGTGTCTCCCGTCTTGATTTCAACAATGTCACCAGGGACGATTTCACTCGAAGGGACGACCATGGATTCGCCGTCACGGACGATTTTGGCGGTGGGGGAGCTCAGGGAACGGAGAGAGTCCATTGTCTTCTCAGCAGAATACTCCTGGAAGAAGCCGACGATGACGTTGAGCAGAATGACAAAGGTGATGACGCCACCCTCGATGTAAGAGCCAAAGCCGAAACTAACAGCCATGGCGAGGATCAAGACCTGGAGAAGGGTCAGAAAAAGGAGGAATTCCGTGACAAAATTGGAGTGACTCACCATGGTCATGGCATTGGCAATCTGGGCAATGATGATCTTGATGGGCTGAACGCCCTCGGCTTCACCAAGGTCATTGTGGCCGAACTCGTCGAGACGGGATTTTGCCTCGTCGGCGGAGAGACCGTTCAGGGTGTTAGCATGGAGCTCTTCAGCAAGCAGCTGGTACGACAGCGCATGGGCTGGGTGGGAGAGGGGTTTGTTGGATTGACCCGAGACGTGGTTGTCGTCGGGCTTCGCAGCCTTTTGATTTCCCATGCCAGGCAAAGTGGAACAAAATTGAGGAGCTCAAAATAGGGTATTGAGTATTCCTGCCGACACAACAGAGAGAGACTGTCGCAGATGGCAGTGGCAAGAAGTGGCAGGAAGGCGGGATTGATAGCAGAGTCTTGTAAATAGGCGATTGAACAAGCCGGCAATGACGGGTTTCCCTGGAGACAAATATCGATCAGTCTGAAAGATGTTTGCGTGTTGAACAATGTGCAGCGTCAAGCAGGCAGATGGTGTAGCGTACTCAGCAAGGACTGGTCAAGGTGGCAACACAGAGGCAGGTTGTCAATTGAGTTGTCATTGGAGGGCTTGCAGCGTTCGTGATGGTGGGAAAGAGAAACACGGCCGCGCGGGTTGAATGGGTGGCATCGTTTGCCTTTTGAGGGCAGGCAAGCCATGAGCTGCATCGCCAAGGACTTATGGGATCCATTGATTGAGACGACGGCTGGAACGGTATCTTGGGATCAAGGAAAGAGTCGGGGGGAGAATTTGCGGACGGGCATAGATTGTCGCCCACCTAGTTGGCGACGGGGGCAGCAGCTGTTTCTGCGAAGATTTTCTTACTGGTGCGAGACTCGGCGAGGGACTCCATCCATCAAGCATTAGAGCCTTCTTGGCCTCCTTGGCCAACCTTGGCGAATGGGAACCCTCGACCTGTTTTATCTAGGGTAAAGTGCATATTTTTCAATTAGGTGGTCTTTGTGGGAAAGAAGCGCCACGCATATTGAGGTTGGAAAGTGTACGATTGGAACGATTACGTCAGATGCCAAGTCCGGGCGAGTTTGTAGGGAAAGAAGGGCGGAAACTACGGCCCCTGAGCATATATATGGTGTGGAATGGGCAGGTGCTGGCATCGGTGGGAAGGCAGGAAGGCAGGAAAGCATGCCGGTAAGGAGCGGACGCGGGCGGGCATGGGGAGGGGCACTTACCCCGGGGAAACAGACGAGGACCCTTCCTCCTTCCCCGTCGATTCGGGGCGCAGCCGGTGATGACGCCGATGGCATCCTTGGCAAACCTCACGTGCCACTACCACTCTCTCACACCTGGGGGCAACGCGAGGACGGGCATGGTGCACCGTCTGTCTGATTACGGCGCCAAGAACATAGCGGGGCGGCGCTTCCGGGCGGCGCTTCCGGGCGGCGCTTCTTCGTCGCAGGCTCCATGGCTCACAACTATTTCCGGTCCATCATCCGAGTTGCATCCGCGACGGATATCCTACCAACACCCTCCAGTCTGCCCAGATTTTGTACGTTTAGACTTCTTGGCCGTCGGGCCATGTGCCTTACCCATCGCTTCTAAGTGGACGTTACCGCCCAGCCATACCCGCTTCTTCAACCATCAAGTTTTGGAAACAGACCGCCCATCCACATCACTCACATGCGAACGTGTCCGAGTCATTCCAAGGTACTCGGCAGCTCAGCTATGAATCACATGACCCGACCATCGGTGAAGACCTACATCTTCCCACGGTCAAGGTAATGGAAATTAGCGGTAAAGCCTTGCACTGTGTACAACCTCGGTAGACGTTGTCTTTCCCGGCCTTCAGCTCCTGCGAACGCCTCCTCCATCGAGTTATGCTCGATCAGAGCACCCGGATCCGGGGTTGTGGACCCAGTTCCCAAAGCCGTCGGCACGGCCCCGAAGGTGCTCCGCTCCGGAACCAATTCGATCGGAGCGTTCATGAATCATCCGGAAACAATTCAACTAAAATGGCTCGGAAAGTTCGGAGAAGTCGAGCAGGGCGTGTCCACACAGATTCATCACTTACATTTCATGATAAATCGGACTGGACAATGACCTCCGTCCATATCAAATCTCTGTGGTTCCATTGTTTGCTACAAGTGGCTGCTGCCAATTGTCTTCCTGTGCGCCGGTCTCGAGGAGCATATAGAATAAGGTAAGCAATTTTCATTGCAGCACGTTTTTCCATCTATTGTTGGCGTTATTACAAGCAGTGCCTGTCAAGTACAGTCCAGGTGTTGCTTGCTCAATCTCTTCGTGAGGTAGGACTCCCAAGCGCACCAAGAACAATCACGGGACCAAAGTCTCCGGAGTTGAAGATTATTCCGTGGTGCGCTTGGAGACCATGTGATGGGGCTCCTTGGCAACCTGGGAACTACACGGAAAATAAGAAGTTGACTAAATCCACGTATCTTACCAACTGCTGGCAGACATACATGCTCTGACCTATAAGACGACCACTAGGAAATTCCCAAGCAGTTTGCACCTATTAAATACCGTTTCTTCCTGATTCCGGCCTCAAGGTAGCTTGCCTCGGTAGGTATGTACAAGGTTGACAATTGCTCATAATGACCTCCGCCGCGCGACACGAGGCAAAGAATCACTATGGCTGGGCTGCGATTCTGTCTCATTTCCATTGTGACTGGTATACCGGGGAAACGGCTAGTCTCACCTCAGAGATACAATTTTGCGACTGGTGTATCAAACTAGTAGTCATAGCAGCCGAAGCAACAAAAAGACTCGACATCAGCTTCGCAACTCAAGATGACCCCCCCGTGGAAAGCCCTCCTTGGTGGCATGCTAGTCATCGTATCAGTACTGCCAAATGTCACTGCTCAATATCCCAACCCGGGCGCAGTGACAGGCAATGTCAACGTCCACGACCCATCCGTCGTCAAGACTTCGGGCGGCACCTACATCATGGCCCACACGGGAACCAATATAGCCCTCAAAACGTCCACCGACCGCACCGCATGGCGTGACGCCGGGGCCGCGTTCCCGAATGGCGCCTCGTGGACAACCGCCTACACGGGTGGCGACTCCAATCTTTGGGCACCAGACATCTCCTACCGCAACGGGCAGTACTACATGTACTACTCGGCATCGACGTTCGGATCCCAAAAGTCAGCCATCTTCCTGGCCACGAGCTCCACCGGCGCGTCGGGCTCGTGGACCAACCAGGGCCTGGTCATCGAGTCGTCGAGCTCCGTCGACTACAACGCCATCGACCCCAACCTCGTCGTGGACGCCAGCGGCAACTGGTGGCTGTCCTTTGGCTCCTTTTGGACGGGCATCAAGATGATATCCATCAATCCGAGCACCGGCAAGCGCTCCGGCACGAACCTCGTATCTCTCGCCCGTCGCACCGTAAACGACGGCGCAATTGAGGCGCCCTTCATCACGCGTCGCGGGAACTACTACTACCTGTGGGTGTCGTTTGACTTTTGCTGCAGGGGTGCCTCCAGCACCTACCGTACCATGGTCGGTCGGTCCACCAGCGTGACGGGCCCGTACACTGATCGCAACGGGTTGAGCATGTTGAATGGAGGCGGAACTGAGGTGATGGCTACCCACGGCTCAATTTATGGACCCGGTCACCCGTCCGTTTTCACGGACGCCGACGCTGATGTATTTGTATACCATTACTACAATAGCGCCAACACTGCACTCTTGGGCATTAACCTCATTCGTTGGGAATCTGACTGGCCAGTCATCTATTGATTAAGCCTATTTCACAGTCTTGATAGATCTCTTGGGGGAGATTCGCAGTAGGAAACCAAAACAACTTTTACCTTGGCCCTCAATCTTATTCATCTTTCTAAAGCTTGCTGTTTAAAACCCTGAGATTATATACCGCTAACTAACATGGACTGTTGTAATTGCTGCATGAACCGCTGAACCCTTTCAGCCCGGTCAATTAGGAGCATTCTACTCGTCCTAACATGAACATTAGTTGTAAGAACAAACACATGTTCTTTGTAGATCGTGCACGACGAGGAAAATTACGTAGTCACTGTCTTGCCTCATTGTCATGGTTGCGTAGTGCCTACTACACTATTGAAATCTAAAACGGCCTTGCCTAAGGTCTCAATCAATTTTATCTAGAATTCATCGAGAACTCAGCGATGCAACTAGAGGGCTAGGCTCCGTGACTGAGCAAGCTTTCAAAGTATACATGGGAGGAGCAAAATCTCACGGAAAGGTTTTGCTACGAGATTTAAGTGTTTTCGTCTAGCAGAGGTCAATGCTTCAGTCATATTGACAGTAGGGATGACAGATAACAACCAAGTCAGGGGAATTCAGTAATCGGCCTGTCCATGATTTTTCTTAGAGATCACATGTGCATAGACTGCAAGCCTAAGATGATAAAAAAGCAATTCTGTTTCCAAAGTCTCTATGTCGTGCTATCTTTGGCTGTCTGTGAAACGTGACATGGAATATCTATAAAATATGAGAAAAATGGTCGTTCCAATTACTCCAGGAAAGTCGTTAAACGTCATCAGATACATTTGAATGGCATATTAATCTGCCTGTTGAAGTCTAGTGGCCACCACTTCCTTTGACCTGTTTCAAATGTATAGCAAGCAATTGCCTCAATGAAGTAATCAATGAGAGACGGAGTTTGTTACTTACCAGAGCAGTCATCTTCTTACATACAGCAATTCAAATCTCGTGACTTATAATAGAAATCTTTTTCACGGCGACGTCTTCACAAACCTCGACCAGAAGCCAAAGCGGCACTGCAATATCTTCAAGCTTACAAAGCTGGAAGCATAGCTGTGAAACATGGCGACCGCGACCGTCAAGGCTGATGAATCTTGAGAATCATAATCTTCGAAGGCTAGATGACAACCACCTGACAAGAGCTCCATACTGTAGTTGCCCAGAGATATCTGAATCTTGCCAGAAGAGAGCGCTCTCACATCGCCTGCTATAACATTACCCCTGCAATTTTAGGCTATCTTGGCAGCTATTTCCCCGGATTTTGTCTCGCTTTGACCACTATCGTTTGGATTTTCGCGACCCAGAGCGTTATGATTACAGACAGGGGTTCGAATTAAGTGAGATGAAGAGTTGAAGAGGATGCCTGCGATATGTTACATCGGTTAAAGATCCATCCGTACCCTTACCGGTACTCGCTTCGCCGGTCATCCACGTCTTCTAGCGTTATTGGTTGTCGAATCCACTATCAAATGTCGCTAAACACCAGAGTACCCAACACCAGTCCCGCTCTCCAATTGAACATGGCGTTGCTGTTGCTGCTGCTTATCCGTACTTACTACGTACTTCTGCGCCAACTTGACGCATTCGATTGGCGAGTGAAAATCAGTCAGCATGAAGCTCGAAGCAGGCACTCGTAAGCAATCATCCGTTCCAAACACCACCCCAAACATCCAAGTCACTAGGGAGGGCGTTGATATTTGCAGTTTGTTGTTCCGCCAAGGTTCGCAAATTGCACGAGGCGTTGATTGCTCAGTATCCGTACCATGGCCAAAATGCAAACTGGAGAATAGGGAGATGAGTGGCCAGAGCCGAACCTCGTTTAATTCGACCACCTGTAGGTAAACAAGGTCATGCATGCATGGCCTTTGCATCAGAGCGACCAAACCCCGCTGAACCACAAACACTTTTCTGGACTTTTGAAGTCTGAAAGCACAATTACCATGTAGGGAGATTGCGGGTATCTGTACTCGTCACCGGGTGGGTGTTAAGACTGCCCTTTTGGGGGGAGTGGGAGGGTCGTGTGGAGTGAAAACGTGCAGCTGCAGCAGATCCTGGGCTCGCTTGAGTGCTCGCTTCGCCATCCAACGTCGCTTAGCCAAAATGTCAAAGAGGAACTCCGAACAGAACGCTCGAGCTACTGGGGCTTTCGTCCTGCACGCGAGATCCCTCGGCTGGAGGTTGCATCGAAAATGCCACTGGACTGCATGCATATGACCCAACGTCCGCTAACCGCTTGTCCCAGAAAAGAGTCAAAGTCATCCTCTGTGCATTTCCCTCATGGCGTCGTCTGGCAATCCCCCCCCGTCTTATAGAGTCTGTTGGTTTTGCTTTTGCCTCCTTCGACTTCTCACCCAAAGCTATTTCTCTCCGCTCAGCAGCTGAGTTCCACGCTACGCAAGGCACTTCCGTCTTCTTAGCTCGAGACTTGGAAACTTCTGAGGAAGCCGTTATATCGCTCCTGCGAGGCTGTTCACCGCTCCCGGTTCGGTCTCACCCGGACGGCAGCAAGGCCGTTGATGCGCCCACTATCACTTCATGTTCCTTTCCACCCAGCGACCCAAGACATCTATCTACCTCGGGCTTTTCGCAGTTATTGACGTCTTCTAGAGGCGGGTTTCCGCTCTCGCAGCCAGCCCTAAGCGGCATGCGCCCGTGGTGGCCGTAGCTGACCGATTATCTCGCCCGCCATGTTTCCGACATCAACCCAGTCAGCCAACGATGACCGAGCCATCGTGCTCAAGATGGACAAACTCGACCGCCAGAGCTCCATCGAGACATCGGCACCTCCGCATGCACCTGAGCAACCCGACATGACGCGCTTCTCACTCTCTGGCGCCGGCCACATTTCCCTTGACGATGTTGAAGCAGTCGACGTCCAAATTCGTGATTTGGCTGTCACCGTCGACACCTCGCCTTCGTGGTGGGACCCTGCAACCTACCCCGAGCTGGTAAAGTCGAAATTCAACCTTAATCCAAGCTCCAAAAGTTTGATTTATCATGTCAACGCTTCCCTGCAACCGGGCACTCTGACAGCCATCATCGGCGGCAGCGGTTCCGGCAAAACCACGCTACTGAATACACTGTCGGAACGCATGATCAGTGCGCGACTCGCCCAAAGTGGCTCCGTCACCTTCAACGGCAACGAGGGCATTCACAATGCGCGGCACGCCTACGTCATGCAGCAGGACATTCTCCTCCCCTCACTCACTGTGCGCGAGACGCTGCAATACTCTGCCGACTTGAGGTTGCCGCCTCCCACGACGGCCGAGGAACGAGCTCGCATCGTGGAGGAGGTTATTCTGGAACTTGGTCTCAAGGAGTGCTCCAACACGAGGATAGGAGATAGACAGCACCGGGGGTGCTCAGGAGGCGAAAAACGAAGAGTCAGCATCGGTGTCCAATTGCTAGCCAACCCATCGGTCCTGTTCCTCGATGAGCCGACGACAGGTCTAGATGCAACGAGTGCCTTTCAGCTGATGCGCACGCTAAAGAAGCTTGCCACCAAGGGTCGAAACGTCATAACGACAATCCATCAACCCCGGTCAGAGATTTGGGATCTCTTCGACAACCTCATCATCCTCACAAAGGGAAGTCCAGTGTACTCGGGTCCTGCGAAGGACTGCGTTCCATTCTTCGAGGGTCTGGGCTTTAAGCTGCCCCCTTTCGTGAACCCCGCCGAGTTTGTGATCGACGTCGCCGCTGTAGACACCCGCACGCCCGAGCTTGAACAGGAGACAGCGGAACGGGTTAGCCATCTTAAGCAGGCATGGATACGTGAAAGCAAAACAACATTTGCGCCAACAGGCGAGGCAGTTGAGACTACATCAATAGGCTCAGGGGCCAGATCCAAGACCAGCAAGAACGCATCGTATGCAAGACAGCTCAAAGTCCTGACCAAGAGGACGTTCAAGGTGACATACCGCGACCCAATGGGGATGCTGGCATCATCCACGGAAGCGATTCTCATGGCGCTCGTGACGGGCTACATCTTTTATAACCTACCCCGAAATCTCTCGGGTATCCGCTCACGCCAAGGCGCGCTCTACACTGCTGCAGGCCTACAGGGATACCTGACTCTCATGTTTGAGGTCTACCGCCTCACGGTCGACATCCCAACCTACGATCGCGAGCATAGCGAATCGTGCGTCGATGCGATTCCGTTCCTCTTCTCTCGCCGCCTGGCTCGTCTGTTTACCGAAGATTTGCCCGTTCCGTTCCTGTTTTCCATCATTTTCTACTTCATGGGCGGCTTTGACCGAGACGCCAGCCAGTTCTTCGTCTTCTTCGCCATCACCGTGCTGAACCACTACATCGCCGTCACATGCGCGATTACATGTGTCACCGCGTCGAGAAACTTTCCAGGTGCGAGTCTGATCGCCAACATGGTGTTTACCCTGCAGAGCATGGCTTGCGGCATGTTCATCCAAGCGAACTCGATCCCGGTATATGTGCGGTGGCTGAAATGGATCACGTACTCGGTAAGCCTGGACAGCAACAATTTCAACATGACCGTACTAATGTGTTTTTTTTTTAGTTTTATGCTTTTGGCGCCTATTGTGGCAATGAGTTTGAAGGTTCCTTTTACGATTGCCCGCTGGATGGCGGGGCTGCAAATCCAGAATGCGTGCAGTACACGGGCCGGTTCATCATGGACTCTCTCGGGTTTCCGCGCAACTGGGTATGGAGGCCCATCGTCGTGCTGGTCGCATTCGTCATCTTCTTTTGCATCGTATCGGCCGTCGGACTCCAGTACATTAAGCAAGAAATGACCATTGCTCGTGCGAGAGTCTCCAACACTGATTTATCGGCTGGCAAGGAGAAGATGAAGACCCATTCCATCTCTGAGGTTCGCACCATTGACGTAGGACTGGATGACTTTGCTCTCGCTTTGGACAAGAGAGCGGCTTCGGGCAAAAAGCTCCCAACCAAGACGATCCTCAATCCCGTCAACACGACATTCCAAGCAGGGAAGCTGAACGTCATCATGGGCCCCTCGGGGAGCGGCAAGACGTCTCTTCTCAATGCCATGTCTTTGCGACTTCCCAGCAGCCTCAGCACTCGCTATCGGCTATCGGGCAAACTCACCTTCAACAACGCGTTGCCGTCTAATTCGGTCATCCGCTCAGTATGTTCGTACGTATGCCAGGACGACGACGCCCTCCTTCCGTCTCTCACGGTGCGAGAAACGCTCCGATTCTCGGCCGGGCTACGCCTACCATCCCACATGAGCAGCGACGAGAAATCCAAGCGCGCAGAGGAAGTCTTGTTGAAGATGGGCCTCAAGGACTGCGCGGACAACCTAGTCGGCAACGAGCTTGTCAAGGGCATCTCGGGAGGCGAAAAGCGGCGCGTCACCATCGCCGTGCAGCTTCTCAGCGACCCGCTCGTGCTGCTGCTGGACGAGCCGACGAGCGGGCTGGACGCCTTCACCGCCAACTCCATCATGGAGGTGCTGCAGGGTCTCGCCAACGAGGGCCGGACGCTGATCCTGACGATTCACCAGGCGCGGTCCGACTTGTTCAAGCACTTTGGAAACGTCTTGCTGCTTGCTCGGGGAGGGTCTCCCGCGTACGCCGGGTCAGCGCGGGAGATGCTGGCCTACTTTGAGCGCCAGGGATTCAGCTGTCCGGCGCACACCAACCCGGCCGACTTTGCGCTCGACCTCGTCACGATCAATCTGCAGCAGGAGACCAGGGAGGCCGAGAGCAGGGAAAAGGTGGAGGCTTTGGTCGGCGCATGGCAGAGACATGTCAGGATGCCTGCAGTCAATAGGACGGGCGAGTTGCCCGGCATTGACGAGGACCACGATACGATCACCTACTCCTCACCTCGGCAGCCCAACGTTCGAACTTCTCGCAAATCCTTGACCTTTGACAAGGCGAGCCTCGCAACCCCAGCCGAGCTGGGTGCCCTCGTCCGCAAACGCGCCTCCTTCTTCGTAGCCTTCCCCCTTCTCGTCCACCGCGGCCTCATCAACTTTCGCCGCCAGCCGCCGCTCCTCCTGGCGCGCATCATGCAGGTGGTCGGCCTCGGGATCGTCCTCGCGCTCTTCTTCTCGCCGCTCAAGAACGACTACTACTCAGTGCAGAACCGCATGGGTTTCGTGCAGGAGATTGGCGCCTTTTACTTTGTGGGCATGCTGCAAAACGTGGCCGTCTACCCCGCCGAGCGCGACGTGTTTTACCGAGAGGACGACGACGGCGTGTACAGCGTCGAGGCGTTCCTGGCGGCGTACTCGGTGCTCGAGTTCCCGTTTGAGATTATCAGCTGTCTCATCTTTGGCGTGCTCGCGGACCTGGCGGTGGGCTTCCCGCGGACGGCGACAATGTACTTTGTGTGCGTCTTCTCGTGCTTCGGCATCGTCTCGTGCGGCGAGTCGGTGGGCATCATGTTCAACACGCTCTTCAACCACACGGGGTTCGCCGTGAACCTCACGTCCGTGATCCTGTCGGTGGCCAACACGATGGCGGGGGTTCTCTCGATCGACATGCCGCAGCTGTTCAAGATCTTTAATTACCTGTCTCCCATCCGATACGGGACGCGCGCTCTGGCGCCGTACAGTCTGAGGTCGGTGACGTTCACGTGCGATGATGGGCAGAGGCTGCCGGATGGACGGTGTCCGGTGGAGACGGGCGAGGATGTGCTCAACTTGTACAAGTTCAACGTGGATCCGAATGCCAACATTGCGGCACTGGCTGGGTGTGTGATTGTGTATCGGCTGGTTGCGTGGGCCCTCTTGAGAGCTGCGCGGACGCGGATGGATGGGCGGAAGGGCAAGTGAGCATTTTGCACAGACACTATGAGTTGGTTAACATTCGCCCGTTTGTTGAAGAGCATAATCATAATCCCTTGAACAAGTGATGCCATACAGTTTGATGTTGCTCAGTCCAATCATCAATGACTGTCCCACATATGACTCCGAATTGGCGATGCCAATGATAAAGCTCCGATACAGGGGGACCGCATCAATTCGAAGCTATTCTGAATTCAGCCAAAAAGCCGAGCAGAGCTCAATCATCAGCTTTATCAGTAGCCGAGGAGAAGCTGCAAGGAAGACGATCCCACCACCCAGCCAGCAACATCCCAGCTGTGCGGTGCGAAACCAGCCACTAGGAGCCGATGAGCCTCCAATCCGGAAGCTGCACAACGCTGACGAACCCCGCATGAGGGGGATTTGAAGATTCGAAAATTAAAGCTCGCGCGTGAGCTGGAGAATGGAGAGAGGTGGTTTGATACGGATGGATACCTTATCGTCCATCCATCGCCAGTGCGATAACGGCGCCGATGGATCGGAGCTTGGAGGTGAATTTGACGCGAGTTCGGGTGAAACTGCGGAGAGTCGGCGGGCCATCGACACGCCGTGCCCTCAATTCGTCTCATTTGTCATACTCATGGGGTAGCACACCACCGATTGACCCCGTCGCGTCTTTCACTTGACCTCTTCATTCTCAACTTCACCCTCATCTCTCACTCACTCACTCACTCTCCTCAATTCCTGACAACACCTCATCCTCAAGGTTCCTTGCACAAGCGGGCACCAGACCCGATTGACACATTTCATAGCATCGTTCCAATTTAATCTGTTCATTGTAATGTCCGAGAAACTCCCCCTCGCGCATCCGGCGCCCGAGCTCACTGCTCCGGAACCACGCCGCGCCCGCCGGACCGCGTGGTGGTCCCTCATCCCCGCCGCCCTCCTCCTAGTCTACCTGCACAAGCCGTCCTCCGCGGCCATCCCATTCCTCGGCCACGGCCACCACCGCAACGCCTCGCCTGCCGCCAACGCCTGTCGCCAGGTCGACCCCCTCTTCCCGACCCAAAACTCCTCGGGCCTCACCCATCTGGACTCGTACCTCGACAGCCCCAAGTTCCGCAATGAGACCGTCGCCCGCCTCTCCGGCGCCATCCAGATCCCCACCGAGTCCTTTGACAACTACGGCCCCGTCGGCGCCGACGACCGCTGGGACAAGCTGCTCCCCTTCTCCGCCTACCTCGCAAAGACCTTCCCCAAGGTCCACGACACCCTCCGCCTCGAGCGCGTAAACACCCACGGCCTGCTGTACACCTGGCAGGGCTCCGATGCCGCCCTCAAGCCCACCGTCCTCATGGCCCACCAGGACACCGTCCCCGTCGCGCCCACCACCATCGACAGCTGGACTCACCCGCCCTGGAGCGGAGCCTACGACGGCACCTATGTCTGGGGACGCGGCGCCATGGACTGCAAGAACTCACTCATCGGCATCCTCGAGTCCGTCGAGCTGCTGATCGACGCCGGCTTCGCCCCCAAGCGCACCGTCGTCCTGTCCTTTGGCTTCGACGAAGAAGTCTCTGGAGAGCGCGGCGCAGGACACCTCGCGCCATTCCTGCTCGAGCGCTACGGCAAGGATGGAGCCGCCATCATCGTCGACGAAGGAGCCGGTTTCGACTCCCAGTGGGGCCAGACCTTTGCCCTCCCCGGCACCGCTGAGAAGGGCTACATTGACGTCGAGGTCATCGTCCGCACCCCCGGCGGCCACAGCTCCATCCCCCCCGAGCACACGGGTATCGGCATCCTCTCCGAGCTCATCACGCACATCGAGGCGAACCTCTACGAGCCCGAGCTCATCTCCGGAAACCCGTACCTCGAGAAGCTCCAATGCGGCGCCTCGTACGCGCCAGAGTTCCCAGACAACTTGCGCAGACTGCTGCCTGCGGACACCCAGCAGATGTGCAAGAAGAAGACGGACCAACTCGCAAAGGAAGCCGCCAAGGCGGGCCCGCAGGTAAAGTACCTCTTCACCACCTCCGTAGCCACCGACATCATCGAGGGCGGCGTCAAGATCAACGCCCTGCCGGAGCGCGTCAGGGCGGTCGTCAACCACCGCGTCAACGTCGGCGACAGGACCGCCAGCGTGCAGGACAAGCTGGCCGCGCTCGTGCGCCCCATCGCGGACAAGTACAATCTCACCCTCCACGCCTTTGACGGCGAAGCCGAGACGCCGTCGAGCATCACGCTCAAGGGTAACGATAAGGTGCTGGAGCCCGCGCCCGTGACCCCGACCTCGGTTGAGGGCGTCACGCCGTATGGCATCCTGTCCGGGACCACGCGCGCGTTGTACGGCGAAGAGGTTGTCGTTTCGCCGGGTCTCATGACGGGGAACACGGACACGCGGTACTACTGGGACCTGACGCAGCATATTTTCCGCTTCTTGCCCGGGTTCGACCCCGAGAGCGACGAGTGGGCGGGCATTCACACCGTCAACGAGAAGACGAGCGTCAAGGGCCACGTCAACCTCGTCAAGTGGTACACCATCTTCTTGAGGAATATCGATGAGGCTGAGTTTGCTTAAGCTTTTGCATCCCAGAGTCTTCGCAATGGAAGGGGCACCCTTGGTACGCAAATGAAGTCTGTATAATTTGTAGCCGCAGTAGGCGCGAGAAGGGCAGTTTCTTGAAAAGATATGGAACAGGAAATGTCATTAGTCTGCTTCCCGATTCGAAAATTGAGTTTCAATGCGCGTACGAAGATCCATCCTGCATGCCATGTTGTGAAAGCCTCAGCTTCTGTCCATTACATCACCAGTGCCATCTTACCGTCGTCTTCACCGAGACGGCGTGCATCACCAGCTGAGGAGCCATGCCTTTCAGGTGTACATGAATAATACATACTGGCGATTGAATACTATTTGTTTTCTAGAGGTCGAGCTCGAGCCGACTTATGCTCTCAACCTTTCCGTTCTTTCTTTCTTCTTCCCCATCGATTTCTTTTACATGCGTGAACTGGTCAGTCTGAATCGCAACGTTCGTAAAGCCGTAGTGAAGGGGCAAAATCGCACAAGCCGCAGAGGATGGTGGAGAACACCACTTCCTATTCTAGGTACCGGCCGCCGGCGACAGTTGATCGGCAATCTTCATCATGGTCAAATGATGGCATGAGCAGGGACAGCTCACTTTGAGCATCCTGGAGAGATAGCATTCGTCTCTGCCAGGAGAAAAGGCTTCCGGATGCCATCTGCAAGCACTACTAGCGTAGAAAGCAGCTCATACCGGCAGCTTATCAAGCTCATATATCATGTCTGATGGTGAAAGGCGGAGCATGGAATGATACCAGAGAATTGAAGAAGGGAAGGTAAACTCTCAGAGATCCCGTCACCACAAGAGTCAAATGACATCCCCGGGTTTTCCTGATCAGTGTTCTCCAAGTGGTACCACCGTACTATTCTACCATGTCAGACCTCCAAACCGCCCAAGAGAGAAATGATCTCCACGACCAGGTGACGAGAGCCCGACCGTGGCGAAGTGTAGATGGTTGGGTTACCCAGTCGACGAACAACCCATCAACCGGACGGGAGGTCTTGTCTCATCCACGTGGCCTACCTATGATCCAGCAACTGAATCCAGATGACTTCGATGCTTTGAACTGGTCAAAGTTTGAGAGAGATTACGTCTATTGCTCATTCTTTCGTACGCCGGCTTCTTATCCCTATCTATGACAACGGCACTGGTCACCTCGTTGCCGCTTCTTCAAGACAAATTCGACATCACTGGCTCCGAGAGCAACTGATCCTTGGGTCTCCCAGATCTCGGTCTATTTGTCGGCATCTTAATGTTTGCCGGGATTTGAAACATTTGGAGCCGCCGCCCCGTTCTGCTTGTCATGACTGTAGTTGCCCTGGTAGCCATCGGTTGCACGACGGCAGCCAATTTTCCTTGTGAGGCATATCTGGTGCTTCGTCTGTTTCAAGGAGTTAGTGCCAGACCAGTACTCAGCGTGGAGTTTGCCATTGTTCAAGACATCACGTTCAAACACAAGAGAGGCTTCAAGACGGGTCTCTAGATCTTGGCAATCGACGTAGAAGAAAAGCTTGTGGCGTTTGGTGAGTCCTCATCGAGTTTGGCCACAGTCACAGCCTGATCATGACCACTGATATTAGGCATTGTGGAAGTATTTGTCGCCTATACTGGAGTCCTGTGAAGGTAGTGCTGCTTTGTAATGGCCATGCCGTCTTCCTCCCGCTCGAAGTTTTCTTCTTGCCAGAAACATTTTACCCACGTATTTCAATATCCGGCGGCAACGAATGGGGAGAGCGTCCAAAAAACAAAGGTGTTGAGACTCTGGGTAAAGTTTGACACTGACTGACTCGGATTCTGCCTAATTCTCATCAATCTCAGGAAACCCGACAGTTTCCACCCGAATCCAAGAGATATATAGTCTTAAGAACTGTCCTATTGATGAAGTTTTTGGCAGAGCCTCGACTCTGGTGTGTCATCATACCGTGCATTTTCTTCCAGCATTGGTGGTCAGATAAGAGCACTAAAGAGTGCTCGAAAACTCATTGCTTATTCTATTCTCATAATGGGGCGAGTAGCATTCGCGCAATAGAACGTCCAGACCCAAGGTTTGCTGTGGCTTGGTCTCATCGCAGGCACTTTCGCCATTGAGATCGTCTGTTCCGGCCGCATCCTCGACAAACTTGCAACGCGCCTCGCCAAAAGTTCTAACAACATAACATCTAAGCACCTGCCAAGTATATATGGCTTGTATATCCCGGAGCCTCACTCGGAGTAGCAGGATGCATCTTGTGGTTCCTGTCCTTCGATCGTCACTGGCATTTGATAACCGTCGAACTCGCCTTGTTCATGTGGGAGAAGACGAACATCGAACTTCTTGTCCTGAAGTTCTCAGTTTGATTGATTCTGCAGTACTGCAGAATGACAGATGGGAAGTATGACAGGGGTAACGTTGGCGCCCACTGCATTCCCAGACCCCGTCTTGGAAATTATATCTTTGCGCGGATTTCTCCATATGCGAGTCAGCTAGTTCCTATTCAATGTATCCTTGTGGAAAAAGATACAAGCTCCTAGCTCGCTGATTTCCGCGTTCAACCCCCCTTGGTTTATCAATGATACGGTCAGCAGCTCTCGGTATGGCAACCTATGGATCCCTGATGAAATCAATACATTCATCCCAGACTAAAGGCTGTAATTGACTTTACGTGGAGCTTCGCAACACAGGGTCTTATAACTGTTTTGAGGACTCCATGCGCTCGCTGTATTCCTTCAGACATGGGGACACAAACCACGCGACGTTGGGGCGTGAAATGTAGAATGCATCAGGATAGACAAGATCCCACTCAAAAGTCTGGCATAATCCCAAATACCAGTCTACCAAGCCTTACAGCGAGAGTTCCGTACATGGAGTGAGACTTCGACGACGATGAGCCCGAGTCTTGGAGCCTTGGTCTTCGACATGGCTTCATGGAAACTCGCTACAACATCAGCAAGAATATCAAAGTCAATCTTGACGAGAATGGCGCCAGTCCAGGTTGTCTTGACCCAGTAGATCCGGAATCTGGGATAGAGCGTGCTGAAAATTATTTGCCAGTTTCCAACCATCCTGATTTGCCCTTTCAAATGGCAGTCCGCATATCATAATACAATCAAATCATAGCCGTCAAATCTTTGATCTCAAGTAGGGTACAGACAGGGTGGTGCTAGATTTATGGACAAAGGATGCTGCAGTGATGCTCGAGCACTCTCCGGCCGATAACCTTGCGTCAGGTAGTAAAAGCAACACACCGATGGCATACACTCCTGGACACACGCACCCTCCCTGACCTTAGGCCAAGAGGGACGGCGGTTGATTCGATGGCTGGCAAAAAGGCTGTTGCAAATGTTTAAACCCGAGAATGACTGAAGATTGGGAATGGGAATTTGTTGAGGCGTTGTCATGGTCCACCAGACGTTCAAATGTCAGGATACACTACAAAGTTGCTCAATATTCTTTGCTCGAAAAGCAAGCAACACGCCAAGACCATCCTCGGGATACTTTTGTCTGTGCATGTAAAACCCATACTTGGCAACATCCGAGCGAAGACAACCTTTCAGATTCTTGTCTCGTGTCTTGTGACCGCAGCGAGCCATGCTCAAGTAACGTTACGGTCCTTACACGAGAACGAGAATCAGGGACGCATACAATATCAAATCAACTCGTTCACCTCTCCCAAAAGGGAAACAATATTAAGAGCTTGTTGAGCCATCCGAACTACGTACGGGCGTGAGAGTGGCCCGCTTCAGCTCGCGCCGACTCTGATGTACCATGTGTCTCAAGTCAATCCAGAGGACGCTGATCTTGCACCGCCCCCTGAATTACTCTGATGAGCAGCCGGCATCCACATGGGCACACCTCTACATTGAGGCAAAGATGAACAAGATAAGTTTTCACTTGTACCTCTGTTCTGGGCACACTAGTGGTCAGCAGTCTCTTGGTCTCACATGTCGAATCTCGGACTCGCTGGCTGCTGCGAAAACCGAGAACCTGGAGGGTGAGGGAGCGCTTGATCATATGCTGCTGGGTTGTGGTGGTTGTCTACCCAAGCCAATGGATTGTGCCTCCGGCTCGCTATCGATGCACGCTCGTCTATGATCCGTCAACTCCTTCTCCCCGCTAGACAGAGACACTGCTAGTGGAAGTGACATGATAGAGGGAACGCCTGGAATGGCGCGCTGAAGAAATGGTTCATATGCAGGGGTGAGTCCATCTAAGCCACTCGCATGGTGCATGGTGCCCCGAATTGTAAGGTCAGTCGACCAAAGATTTGAGAAGCGAGCAGCCGGTGGGTACCCGAAGTTCGGTCATCCAGATTAGATCCTGTAGACTGCGGGAGATCTTCGTATGCTGCGAGATCCAGACTGGGCGAGGTGAGATATCGGAGCAGAAAATCACCACGGACAAAAGGACATCTAGCCACTTCCCTCGAAGAATGTTTCCGCATGTCACTCAAGACGAGTAGACTGGTAATGATGACGGAAGGCGATGCGGTGAGGCCAGGTTCCGAACCAGTTTTAGGCACCTGGGAACATACGGATGACTAGTTTGCGCAGACACCACCCTCGTGAACGAGCTAGATCTGACCTAGACAAGGTTAGTGGCAAAGAGGCGTGCTCGGGCTAGCTTGTCTCTGCCCAAAGGTGGAAATCTGGAGAAACAAATGAGGCCTTCACCGCACCTCTTGGAACGTTTTCATGGCGAAGCAATGGCCGAGAACCGCGATGCGGCCCAGAGTCTGGTGATTCGCGAGTAGACCGACGTCCATGTCATGACAGTTGGTGAGCTTTGGCGGGGTAGACGTGGTCGAGGCGCTGTCAAATGCAGGGAACTCCCTTTCCCCAAAGAGGTGGAATTGGCATGTTCCCTACAATGAGTTGACGTGTTTGGGTTTCCGGGTCTAGGCTGCTTGGAAGTTGGACACCGCCTTTTCCCGCTGGGTCAGTCCTGTAAAAGATGACGGCAGCCAGAAACAATGTCAAATTCTGGACAATGCCAGAGCCCTGCTTTTGTTTCTTTACGTTCGAGGCGAGCGCTAGACGTCGATCTAACAAGGCTGTGCGATGTAGGTCGGACACTGGAATGCGAGCAGTCGAGCGTTGGGGGCAGTGGTTGGCCAGCAGGTAATCGATTGCATTCTGTGGGGGGCCAGCTGACTTCAAAGTTATCCCTGCCTCCTTTTGCCTTGCGCTTGCGAATCGCCTCCGACGTGGTCTGGATGCTGGAAGTAAGAGGTAGGAAGAATCCAGATCCCATGGTCAAGGTTTGGCTGTTTGCTCGGCAAGCAGGATCTAGATCTTCGTCTATGCGGCCAGGATTCCTATCTGCGCTCTGTGGGCCGGGAAATCGTCAGTCAGCGCCAGCTGGAGGAGGCTGGTTCGCGCCAAAAGAAGTTTGCTACCCTGTGCGTTTGGGCCTGGCTCGAGGTTGGTTTCAATCTCGGTCTTAATGGCGGCTCGCGAGCCCTAACGAGATAGATCGGACGGTCTTGCCGCTAGATTGGCATCTGCCTGTCTCTCCGACGGAACGCTTGCCCAGGAACGTGGTGCGGGCGATCTGGCGGTGTGATGTAGCATCCGAACTTTGGAGGCACTGGCCGTCTTGAGATCCCTTTCGCTCCCGTGAGTGCATCGCCCCCATCCCCCAGCTGTGTGGGCAAAATGAACCGCTGCGCAAGGCAAGGTAGAAGCCATTACTGCATTCGCGGGAGAAGGTTGATGACGAGCAGCACAGCAGCATAGCTGACGCGGTGCATGAGAGGTTTGGAGACATGGACATGCTGGTGCCCAGGCATCTGGCCTGTTGGCCGCACAGCGTGATGAGCATGGGCGATCTTCCGCAACGTGTTGATTTGGTTCTGTCAGTGGCGACGGCGTCAGCCTGCGCTGTGTCGTGTTAAGCTGATATCCAGAGGCGCTGCGTCTCGTCAAACGAGTTGGCACTCGCTCCAGGCTTGAGTCGCAACAAGCTGGAGCTTCACGGGGGCAAATGAGGCAATCGTCAAGGACTTTGTCTCTGATGAATCATCCACTTGTTGGCCCCCTTGCGAAAATCCCCGAGTCTGCAGCGGACACCTCTCTGCAGCGGCATGGATGGTCTCAGGTTGCTCTCTGAGGAGGACCCCTTTCGGTTGAGGATGGAGACGCACGAAGGTGCAGCGGACGAACCACGAGCAAGATGCCTGCCGGGGACCAAGGACACAGGAGGAACAAGCCCGCACCGCCTTAGTCCCATTACCACAAGCCGCCAAGGGCAAGGAAGGTGAGTCGCAAAACGAGTCGAATGCGCACCAATGAGTGGAGGGTTGCGCCTGGCTTTCGGAGGGTGTGGTGGAAAGTATTGCCATGTATCTTTTTCGCTGCTCCTTTTCCCCCGCTACGGACAACTTTAGCTAGATTACCCCCTCGACAGGCATGGGCAAGGAATGGTCCTGTTGACCATGGATCTAGGGTTGACGTGAATGAAAGTAGTGAAGTAAGGTCCCCGCCCTGAGCGCGGCCATGGTAGCAATAAGGGTCGGCTAGCTGTGCAGTCCTTGTGCATCTTCTGTTGCAGCGAACTAGGCCGACGGGACTCGCGAGAGTGTGGAAGAGGCCAACATGAGAGGATGGGAGGTTAGGCTTGACAGGATGACAGGCAGGTAGCTATGTGGGTGGGTTAGCTGCACAATAAGTAGCCCCTCGCAGCATCATCTGTGTGTCCACATAGGCCCTGCAGGAAAGCCTTGAAATATAATATCCGTCCGTACTCCGTACCATCCATCGCCCAGGTACCACCAGAGAGGGGAAAGATCACAGTATCGAGATTCCGAGAGCAGCCATCAACCATGATCCATACCCAGACGTGCCAGAGCACATGTGTGCATACATAGTACACACCAACGCAGTAGTGATCAATCGAGGGTGGTGGTGGACCAGCGGGTAAGAGGTCGATTGGCATCGATTGCGCACTGATGATGATCCAATGTCGGTGGAGACCAACCGTCGACGGCACGCACCGTCTCGAAAGCCAAACAGGCGACGGGAGGTAGCCAGATCCGACAACGGGCCAAGCCTCGCGCTCGGGCGGCACCCTTCTCCGCCTTTATCGTCCTCGCTTGCTTCTTCACTATCGTCTCAGTTCAAACGGGTTCGGTTGTCGCAGGGTCTCCAAACGTTCAACTGGTGAAGCAACCCGGCGAGGTTCGGATAGCGATCGACTGCCCTCTGCACTGGACCACCGCCGTTGATGCCGTTGGGCTGGTTGGTCTTGTCCTCGAGGAGCAAAAGCTGTCGCACTGGTATGTACGTGATATGTGACAACAAACTGGGGTTGGTTGAGAAGCAAAGGGTCGAAGCGCAACCAAGTCCAGTATCGAGGCTAGCATCCTATGAAAGCCACGCTCGGAAAGTGCAAGGGTGTCAGTGGCTAGACAGCAGACTGGTTGACTGGGTTGGCCTGGCGGTCGTCTGGGTCAGCCTCGGCCAAGCAAGGACCCCTTGGCTCTGGAGTACCGAGTTAGGCAATCCGAGACAGCCCGGTATCAGATTACCCAGTATAACCAGCCGGGAGAAAGATCAAGTTGGCCTCGAGCGAGTTTAGCCGGAGCTACTGTGTGTGAAGTGTATGCTGTATTCGTACGCATGTCTTAGCCACTCGTCTCGTCCTCGTCGACGGCAGCACTAGCTAGGTAGGTACTCGATTCGTCTGGTTGGTGAGAGTGGTGTTGCGAATGAAGAAGCGCAAAAAGGCATCATGTATGAATTGTAGCCGTGGCAAGAAGAGGCTAATTCGCCAGTCCGCTCTCCCGAAGGTGATGCTGCATTCCTGGTGCCCGATCACCCTTTCAAAGCCCATGGGCCATGGCATCGCAAACCGGCCAACTTTTGTTGGAGATCTTTCGACCCAGACCCCGAGCAATACAGCGAACGGCAGCATTGCGACGAGATGCAACCATGAGGCCTGAGTCGCCAAACAGGGTATGATTGAGATGCGCAAATGGCGTCGAACCTTTCGCTACCTTGCCCTGGTACGAATATTTACCATAGTAGTTGATCAATCGCAGATGCGAGACAGCCAGGGTCTGGTCATCGTCGGCTTGAGATATCACGGTCCTCCTGGACGGGGGTGTCGGAATTATCCACTGATTGGGTGACATTGAAATCGCCAGAGACGCCATGGCGCAGTGTAGGTAGGTATCCGTAGCATATTCGGATGCCTCGCATTTTGCCGTCTCCAGGCATGCAAGCACGTTGCCAGATAACGCGTACGCGAGATCAAGTCAAGTCCGGTAGCCGTGTGGGATTCTTTCTCGTCCCATCTTGCCCCATCATGCCCAAGAAAGAAAAATGTTTGGGGCCCCGAGTCCCATGTGCCGGGCGTGGGGGTGCGCTCGCGTTGCGCCGGCAGATGTTTGCTAGCACTCCATCGGGATCAGGACCGACACAAGAGAACCGACAGCCATGCGGTCCCTCTGTTTAAGTTTGAGATAGGTAGCTCAGCGAATTTGCCGTTCGGCGTGAGGATTTTGCCGAGGCTTTAGCAGGTATGGTCTAGTGGTAAAGCGCCACCCCGTGTCGTGCTGTGACTTGAATTATGTGCAGACTCGCTGTCTTTCATTGCGCAGGTGGAAAGAGAAAGATTAATGGTGTGGCGTTGACTCAGGTCAACATGGGCACGAAGTCTTTGTAGCACCGAGTGTCGGACAATCGCCGATGGATGGGCCGTCACGTCGTCTTCCCGTCCGGCCATGGGAGCTCGGGGTGTCCAGCACGAAACGCGGAGTTTTCTCCGGCGAGGCAGATGTGGTGGAGGAGGCCAGGAGGATGCTCTCGGTTGTGGGCGGGGACGTGCTCCAGAACTGGATCAAGCTGCCTTACATAAGGCTGACATACTCGCACGAATCTGAGGCCGATTACCTAAGGTTCCGAATTGTGCATCCGTCCTCTTGATGCATCCGTATCCGTACCTTGCTTGACATTTACCTTAGCTACCTTGGTAAGGTAGGTAGCAAATGGGAGGTGCCTGCTTCCTCGGGCTGTGAGTGAGTGAAGGAAGCACGGAAGCACGGAAGGAACCTGGGGGTCGGGAGATCGAGTTTGGAGAAAGGAAGGGTTTCCGTTTCTAGGCAGCCAGGTTCTTGCTGAGGTGGGGACGGAAAGGCAAAGCCATGTCTGCTTCGTGCACAGTGCAGCACAGCACGAAAAGATGGTAGGTAGGACGGGAAGAGGAAGGGACGCACGACATGACCGGGACCTCTTCTCTTCCCTTGCCTTCCCCCTCAGGTATCCGTAAGGTAAGTAGGTGAGGTAGGTAGGCAGGTATCTTGCCTGCCCTGCCTGCCTCGCCTTGCCTAATGAAGAGAACATAACATAAGCAAATCTTACCTAGGTAAGCTACCTAAGGTACATTAGGCTGAGCTGTCTCTGGTTCGCTCCCAGGTTGTCTGTGTAATTGCCTCGTCCAGTTGTCAGCAACTGACTTTTGTCTCCTGCCATTCCGAAGCATTCACAGCAACGACAACCTGGACCAGGAACACCACTGGCTGGCATCGCCCTCTCTACATTCCCTTACTCGGCACCCCACGGATATTTGCAAATCTCTATGAGATGCAAGGATTGATGCTCCAGGGCTCCCCCATCAACAGTCAGGGTCGCCCAAGGCCCTGCAAGATTGGACTTTGTACGCACCGGGGGGCCACTAATATCCAATGCGCTAGATCCTCGCCCTAATCAAACCTGGAGTCGTTTTTCGACCAATATGTCGACATCCTCCCGCTATCCCAGTCTCTAGAGCCTCCGTGTCTCCGTGCCTCCGAACCCTGACGGCCCGCAGTCATTCGATGAGGTGCCGACCTTCTTCATCCTCTTCCGTGGGCTGGAGACCACCAAGAAGACGGGACGACAGCCCAAGACTGCCTGGCCTGTCTCTGTCACCACTCTGCAGAGTTTCCGTATAATCAAATGGATACGAATACCCAAGACAAAGTGCGACAAAGCCACCCAAGCAATGTCATGTCCACACCCTGAACCCCAGTCTCGTTGTTTACGAGCAATCACACGGACACGATGATAACGAAGAAAAATACGACAACTTTGAACAAGCACCATGGTGGCCGCGTTGAATCCCCAGCTCCCAAGCCGGAGCCCACGTCCACGCAGCCCAGCCCAGCGCGCCGCGTCTGCATTGCAGCTTGCAGTGACAGGGCGCCATGGCACCAACCAGGACGACGCAATGAGACTTCTGCCGCTCCCGACAGGTTTCAATTTAAGGCGAAATCCCGCTCGACTCCTCCACCTTGGCCAGTCGTGCGCCTCTCCTTCGCATCGCCATGCATCGCAAGTTTCCATGGCTCAGCAGTGGTGTCCCAAACAGCTGTCAACCCCACGACGCCCCCGGCCCCCCTTTCTCCTTGGGCGGCGACTTGTCTCTGCCCAAAGCTTCATTCCAGAGCTGCGAAGCTGAGGCGCTTCCGACGCCCCGTCTGGACTACACTATCTGTAAGGCCTTGCCGTGGTTGGTTCACGACTACGCGATGGATCAAGGGCAATCCAGACGGCGCTGCGTTTCCCGGCCCTTTGCGGCTTGCCTGGTCTTCCTTCACGACGCCGCATTTCGGCCGACAGGACTACAGATCCTCCATGTTTGTGACCCCGACTGGATCTCCATGCCATCCATCACGATCCTCACAGACTCCGACACACCATGCCACCTACCCACCCACCCACAAATGGCTCCGCGCACAGCACCAGCCAGTCACGCCGCACATCGCTCGCCAATTCTTTGCTGATTCGCCAACCGACGATAGACCACTCCGCCCCGTCTGTCTACATTGCCTCTGAACAGAGCCCATCGTCTTTCCAAATCCAGCCGCCTGCATATGCAGTGACAGGCCTCAGAAGCATGACCCTCGGTCTTACAGTCCACCATGATATCATGGTACAGCGCTTTCTCCTACGCTTCGCTGCCCCAACGCCCGTGGACAAGTACCGACCAACGCTGGCTCAATTCGCTTTGTGCCCGAAATGGAGCGAACCACCGTGATCCCATCTCTTCCCTGGACTCTCGTCCCGTTGGGTCCTGCACGACCAATACCATAGAGGACAAGGTGAAGAGCCTCCGATGACCATCTCCGAGTTCCTCTTCTTCTCCCCACTCTTCTTGACACAACGCGACGCGATCCTATGCGACGATGCACCCTCCCTCCTTTGTCAGGTTTGTCTCGCATTGTCCCGGCCAGTTTTCTTCGCCTCCATCACAGCTGTCGGCCAATTACCATCTCTTCGTTCCGCCAGCGGAATCAGTCCAAGGCCAAGGCGCAATATGGATAACACCATCGTGATGCCAAAGACTGGCCACTCAGCTGGCCTGACCTTGTCGACTCATGAGTCGTGTGTATTGATGATCGACTGTAGGTCCCCTCTGGACCCTCTGGGTCTCGTCATCGTCAAGACGGATGAGCGTGTAGAAACGGGCTGTCGTCTCTCATTTTTCACTCTCTGGTGGACGAATGCTTCCAACGTTCACTTATTCTCCCTCAATTAAGCAGTCGAGGTGGAGTCTCCGCGATACAACTTGGCCGCGCATGACTTGAGCCCAAGGACTCAAGCAGTGCGCGCACAGTCCAGCTTTCTGGCCAAGCCAGCCTCTGGTCAATGCGAAAAGAAAATCTACGATGACGAATCACAGCTCCTCGAGCCATCGGGGGCAGTTGTCATGCGGGTAGCGACTTGTAGTACTTGAGAGTACCTTACTGTCACTGGCAAGGGTGGTCTGCCACACTGCGCTAGCAACGACCAGGGCTGATGGAGGAGTCAGGAGGGGCCCGGCCAGATGTGGGAGCGGACAGGACATCGGCATGAGAGAGGCATCCATTCTCTCTCACACTCTCTCTGCCTCTCTCTCTCTCTCTCGGTTGCTCGTCTGTCTCTCGCAGTTCGCTCACGCGTCCTCTCCTCTCTAATTCTCGACGACAAGAAGCGCCGCTCCGCATAGTACTGCACCTCTGCAGCGTAGAGGGAGGAGAGATGCTGCCAACGATGCCCCGAAATCCACTTTTCATCCACCGTCAACGAGAGCCAAGCTGACGGATATTCGGTCATTTTTTCGGTTCCGTCGTCGTTATACGGTAACCACCGGGCTCTTTAATTAGCATGGCCTTCCTCGCGGCACTGACGGCACAGATAGGAACTGCTCTGAGGGCGGAGGAGCAAGGAAGCCGGCCTGGCGAGCATCAAGACCCCGGTTCTCCTCTTGGCACAAGTCGGTACGACGTGAGACCTCACCTCACATCCCACACCGTCCTTATCCACCCATGTTCGCCCATGTTCGCCCATCCATCGTATGGGAAACAAGACTAGGTACCCCCCATTCATTCGCACCTTGCTTGAGGGGAGCTACCCAATGTGCTAGGGGACCTTAGTGCGTGTGGGAGAAACATCGATTCTCTGCATGTCTTCCTTATTCACCTCGAGACCCTGTCGTTATCCCGACTTCCCACCCACTACCTACCAGCGCAGCTATCTGCAGATATGTATATGCATATCCCGCCTCTCGAAGCGGCTGGCCCCATATGCTGTCGTCCAACGACCCTCTTTGCTTTCCCACTCCATCTCGACGACAAGCTCGTTCCCAAATAAGACCCAGCGATCATCTCTCCACCCATCTTAGCCCCTCCATTCCACGTCGGCTTCTCAGCGATCAGCCTTTCCCTTCTTCTTGAGCGGTCCGCAGCGGTCTTGATCTTCAGAACACTTTTGTCCGCTTCCCTGTCTCATTCACCTCGACATTGGTCACTCGTCCTCAAGAGAGACACCATTTGACTGTCGTCCTTCCCCCCCGCCCTCACCCCGTCGATATCCCATGGATCTCACCAGACTCGACCATTGATCGACAACCCAAGTGTTCAAATCCCGTCGCCACCGCATCAGCTTCGAGTTGCCTTAACAACTGGCCAGAACCTCGTCGATTTTGAATATTCCGTGTTGGCATGGTCTCGATAGTGACGAGCCATGGATCCAACTTCTCTCTCGATGGCTTCGGACGAAGGGGAACTCTCGTGGTCGGATAATCACAGTAACTCGTCAGACGACAACATGCAAGACGAAATGCTGCTTCCACACCCAACAACCTCTCAAACAGCAGCGGCGTGGATGACTTCGGCCAGTGTTCCTCAGTCTCTCAGCGGGCAGCTGTCCCCAGTCAGTACCGCCATGGATGTTCCCAATTTAGACCCGTCCGGCGACCCGACAATGGTACACTCCGCATCTTCGTCCTGCACCGATTCCTGGAGCACCGGCCACGCCGAAACGTGTGATGGAGACGACGCTGACAACGACATCGTATGGGAACAGGATCCGGACGACATTCTCGCCATACCCAAAATCGAACCCCTGGACGACGACTTTAAGCTGGACGATGTCAAGGAGGCTCCATTGACGCAAGCACAAGTGTCATTAGTGTCGGCAGCAAACCCGCTGAAGCAGAAGCGGCCCCGAGGACGACCCCGCAAGCATCCCGTAGCGTCGATTATCAACCAAAGTAAGGTGACCAAGGGTCGGTCCAAGACTGGGTGTATTACCTGCCGGAGACGGAAGAAGAAGTGTGACGAGGCGAAGCCGAGATGTAAGTGCTGCCGCCGGGCGACTCCTTGGTCTTATCTGACTCTCAAGCAGGTATGAACTGCGAAAAGAACGCTGTCGTCTGCGAAGGCTACCATGAGAAGAAGCTATGGAGAAGTGGCAAGGAAAAGGCAACCAATGGTGAGTACTCATTCGTCGACATGGCAAACATGGTGTTTAACCCAAACAAAGATCATATTGGAGACGAGGAGTCACTCGTTTTCACCATGCAACCCCTGTTCAACGGCGTCGACACTATCGAGGACAAGATCTTCTGGAGACATTATGGTGTTCATCTCAGCAACGTTCTCACTGTCGAGGGAGAAGCCAAGAATGCCTTTAAAGATATTATTCTTCCTTTGGCAAACCTTCATCAAGGCGTGATGCACTCAATTTTGGCCATGAGTAGCAAGCACATTGATTTCGACACTCCATATGGCGCCAAGTTACTCGAGAGAAATCCGACGACCGACCGCGAGGCGCTTCAGGCTCGGTCAGCTTACCACGAGGAACAGGCAATGAAGACTCTGTACGCCGACATGAATCGTTCGGCTGAGGAGGACAGCGATGATCGCAACACAATATTGTCGGCGCGTTATGCCCAAATTCTTTGCCTCATCGTCACGACACTGATCGAAGGCGAACCTCATGGCGCGCATCGTGTCCACTTGGGCGGATACAAGCGATTGATCCAAGAGACGCCTCCGGAGGATCCCGTTTTCCTGGCCTTCATCACCGAATTCTTCCAATATCACATTTACGCAGACGAACTCCTCTGGCATCCCACACTCAACAGCCCACGCTTGGCTTCTGAAGACTGGAGCCCTCTTGTTCCGTTGGACTCACCTCGCCTTCTGGGTGTTGCCGATGGCTTGTTTCAATACCTTTGCCACATAACCACCATTCGAAACGCTATCCGGGAGAACATTTACAGGGGCGCTGAGACCGTGGTCACGTACCACGTTTTGTATCGGGCGCAAGAAATTCAAGAGGCAATTGAGCAGTGGATGCCTCTTTGGCCGCCAGGCGACAGCCGTCACAGAGTCGGGCTGGTTTACAAACACATGATGTTTTTGCATCTCTTCCGCACAGTATATCCCCCCACATCTCCAGAGCGACGGCCTTCTGTCTACTCTATAGCGACATCCATTGCCACCTCAACCTCATCATCTTCCTCCCGCCGGCACTCGCAAATCTCTCGGCCATCTACTGCTACAAGTTGCACCTCGTCTCCAGGCCTGAGGCCGAGCATGGCTTCCGGGTTCCCCTCTTCGATGCAACTCAAACGGGAGCCTAGCTCTCGAGGACCATCCAGGACGAGCTCGATGCATGAATCCGATGCCGGGTCCTCGAGCTGTGCTGTGATTGACGAACAACGGCCAGGCTCTCCGCCGCCAGTTCGTCGCCCGCAACAGCATGACAACCGCATTACTACTACGGTGGACGAGTCCCTATCGATCATGGAGGGTTTCAAGCCATCAGACCCAGCGCTCACTCTTTTGCTGATGCCAAGTCTGGTCATTGGTACTACTTGCTTCGATCCCACACAGCAAGAGCGACTTCGAGGCATCATTCGGTCCGTCCGGGGCTACACCGGTCTTCGCAATTGCGACAGAGTCCTCGAAGTCCTCGAAGAAGTCTGGCACCTCATGGAATTTGGTGACTGGATTGCCGTCTGGGACTGGCAGAGCGTTGCCAGACGACTGGGGCTTGACTTCTTGTGCACCTGAACTAGACACTTCGTGGAGGGTGACGCCAATCCATCCGTTCTGTCCTTGTACAAATTCGTCAGCCGTGTGTTCAACTTTTTCTTTTTTTTTTCCCTCTTTTTTTTGCTTTCATCCCGGTATACCCGCGCATTGTATTTTTTCTCTCTACCTTCCTCTCATTCACATTTTCATTTCCCTCGTCGGGTTCGCACTACTGTGGTTGGAGTTACTGGATGAAGCATGTCATGGGGACGACATCATGTACAGGGGCCACTTGCATCGCGACTTTGCACGACGCGCGGTATGGGATAGGCAACAGAGGGCGATTGGTGAAACTCGGCAAACTAGACAACAAGACGGATGACAGTTGGAGATTGCTAGCTTGTCACCCTGTTGACCCTCTTCTCCTTCCTCCTCGCATAGCGGCGTTTCTTATTGCACTTGGTAGGGTTGGCTGTCTGTCTTGTTTGGGTTTTTTTCCTGCTTGGTTTCGTGTTGGCTTTGGGTAATAGGACGGGCAGGGGATTGTCTGGCTCTGGGCGGCTCGGACTCTGTTCCGATTTGAATTTTTTCGCGATATGCGCTGCTCGTTGATAGCTTCTCCACCGATTCTCTTAGGGAAAGTTGGAAGCGACGCATGCAGTAGTTACTGTAAGCTATTGTCATGGCACTGCACTGGAGGATTTAGTCGCAACACAATACAATCTGCGCTGGTTGCGCCTTTCCTCACTCTTGCAAAGGTCCCACGGCTCGCATTTTGCCATATTTCTCACCTTCGATTGCCTCATGTTTGTCTGCCTACACCACAGGCCCCTCACCTTGTGTACCCAGTACTTTACGGTGGGATCAGACGTATGGAATGGGGTGACATGCTGCCGCGCAGCCGCCCCCCTCGGACGACTTTGAGAGATCCGACAGTCGCATCCGAAGGCGTGGTGCATGATCGGACAAAAATGATAGCTTGTGCAGTGAAGATCGCTATTTGCCGACAGGGCCACGAGAGCCGAATTGTCCCTATGGCCTTCTCCCCTTCCCCCGGTTCTCTCCCCTCGGACAGGTATCTGTACATATGAGATAAAGGTAACGGACAGAACTAACAAGAGTACAACGACTTTTTTGTGCGGATCATTACGGATACAGTCTGAGATCTGCTGCTGCTCTTCTCCGCTACCATTCTTTCCCGCAGGTTCAAGGTCGGATGGTGTCCTCCCGTTGGATGGGAGACCATCGATGGATGCGATGGATGGGAGCCGGGGTTTGGGTGGGTGGGGGTTTGAGCGCTGTGAGATCCTGCAGGGAAATGGAGACCAAACTTGCAATCTCTCTCCTCGCCGGATTTGGGGAGCTAAACTCGTAACAGCACGCTCTGCAGGACGGCGACGACGACGACGGCGGCGACGAAGACGACCACCCCGTCCCCCAAATCACATCCCCCTTGTCGTCAGTCGATGGCTGTCACTGCCAGGGGCCACGGGCGAACCGGGGGGCTTGATGGGTGCGCAATCTATTCGCAAGCTACCACTTTCACCACTAGTGCCAGGGAAGGACTCGAGAGATTCGGGGGGGGGGGGGAGAGCCCTAGTTCTCGTGGGGTTGGGGCGGGGGCCTGCCGGTTGGGGCGTGGACGGGGGGGCTTGTCTGTTCGCTGGTTTGGGGGGGGGTTGTGTTTGGGGGGTGGGGGGGGGGGGGGGGAGGGGGGGGGGGGGGTGGGGGGGGGGGGGGGGGGGGCGAGTTCGGGGGGGGGTTGGGGCGGGGGGGGGCGGTGGGAGGGAGGGGGGGGGGCTTTGTAATAGCCGTGGTTTGCTGTTGGTTTTTTTTTTTTTTTTGAGATGGCGGCAACGGACAAGACGGATGGGCCCCCCGTCCACCTCTCTCCCCCGCCCTCCCCCTAACTCTCGAAGGTGTGAGGAGGACACCACCATTTTTCGTCCCGTCGGTTACTCGGGCGGGAAGCCATGGCCGTGCTTGTTCATCCCCTCTCTCTCTCTGTCCGTCTCTCCCTCTCCATCCCTCTCTTTTCCTCATTCTCTCTGAAGTATCGGATGATTTTGATTTTGGTTTGGTCCCGCTGCAGACACAAAAGAGGTGGTGCAGCCGTTGTGAAAGCGGAGAGCTCTCCGCATTTCATTTGCCCCAGGGAGGGTCCCTGAGGAGAAGCCTAGGAGGGACCACTGAGGGGGGGCCCCCCAACGGAAGGGATCTGGTGGCACGCTGGCAGCTAAACTGCTGCTAAAGAGGGTGAGAGGTCGGCTCGGCTCACTGTGTTTGTATGTGTGCGTGTGTGTGTGTGTGTGTTAAGGTTAGACGATCTACCGCCCACGTTGCACAAAGAGTCGGCCGATGTCGTGGTGCCGGGGGGCGGGCTTCGGGAAGGTCGGCGGCGCGCTGCGGGTTGGAAAAAAATGGCGGGGGGATTTGTATTCGTCTTTGCTTTTTCCCAATCATTCACCAAACTTTGTTTTCCTTTTTTTCCAACACGTACCAGAGGTACTATTCCCACGTCTCGAGGCCGAGACATGCAGAGACATCAAACGAACGAGATGCGGTGCCACTGTGCCATTGTGCCAGTGCGGCTGACTAGGGGCAGGGGCAACGTCGTGATGTCGTCGAACAAGGGTCTACGTTATCTGATGGGCTGCTGATTGAACTTGGTCACGAAATGAGCAACCCGAGGTGCCGAGCCACCATACTAACGAATGGTACACGCGGAAAGTAGGGTTTGTACTTGCATTCAGCAGGGTAGGAAACGAATGATTGTGGAAGAAGAAGGAAATCTTAAAGTGTTAGAATCTACCGAGCAATCGACCATCGTACATGGGGGAGGAGGGGCGTGCAATATGTCGCAAAGTCCCTCCTCCCCAGGTTCTCAACGTGTTCTATCTTATCAGTACAGGACCATCACATTCCCAACCACGCAATATTTCGCCCGAGAAACGCAAGTCGCATCTGGATGAGCCACACATCCAAGTCATCACTACCACGTACGACGGACGACACGTATCCGGCAAGCCGTTGTCATCCTGTTCGTCTCTCCAGGCTTCATCCCATCACGGCCGAGTTCGCCGATCAAGTCGCATAATTGATCGGCAGCAGATCTTTGTCCGATCCAAGGGGTCCATCAGATCTAGGCTCGCACCTCACAATCCCATAGTGAGCCCTCGGTCTCGTCGGTGGACCAAGCATCGCCATCGTACTCTTGGCTACCTGCCCAACCCGGACTCAGGGGTACATGCCTCGATCTTCGCCCTCAATCAACTTGACAGTGACGCCGTTCTTGCCTTCACGGACAATCTCATACTTGCCACCGAGGACCAGATCTTTGGCGACAAGTTCGCGCGTGCGGCCGAGTGACTCAATATCACCGATGCGCTGGATCGTGGCCTCCAGATGATCCCTGAAGCCCTTTTCGGCGCAGATCTCCTGGAATGCGCGGTGCATGGGCACAGATGAGGCGCGGACGTCGGCGTTGGCAGCAATGCTGAAGAGGTTGAGCCGGTCCATGTTGCGGACAAAGTCGGCGCGCGTCATAATTTGCTGCGCCTTGTGCATCGGGAACGACGGCAGCATGTGGCCCTTTTCGTCGTCGTAAAGTTCCATGTCTTCTTCCTCATCTACGAGGGCTTGGGCGAGGACCATGGCGCCAGCCTGTCATTGGATGTCAGCTCAGCTCGCTCCTTCGGAAAATTCCATGCCAGCTTGTGACAGGGTGTAGATGGAAGAGGATTTTACGTACAGCCCACTTCTGCTGGTCCATCACGTCGTCGTCCATTTCGGCCCCGAGAATCCAGCACTGGTTGAGGAACCATGTCTTCTCGACCTGGCAGATGGATTTACAGGTTGCAATCATATCCCTACTCTTAGCAACGCGGTTCAAGAACGACAGCCGGCCGCCCACGAGGTCATACACCTCCTCAAGTTTCGTGTGGCTCAACTTTTCGTTGAAATACTTGATGCGGTACTTTGCGAGGGCTGCGATAGCTTGACGTTTAGGCAGGTCGCGCACCGACATGATCTCCATCCGCGTAGCCAGCTGCTTGAATCGCTCGTACACCCAATAGTCGTCCGTGTTGAAAACCATAGTCACGAGGTTGGACGCCGCCCACTGTTCCGCACGTTGCTGAAGAAGTTCGATCAGGTCTTTGCCATCATCATCGTCGCGGATCAGGTGCATTTGATTAATGATGACAACCAGTGGCTTTTTGCGTGTGGAGCGGTTGACCAGAGCAACTTTCTCCAGTTTGTTGAGGGCGCGTTCGATATCCAACAAGGCCGTTGTATCGCGAGGCCCGCGTTCGCTGAAATAACCGCCAATATAGTCTTCGTGAAACTCAAAGTCAAGGGCCTTGCCGAGGCGTATGCGCACAATCTCCAGATCTGCGTGAGCCTCAAACATGGCCACGCCTTCACCGTCGATTTTACGCATGGCTTCGATCAGCATGCTACTCTTGCCGGTGCCCTTTTCACCCAGGAGCAAGAAGTAGTGCCCAACCTCTGACCCATCGACTATCTTGTCGATGCGCGCCTGCTCCGGCCGCTGCACCCAGCGATCATCGGCCTCGGCGGAAGTTTGTGGTACTTCCTTTCCGATGGCGGCGAGTTCAAGAACAGGGTCACCGGGTGTGAATGCGCGGGTCATCTTCTTCAGGACGATGCGTTTGTATGTCTTGTGATAGGCGTAGCCTGCTACTGCGAAGCCGGCGGCAAGGACAAGAATGGAGGCGAAAGATGTAGCGGCGGACTCGAGCATCTTCTTGGGAAGACTGTCACCGCCATCGCTGGCTTTGGAGGCGATAGGTTCCGATTTTGAGTTTGATTGTGGTTGATCTGGGCCTGAGGTCAGCTCTGGTAGCAGCGTCTAGGTATCGCTGATGCCGGCAGGAGGATCTTTCACTTGAGATTCTTCATCCTTGGCAGAACATGCAAAGTCGATTCTACTCGGGAATGTATGGGCCGCCGGCGTTTACAAGGAAGATGTAACGAGAACCGGTTCGCAGTTTGATTTGCTGTTGAGACAAGTCGAGATCTGACCTGCAGCATCTTGGCTTGCAGAATCGCGTCTTCGGCTAAACGGAGATGTAGCATCCCTGTCTAGAGCATCCAGAAGAAGCGAGAATCTGACGCCCAGCCTCGCGCAGCCGTACCCTTTTGGAGTCTTGCAGGTGCCACATCCATCTCACCAACATGACACGAAGGGAGCAAACGAAGATGCCATGAGTGAGTGGAACGGTGCACCGACGGCGAGAAAGGGTGGGGGACGAGGAGAGGTAGAGACGGAGAAATGAGGAACATACGCGCACCAACTCACCGGATCTAACTGGCGGGTGTGTGGAGAAGTAGGCGGCGGCTGTCTTGACCGCCGATGAAGGTGGTGCCAATGCCGGTGCCGTCCTTGCCGGTGCTGACAGCGGCCCCCAAGGACGGCGGCGGCCACGCGTTCCAATCCACCGGGTCGGAGAGGGGCGCAACAGCATGAGCTGCCCACCCTTGCTCGCCAAAGCCATCGCTAATGTGTGATGAGCATCTGCAGGGCCTGCTGCGGCTCGTATCGATGGTGATCAATTGCTGAGAAGTCCTCGCCAAGTGAGAGCGTCTCGGAGTCGAGGGGCGCGACAGGTTCTGGCGCGCAGCAAATGTAGTGTCGAGAATTACGGCAGAGAGTGCGAGATTTTGGATTGTTTACGGAGCAAACAACAGGAAAATGAAAAGAAAGAAAAAAGGGCAGTCAGTATCGGTCAAGCCACAGGGGAAAAACAGGAAACACAACGTCGGTCCTACTAAAGGAGAGGACTCCGAGAGCTCCTGCCTTGCCTCTGCCTTTCTTGGCATGGTTTTCGACCTTCTTTTCTTGGCAGTGGCCCCTGCCCAGCTGAGGGACGAACGGACAAGTGGCGCAGACAGATCGGCGGAAGGTCGTGACACAGGTCGATATTGCCATCACGTGAGCAGCCGTCTTGTGAGGTGCCTAGATGTGGCTGATGCTCCAATTGTCCTAGTGTACGGATATGTACGGATATCCGTGCCTTAGTCGCCGTTTCTCGCCCCACGTGTCGAGTTCCGGATTCAGGTAGCTGTGGATCCAGGTACCGCAACGACGGACCGCCGGCGACACTTCATTGAGCTGCCGTCTGCTGCCCGGGGCACCAAATTGCGTAGATAGTTCCATGAAGCTGTGCCTTGCCTGGGAGAATTCCCACGGTTCTTGCTTACTCTTTCCCGGCGAGTTTGACACGAACACGATGAACTATCTCTTTCTTTTCCATCCCATCTCGCTCGTCCAAGATACCTAGAACACCTGTAATATAGATTATTAAGTAATTACGACTTGCAAGTACAGCCGCACATCTCCAAGACCATAAATCAATATCTCACCTTACCTCAGTCAAGCCCGAATATGCTATCTACTACCTGCGTAGCTAGAAGAACCAACGACTGGGCTTCTTACTATCCCAAGGAGTTGGGATTGATCCGTGTCTTGGTGACTGCCTGGCTTTTACATGCACTCGTGGCCCCCAAACCTCCTTCTCATATCACTCAATCTATAAAATTGCAGAGTCAAAACCAAAGCAAGAGGCCACCTAAGATGTATAGATGAATGTGACCACCAGGCTAGAGGCTATCATCAAGCCTAGGAAAACATGTTCACACAGTTTACCTTCCTGGCTGTGATTTGTTAAGGAGTGCTATCTGTCTACCTGAGGAGGTATCAGCAAAGATTGCAAGTCCCTCTTGTCTTTCATGTTGTCATTGTCAACACCACAATGCACCCTCACAGACCATCATCAACCCCTGGTCTGTGCATCGAGTTCACCATCGCTCCTTCCCTTCCAACCTGCTTAGCCTGACGTGCCTGCCCATCACGCGCTTCACTGCTTATTTTTCTCTCCCACCGAGCAGTTTTCATTTCCAACTTCTCTACCGCACACGTCAATTTTCCTCCTGTAGCCCTCACATCAACATTCCCATCTCTCGTTTCTTCACCCCTCGCCCCAAATCTTGTTCTTCCACAAGCCCTCATCATTATCCGTCGATTGGGGATATCGAAATGTCTGTTGTAGGCAAATGATATTTCTTGTTGTTGAAACCAGGAAATGTATGGTTTCAATCCTCTGTTCCTCTGATTTTCCAGACACTGATTGAACTTTGCGCAGACCGTTTTTGTCTTGGCCTCAGCATTTTGGCAGTATCTGAGGGCTTTGGTCATTGGAAATCCCGCTTGGATCATTTTATCCTGCACCGGAATTATTGCATCAGCTTTTCGATTCTTGCTTCATTGCTCCTATACTTTCCATTCGTCATCGTGCCTGGAACGTCCTCAACTGCCGGCCTTGCTCCATCGCAGAGATGGCTCCAAAGCCAAAGAAAACCGACAGCTCGCAGCTTTCGCGCCTTCGATCAGATTCAAGCCACTCACCTGCGCTCACTTCAGACAACCCTCGCCTATTTTCATCTTCCGCCCAAACACAGCCCCATCAATCCACTCCGAGATCCGATGAAGCTGCTCGATTCACTCCTCTCTCAAGACTTTTTCGACGTAACCGCACCAGTACTACACCAAATGATGCTCATCAACTGGCCTTGGAAGCCTCCCTTCCCATATTTGAGCCCAACTCCCCGGCCCCGGCCCCGGCCCCGGCTCCGCCTCTTCCCACTCCTCTCCTGGCGGGGTGCCCTGGTCGCGAGATCACAGGAGCAAAGTCCAACGGCCGCGAATGGGCTTGTGATTTGGACGAGCCTCCTGTCTTGGGCTATTCCGAAGAACTTTCCAAGACGGAATTTCATGAGCACCCACTTGCTCATTACATTGAGCTAGAAAAGGGCTGGGAGAAGCACCAGCTTGCTCTGTATGGCCTCATATTGCCTGCCAAAGTTGAGAACGGCACTCCTATCTATACCTGGGAAAGCGATCCCGAAGACGAAGAGGACATGGACAAGGCGTTGGTGCTTTCAAAGGAGAAAAGACAGCCTTCCAAGCCAGGTACACAAGGAGAACGACCTCGAACACCCTCGAACATTCTGCACAAGGTCAAGTCTTTCGCAACCTTTATTGCAATGTCTGATGTGGAGAAGGACGTTCCAGAGCTCCCAACACTGAAAGAACTGCTCGACCAGTTCGGCTTACCACCCGCAACTCCACATGAATCAGCTCCTCGAAGCTTTCTTCGTCCGACCAGATCCAGCAGCTCCCTCCGTCCAAAGACGCCCACTCGATCCGTCCCTAGTGCCACCAAGTTGCGCTACAAGCGAAGTGCCGGAATTGAAAGGTCCCAGATTTCCAACCCCATCGCCCCCGAGGAAATGAGACGGGTAGGCTCCGACTTCAGCCAGGCTATGGCTAGACGCAGCAGAAACGTTTCCGGAGGCGAGCGAGACTCGCTCTATGCGTCATCTTTGCGAAGCCCCTCGAACTTGATTTCACCATCCATTTCGTCAAGTGTCCCTCTCTATCTTCTTCAGCCTCAACACCCCACCATCTACTTTGGGAACAATGAAGCCCCTCCTGAATTCTGGCTTGCTCCCCCTCGGTTGTCTCCCATGGAGTACGCTCGGCAGTATCTCATTGCTAAAGCTAATGCAGACAGGGAACAAATGGACTGCACAGTCCGCAAGCCGGGTAGTATCTGGGCTTGGACAGAAGACTTCAAGGAGTTTCTTCTGCTTCCGCAACTTCCCGCAGGCCTCGAAAGAAACTTCTTACCAACCGATGGCAAACATTGGAAGCTTTCCAAGATGGCTCCGTCTTCCAACCACAAAGATGCTGGAAAGAGAAGTTCATTCATTCCTCTTTTCTTGGATCTGGGCCCTTCATCGCCTCTCATGCCTGCCCATTTCCACAGCAACTCATACTCTTTCATCGGCCCGGGCCATAAGTATCGTTCATCCAGTGATGGATTCTCCCTCAATCGTCCCGCTTCGGCCAGATATGAGAGCCTATTGCAGTCGACAAGGTTACTGCTAAACGATCCTTCCACCCCCATTGCTAACGAAGATAAGAATTGCTTTGTTGGTGTTTGTCTCAATACCACCAGTGAGTCGACGAACTCCTTTCATCCCGAAATGATACAGGCCTCTCCTTTGGATGGGGCTTCTGTTCATGTACAACCCCTGCATCTTGCTTCCCAACGAGCTTCCAGTGAAGCGCATTCGACCGATGCACTCACAGCCACCCTTCCTCGTCCTTGCAAGGCTGAACAGCTGCCGCTTGAGAATCATCGTCAGGTCAGCAATGACACACAGGCTGCATCGAATAGGCCAGCGTCGCCGAGTGTCTCCCTTCAGAGAATTACTGAAACATTCCCTTCTTCCACAACTAGTGTTGAGAGGAGCTTACCGACACGTCCTCCTACTACTAAGATGAAAGAAGTGTCACCATCACCTCAACATGGCTCTGCAAGTTCCTTGAGAAAAGCTCGTGGACAATTTTCAGCGACAGCCACAGCCAATAGAGACGAAAATAACGTGTCTCCTGTCAATTTTGATCACCCATTTGAACTGCCTCTCGATGGTTCTGTGTCTCCTCTCAGCGACTCACCGGCATCTGCACAGACTGAGGTTTTTGCGCCACAGTTCATGCGGAGACAAAAACTTCAACATACTTTGGACGACGCTTTGACGCCACAGGTTGAAGATGAGACATTTTACCAAAGCATGTCAGATAATGAAGCTGATATTGAAGATACCTCTTCCATCTACTCACAGGATAGTGCTGTTACAGCAGTTCGCCATCCTTTGACTGGATGTCGCCCTCCTCCTACAGACTTGATGTTGCTGGCGCCCACGACCAGTGAGTTTGGGAACGAAGAGAGTTTGACCCCGCGCCAAGAGGAGAACCTTCCTTCCAATGTCGCTCACTCTCAGGAAAGAGCCTCACGACGCTCACCGGTCCTTCAAGCTCTTTCATACACCCCACGTTCAGAGTCTGCTCAGTCTTACGCCACTCATGAGCAAACTTACGGCTTTTCTGACAATAGATACTCCCAAGCTCCATCTAGTACCATCAGCAACTTTTCGTCGCAAGCAACTGGACCTGCGGTGGATCAACACAATCGCTACTCTGCTGCTTCTCAAGTGAGTTCAGCCACGTCTGTTTCGACATCCGCTTCTTTTCGCCTTCCCATCCAGGAGACTCCGGCCTTCTTGGCAAACGATTATGCCAAGGCTAGCAGGAAGTATGCGCGCCATGCAGGCACTGAGAAGCCAGCCCCGGAGACGTCTTCCAGAATCACCCACTCGGGGGCTAAGGATCCTCTCCCGCCCTCCCGGAGCTCTGTCACCAAACATTCGTCATCTTCTTCTGGCCTCCCGACTTCAGTCACCTCACTTGCCGCCGATTCTGGAGCGTATTACCGCGAGAAGCGCCTTCCGAAACGCCCAGAGCCGGCCCAAAGAGATCCTGTCACCGAGGCCATCGAGTCTCGCAATTCAAACCTTCCGTCTCTACACGTCAGAAGACGCAGGGCTGTCCCGAGTCTTCCTCAGATATCAGCGTCTCAAGCATACCCAAAGCCGCTCCGTCTCAGCACGATGAAGAGCCCCGGCCCAGCTTCTACAGCGGCGAACTCCGATCGCGCAGTTTCCGCCGCCAGCACTGGGACTGTCGTTCCTTCAACTTCAAGACTCATCGCGGACATCGGAAATGAGTTGGACCGCGAGATGGAAGAGGTCTTGTCGCCTCGCAGTGCTGCCTTGGCTCAACGATCGATGACACCCAAGAACGATGCTGATGTTGCTACGCCTACTCGTCGACCCCGCCAAGTCCAGTCGATGAAGTCGATTCCCTTTGATGCGCCTCCTCTCCCGGCACCCAACAAACCGCTGCCTTCCATCCCAAGACCCAAGTCAAAGCCAGAAGCTGCTGGTTCTGCCTTCATCGATGCCAATTTTGGTCCAGGCCCTGCCAGGTCTTACGTTCCTGCCCGCCCGCCGCCGCCCATTCCAGTCTTGAAGCCCATTGATACCACTTCCCCGTCTGCTTTCGATACTTCTTTTGACGACGCCGTCACCCGAGCCGACTTTTCGATCAAGAGAGACCGGACCGTTCGTCCTGCAGTCTCCATGGCGGCGATGTCGCCTCGTCCAAGTAAGTTCCCCCCACGGCCTCAATTCTCAATTTGGATTCTGACAACAGACGTAGCACCTTTGGTCGACCAGCGCCAGCAGCGTGCTCATCAGCAGGGACCGGCGGCTTATGTGCAAAAGCCCGCCAACGTGCCCTCTCGATTCTTGGGTAAGATGGCATCGATGGCCGAGCTCAAGCACAGGAGAGACACGAATTCGAGTCGTTCGACCGACAGCGAGAATTCCGTGGGAATGAGGACTTTCCTTAGCGAGGACAGTGCTGCTCCTGCTGCGGCCCCATCGTCATCGAGAGACAAGTCTATGGAAGGCTCGAAGCGGAAGTTCCTGAGCAACCTTTTCAAGAGAAACCGAAAGGATGGAGAGAAGTAAATATCTGGTACGAGGAGAGTGTGAGGATCAAGAGAGACCAAATTTTGGAAGGGGATGTTCGCAGACTAAGTTGTGTTATACCTATTTGTACAATGACGGAAAAGAGGTGATACTCTGGGAATTAGGGTTTGTGTATAATGGCTTAGCAAATGCATTTCTCACTAGGGAGATATGCAAGTTGACGCAGAGCCGAACTCAATGACATGTTACCTGACCTCCCCGTCTTTCCTCTATCGTTGTGTGTCTATGCCTGTACTTGGCAAATACGGGAGAAAGACGATTTCTCGCGGTAGCGGTGCGGCCTCGGTTCCAGTCTCGAGAACCTCGCTAGGGTGTCTTGTCAATCTTGACAAAATTGTTGGTCGAGACAGTACAAGCCCAAAAGGAGGACATCCTAGTCGGAAGTCAACGATGGGCCGATGGCAAGCATGCCCAGGTTCCGGCGCAGCCATCATAATACGGGAGCAAGGGTCTAAATCATCCTTGGTGTCGATGAGCAATCGAAACATCGTTGGTGGGGTCCTTGACACCGAGGACCGTATTGGACTTTGGGGAAAGCCACCTAGAATCTGTGAGTTGGCCATCGATGCTAACAAAGAGACTGAAGGAGAAAATTAAGCTTTGATATGCAGCACAGCCACCTTGGGTTTGCGGAAGAGAACAATCGGCCGATTTCGTCATTCTCTTGACGTTAAAGATGATGTTCGTCGTCCCTAACCCATGTTTGGATCTTCTCGGTTGTGGAAGTCGTCATCCGGGCCCGGCGTCATCGGAATGAATCCTTCCGACCGCTTCGCTCGGGCCGGCAGGGGGAGACTCCCTGACCGCTGTGACAGCTTACGGCGTATGTAGGGACAAGATAAGGTAGCCAGCCATGTTCTTGTAGTGGACCACCAGGTCTTCAAAACAGTCTTTTGTGTTTCCAACGTCTACCACATACCAAGTGAACGGGAAAGAATGGACCGCGCGGCCTCGATGCTGTCCATTGTCCTCATTCGAGCTGGGCGATAAACAAGTCCCGCGAATTCGGTGACGTACGACCAACATTGCGCGGGCAGACAGCGTGGGCGGACTACGTAGAGTGTACGCGGCTGGAACACTTGTACTGCGGCGAGAGTCCCCTATCTCTAGTCTGTTTCCCAAATTTTCGAATTCCCATCAATGCACATTGTCTTCGTTTGTTTTGGCGTCGGGGCCCAGCAAGCGGCAGAGGCTGATGGAATGTATTTTGGCAGACCCGTATCGCCGGAACGGGAACGGCGCTACGCTCCTGTGCTAAATTTGGATTCACGCATACAATGTAGTACGTACGTAGTATACCTCCGTACGGCATGTCTCTATCCGTGGATTTGGAGAAGCTGAGGGTGGGCAGGGAAGCTCCTTGCGAATAAATTGATTGGACCATCCGAAAGAACTAGGGATCTTCCATTGTAATTTTAAGGCTACTATCCGTAGTACCGTACAATAAAGTAAAACTCAATCATCGACAGATCCGACACAGGCGCACCGCATACCAAGTATGCTCGTCCCTGAGATGAGAAGTTTTCGCATTCTCCTCCCGTGGAATGCACGCGCAAGGAAGACAATTGACTTTCGCTTGAGCTTTTGGTGCCGGAGCTTGCGTTACATGCCCGCCGGACCTTTCATTCGCCAGTTGAACTAGGCTGCACAAGATACCAGTGATCTGCCCCCCCCCCAACCAGTCTCCAAAAAACAAACTTTTATAGAAATTACGCACCCCACGGGGGGACTGGATATGCTGACAATTGCCAGTGGTAGAGAGAAACGGGAAGCCCGGACGGCGAGCCTCCGTCCTGACGGAACAAATCGTGACAGATTCCCACAGCGGCGTGTCTCACACGCACTTGTTTGAAGGACTCTTTTCGTCCAGGTGTTCATTCTCCATTCATTCTTTCATTCATTCTTTTGCAGACCCTTCAGACACTCATTCTTGACACACTCATTCTAGACGCTCATTCTAGACACCCTCACTATAGACGCTCATTACCTTTTGGACAAACGCGCCCGTTGGATTCGGCAACTATAAGAAAATCCACAACCACCACAATGAAGTTCTCCCTCTCCCTCCTCCTCGCGCCCCTCGCCGTCGCCGGCCACCCGACCACCGACGACGGCGCCCCCGCCCCCGCCGCCGCGGCCGTCGCCCGAGGCCACACCCACCACCACGGCGCCGCGCACCGCCTCCTCGCGCGCCAATCCCCCACCAGCATCGACAAGCTCTTCAAGGCCAAGGGGAAACTCTACATTGGCGTCTCGGGCGACAACGGCATCATGCAGCAGGGCAAGACCGCCGCCGTCATCCAGCAGGACTTTGGGCAGGTGACGCCCGAGTACTCGATGAAGTGGGACGCCACCGAGCCCACGCGCGGCGCCTTTGACTTTACCAACGCCGACTTCTTGGTCAACTTTGCCCAGACGAATGGAAAGCTGATCCGCGGACATACCTTGCTCTGGCACGAGGCGTTACCCGCGTGGGTTGCCGCCATCAAGGACAAGGCGACCATGACAAAGGTGGTTGAGACGCACGTCAAGACGGTTGTCGGCAAGTACAAGGGCAAGATCAGGTCGTGGGTACGTCAAGTCAGCGCGTGTTAGGACGGGGTTTTCATTCCGTGTTCCAATCTTTTCCCTTATTTTCCCCCTCTTTCCGTACCTTACCTTAGCTTACTGTAAAAAAGGACGTTGTGAACGAAGCCTTCAACGACAACGGTACCCTACGCAGTACCGTCTTCTCCAACGTCCTGGGCGAGGCCTACATCGGCATCGCCTTCCGCGCCGCGCGCGTTGCGGATCCCGCTGCGAAGCTGTACATTAACGACTACAACCTCGACAACGCGGGCTGGGGCAAGGTCACGGCCGTCGTGAACAAGGTGAACCAGTGGATCGGACAGGGCATCCCCATTGACGGAATCGGTACGTTTCTTACCCCCCGTCCCCCTTCACCCCCCATTGGAGCCGCCGCGAGGACGGGAGACGATCGCCGGGGGTTAAAGTACAACAAGATGACTAAACCTCCCCAAAAAAACAGGATCCCAAGCTCACCTCGCAGCAAACATGTCTGGCAACATCCAAGCAGCCCTCGAAGCCCTCGCCAGATCCCGCGCCTCCGAAATCGCCATCACCGAGCTCGACATCCCCGGCGCCCCGCCCAACGACTACGCCACCGTCGTTGCGGCGTGCCTCCACGTGCCAAAGTGCAAGGGCGTCACCGTCTGGGGCGTCAGCGACAAGCAGTCCTGGATGGCCACCGCCAAGCCCCTTCTGTTTGACGACAACTGGAAACCCAAGCCAGCGTACAACGCCATCGTCGCGAGGTTGCGTAAATGAATATAAAAAAAAAAGGGGGGTGAGGGTCGGCCAGCTGTGAGATGAAGGAATGGCATCAACTCTGGCGTTTTGCATCGCATCTGATGGCGCTTTTTATTTAAACAACGTGACTTGGACAAGGACACTCTTCATCGACCATCTCAAACCTCAACCGCTCAACTGTTCATGACTGCCGCATGGAAGTCGTCCCTGTCCAACCAAGCATGATACAGCCTCGATAAGTTGACCAGAAGCTTGTATCAGCAAAGATGGTTCACTAGGCGGCAGGTTATCTCCAGCTCCAGCCCATTCCACGTAACCCTAGAAGAGGGCAAGAAAAGCAGCCGACGACGACAAGTTCAAGAAAATGCGCCAGTACATAGAAGAGTTCTTGGGATTTCGGTCAGGCTTTGACCGAGCATGGAACAGAAAATACAATTCTACTTTTTCAACGCACGCATTTCTCATCACCATTCAGAACTATTCAGAACTATTCAGTCTGGCAAAATGTGGGACTGATCAAAAGATCTCTAAAACGGAATCATTGTGAACAAACCATTTCGTCACTTGTATGAACCAGGATTTTCCAACGTTGATCGATTAAATAATACTCATTCCTCATGAACGATGCGTCTTAAGAATACAAAAATGCCACCCAACGCCGTCGCAATGTAAGTTGTATGATACAGGACTTTTCTCTCTGGCCCAGGAAGTGCCAAGGGGAACAGAATGTAATATGTGTGTGCGGAGTTTCAAGTGTACGATGATTGTCGAACACAATAAGCAGTCCACGCGCTTAGGCAGAGGCGTTAACCTTCTCCTCCTCACTGGCGGACTCGTGGTGGTGCTTGTGCTCCTCGGCGCGCCACTTTGCAGAGGTGATGGGGTTGACGTGCTGGACGTACATGGTGTCAATCTCCTCGAGGGTGCGGTCCTTGGACTCGATGACGAAGAGGAAGACAATGACAGCCAGAGCAGCACAGCAGCCAGCGAAGACGAGACCGTAGAGGTAGTCAATCGCGTCAGTGATGTAGCGGGTGAAGAAGGATATGAGGCTGAGAAGGAGTTAGCTCGGTGTTTTAAATAGTTGGAAGACGGGGTTACGTACAAGTTCCAGAGCCAGTTGGAGGCGGTGGCAAGAGCCATGGCGGGGGCACGGTAGCGGGCAGGGTACAGCTCAGCAACGACAGCCCAGACGAGAGGACCCCAGGTGGTGGCGAAACCGGCGATGAACAGGCAAGAGAAGGCAACAAGAACGGCGCCGGCCTGGGGAGTGTTGGAGGGGTTGACAGTGTCGAGGGCGAAGTGACCGACGAAAGCGTAGACGAAGAAGCACATCATCATCCACAGAGCACCGGTAATGAGAGCAATGCGACGACCCGACTTCTTGACGACGACCAAACCACCAAAGGTGCAAGCGACGTTGACGGAGCCGAGAATGAGCTGAGTGACGTAGCTGTCGCTGATACCGGTGGCGGAGAAAACAGTCGTTCCAAAGTAGAAGAAAAAGTTGGCACCCGTGAGCTGCTGGCCGGCTTGAAGCACCATTCCGAGAATGGTACGGTAGAGCATGCGGGGTCCGGTGAAGATCTCCCAGATGCTGGTGTCGGCGCCGGCACTCTCCTCAGCGATCTTGGCGCGGATCTCTTCGATCTGAAGGTTGACAGAGGCGGCATTGGGCTCAACTCCGGCAAGCTTGGCAATGTTGCGGCGAGCCTCGTCCTCGCGACCCTGGCGGAAGGCGTGACGGGGGGACTCGGGGAGGAGAAGGATACCAGCACCGAGGATGAGGGCCCAGGCGAAGCCGAGACCGTTGGGGATGCGCCACGAGGCAGAGCCGGCCTTGTTATGGGTCGCGTAGTTGACAATCTCGGCGAGCCAGATGCCGAGAGTGATGAAGAGCTGGTAGGTGGAGACGATGACACCGCGGATGATGGCGGGGCAAGACTCGGACTGGTACATGGGAACGACGACGGACAGGGCGCCGATGCCGACGCCGTTAACGAGGCGGCCAATGGCGAACTGGTACCACTTGGTGGTGGAGGAGATCTCGATGATGATACCAATGCAGGAGAAGAAGGCGAAGATGGAGATGGTCAAGCGACGGCCGAGGGTGTCGGCAAGCTTGCCGGCAGAGAAAGCACCAACGAGACAGCCGATGCACAGAAGACCGACAATGGTACCTTGGCGAGCGGCGCTGAAGACGTAGGTGCCATTCTGGGCCTCACCGAAGCGCTGCATGAAATCTTCCATGAGGAAGAAACCGGAAACTTGGCCACTGTAAGGAACAACAAAGGGTCAGCAAACGGAAAGGCCGGCGGGACAGGCGGGTCTCAGGTCTTGAACGCGGCTGAGAGGAGCCCGGGAGGAGTAAGACATACCTGACATAACCGAACATGAAACCACCGATACTGGCAACAAGACCGAGGAAAGCGGCGGCAAAGGTGATCTTTTGCTCAGCCGTGATATCGGAGCCGGAATCCGGGGCGGGAGTATCGGCGTCCGTCCGATCCTTGTGCTCTACGCCCTTGCCACCGAGCTTGGGGAACTGCATGTTGGGCGAAGCTGACGATGCGCGTCGATATGGGGTTGGATATGTGGGGGTGGGTTTAGCTGTCTCGATCCAGGGGAGGATGGTGTAGAGGTGCGAATAACTCTGCTGGGTCCGAGGGTGAGGACAACGATGTTGTTGTTATAGTTGCTGGGTGTTTACTTGGAAAAAGAGGAGGACACTGGACTGGAAGACAGGCAGTGGCGGAGGGAAGGAGGAAGGTATTAATTATACCCTTATGTTTGAGGTGTGGAGAGGTCAAGGTTGTTGAGATAAAACTCTGATTAGTCTGGAGAAGTGTGGGATGGGAGAGTGGAAAGGGGGCCAAGAGTAGACGATGGGGGAAGGAGAGGATTCTTTTTGTATTAGATGAAGGAGGTCAGGAGACGAGCAGGTTCTTTCCAAGGTTGACAGCTTCAACTACCAACTGGTAGGTACTTTGGACTGGGGACTGGGTCTCACGAACACGGCTCCGGGTTGGGACGTACCTTCCTACCTTACCTTACTCTGTGCACATGACAGTATGGAAGGTAAGGTAGGCACTAGTCGGAAGGCACGAAGAAGGAAAGGAAGCAGGCAAGGAAGGAATGATCAGTTCCTCACCCCGTTCTCACCCCGTTCTCACCAATTCACCCCCGTATATCCCCGTTCGCCTCCGCATGCGTTTCCACTCTTGACCGATGGAAAGGTGCTTTTCATGCCTCATGATCACGTCTCTGACCAAACACCCGGCACAGGGTGGGAAATTTGCTAAGAGGAAAAAAAAAAAACTAGGTGAAGAAAACCCACAGTCCTGGCTGGCTAACCCACAGCCCACAACATGCAGCAAACGGACAAGTCGGGGGCCCGTGGGCGGACCAAGAAAAGTGCGGGCAGCAACGTACGTGTGTGGGCTGGACTGTGGGATAATGGCGGGTGAAAACCGGGTGAAGAAAGAGAAGTGGTAGATGCATGTGGGTGACGGTGGTTCTGGCCCAGTCCCGCGAGCAATACCGTGACCATGGTGACATGTCGGACCAGGGGGGAGGGGGGGGGGGGGGGGGGGGGGGGGGGGGGGGGGGGAAGGAGGGAGGGTAGGTGGGGGGGGGTGGAGGGGGTTCCGGCCCGCGCCCGCGAGCGACGCCGCGAGCCGGGGGACAGGGGGGGGGGGGGGGGGGGGGGGGGGGAACACGACCAAGACAGGAACATCCAACATCGTGGAAAGGGACCGGATGGCCAGAGCTCTCGCCGGTCGCGAAGGCTCACGAGTGACGTTGGTGGTACATTGCGCCGAGTACCTCCGGCCGACGAGCTGAGGTCAACCGTCAAGCACCAGCTGATGCACGGTGTACCGGGTACGGTGCGGCGTCGGTCGGCGGGGGGAGGGGGGCCCATGAACTGATTGACGTCGAGGCTCATTACACTTCTTCGGTCCAATGCTCGGCCACTAAGAGGAGTCGGTCTAAAGATGAGGCTCCCCGGCGGTGGTGAGCGATGTCTACACCTAGCAGCCGTACGTAGTATACGTACATACCAAGTGGTGGTTTGAGCGAAGGGCAGGGTGGCAGGGTCGTCTACGGTCTACCAGAGAGAGGCCGAGATGGACGGCGCAGGGTCCCGGTCACCCCAATAATCTGAATTATCTGATAGCTGGAATTCGCCGAATGGATCTTGCTTCTCGTCCTCTTCCGCTCTAGTCTCTGCTGCGTACCGTGCGAACCCCTGTCCAGAATCTTGCCTGTTGCAGGCAAGCCGCAAGGCGAGAGCCAGCAAGGCCCAGATAGGACGGTCCACAATTACACTAATCGGACCCTTTATCCTTGGCGGCTGCTGGAATCTATTTAGCGCGGAAACCACGAGATGATCCGCCCGCTGTCGCTGTCGTAAGGTGGAGACCCCGAAGCCTCCGATTGACGTCAGGCTCAGGATGCACCGATGCAGGTCCCGTCCCGTAGTAAGGTGAGTACCTTATGCTGCCACTGCGCCGCGGAGTTGTGAAGGCCATGGACGCATTGGAGGGACGGGAGACTGATTGATTGACTGATTGACTGACTGACTGCCTGATGGACTGACAAACGCAAAGCTTAACACGCAGCTTTGTCATGGGCGGGGTGCAGCCGAGAGAGTCAGGTTCCCTGCCCTTTCATGAGCCATCTGTTTCTTCGAGAAAAGATCGCTGGAGTCCTGGACCACATCATCTCACATCATACCATCAGACGAGTGGGAAGCCTGAGCAGATGCAGAAAACAATTATTCGTAGATGCGGAAAGAAACCGATGGTGGTAAACAGGGACATGGACTCATGGAGTGTACGAATAAAAGGAAGGGAACGTTGGAAGAAAGGCATCCATCCACCTCTAGGGCCCAAGTACCGTGCCGCAGCCACATCTCCCTTTTCCGAGTGCAAAGTACGTACTCTGCGCACCTAAGGTGAGGTAGACCAAGATCTCCACCGCACGCCGCACGCCGCACGGGCGGCATCTGCCATCTGGCATGGCACGGCCTGTCAGTGGGATATGGGAATATCATGGGTTTGCTGTGCAGCGCGGCGCGCCGCGAACTAACGTCCAACACATCACATATTGCCTCGTGTTCGCTGTCTGCGTCCGCGCCAGCGTTTACAACTACAGGTCAACTGTACAGTTCGGCCATTCCATCGTATCATTTCGTCAAGAAAACAACCCGAGATACCCATCATATCGTCCGGTCTCAACCCCATTCCCCAGACTGACCTCCGCACCAGATGACGAGAAAAACCAGTCCATCATCACGAAGGAACTGCAAAAAAAACCACAATGCAGCCGCATGGCATCGCATGGAATCGCAGGGCCCACGCAAGGTCCGAATAGAGAGCGACCCCTGACCCATGCCACCCATGCCACCCCTGCCGCCTTTCCATTCTTCTTGTTTTCCATCTGGCATTTAATGGTTATCTCCTCCCCTGTCTGCTGATCAACCCCTGACCCCTGCTGGTCCTCTTCGGCCCGGCAAGCAGATGCCGCCGCAATACGCCCCCTAGCAGATACCTACATAGTAGCTGTGGGAAGTTGTGGCTTGCTCCCGTTACTCTTAGCGCCCGGTTCCTGATAACCGCCATCTGTCTCTCTGCACACCTTTGGCGCCACTGTTGGTCAACGCCAAACCGTGATGGAGTGGGAGAGCGAGAAAGAGAGATGCTCTTGGAACTGAACCTTTCAAGTAAAGAACTGAGGGCTTGTGAGCGTAAAGACTATCAAGGCTCCAGGCTGCCGCTCGCTTTCGAAGCCTCAAGCCAGATCATTATTACACCCCCACCTTGAACCACAGCGGAACCCGGCCGGCACCCCCTTGGCCCACGATGGGGAGTCTAAGTTCTAACGAGAGACATTTGAAAAAAAAAAGAAGCACCGAGACTCGGCCATGAGTACCATGAGAGTATACCAAGTTGAGCCCCATCCTTTTTTCGTGTCTCTTACAAGCTACGAGCCAGCGAAACAGCGACAAAATGTGCTGGCGGCCACTACTACTACCTACACGGCCTGGGCACTGTTGACGAGATGTGGAAACTCCCATAGGAATAAGGGGAGGACGATGGAGCACGAGTCTTCTCGTCTGTCCAGAGACTCCAGGCGCGAATGGGAAAAAAGGGCCGAACAAGTCAGGAACTCACGAGACCATTGGAAAATTTACTTCAGAGTTGAATTAGATGTGGGAATTGAGGAGGAGCTATGGAGGAACGAAAGAGGAGACATTGAAAAGATTTGAGTGGAAGGACTCCTTTCTTGAGAGTCCTTGTCCAATACTCCATGGTGATGAAGCTGACGATGGATAAATCCTACGAAGCTACCATGAAGCTCCCGCATCTCACAGACTCAATATTTAGCAGTTAAGCCACCTCGTGGATAAGGATTGTATGTGGCTGGACAAATTGCCTTCACCTCACTTTGCGCTAGTCTCTGTGGCTTTCACCATCTCAAGGGCCAAGGCAATTATTCGGATCTTTTTTTTTTTTTTTTTTTTTTTTGGCAAAGCCTACCTTAAAATGTAGAGGTGGTCCATTGCGCGCGCAAATTCTCGCCTCACCTCGGCCGTGCGCCTTGAATGCGGATCCGCCAGGGTTTAAATCGGGCCCATCTCTACCTAAGGGCCCGAAGTGCGGCCATGCCGCTGGCCGCTGCGGTCCTGCGACCCGCTTTTCATGCCGGTGGTCTGATCGGATGTTTTCCGTTCGCTCGTTTTCCTCTTCGCCTTCTCCGCTCTCAGCGTCTCAAAGTATTCCGTACCCTTTCCCTCTGCTGACTGCCTTTGGTTGTTTTGTTTTTTTTCGTGCGTAGTTCCATGGGTTTTACATGTCCGATGCCCATCGCGATGGTTTGACGCCGTCTACTTCTCTGCTATCGCCGACGCCGATACTAATACTAGTGCTCTCCCATATATGATGATGTAGCGGCCATTGTTCCATCAACTGTCACGCAACCAAGATCTGACAATCTTCTGGACTTTTCGCCTCGCGAGACTTAACCCTGCCTGGCCTCCGGTCTCTCGATGTTTGCTGACCTAATGACTCGGCCACAATTTGACACCGGATCCGATGAATAGGTCACCGTTTGCACACACACACAGCGACCTCGCGCGCCGACACCCCCTTCCGCGACCGCGACGGAACAATGACGCCACACCACACTTCTCCAAGACAAATTCCGCGCCGGCGCGCGGACATGCTCCGAAAGGTGAAGCCATCGTGACAACTGACACAAGAGAAAGAGGGAGAGAGAGAGAAAACCCGCACGGAATGCCCGTGTAACCCCCCCTTTTCTTCCCCAGATGTCGGAAGACTCATCCAACACCAGATTGTGCATGTCGCCTGCCCCGGATGACGTTTTGCGTCTTGGGGTTTGTCACACCTTCCCACTCTCCCGGGACTCGTCATTGGAAATGCTCACATAGTTCTCCATTACACGTTTACAAACTACACCAAGCTGCCAAGCACAGTTTCTCCATTTTACTTAGAGAAGGGGACGGGCGGGGGGGGGTGGCCTCGGAGTAGAACCGATATCCCTCATCCCGCAGGCCGGTAGGTCCTTAACAAAAACATGACGCTTCCACAATCGCGGGTGTAGCCACACTTTGTCTCGCCACGAAAAATCTCGGAATGTCACAGCCCTACGGTGGCGGCGACAGCCGCAACAGAGTGGGCAGATCTGCGGCGGTCGGAGATAAACTGGTTTCTGCTGATGGCCGATACGGATACCAAGATGGCTGATTCATGAGCAGTTGGCGTATGACGACATTCCACCCAGGCCAGCCAATTTTTTTTTTTTTTTTTTTTTTGCAAATATCATTCTAGTTTGGGTGGTCCGACTGGCCACCAACGAGTCATGATCGGTGACGTAAATTCCTCAAAGCTCCTCACGACAGTTTAACGCGCAAAGGAAAGTAGAAACACGACGAGTGAGCAAGATGACTCCAGTGCAGCTTGTGTCGAACCATCTGGTGGGATTTACAGGTATCAAGTGATGTACGAATCCCCTCCTTAAACAATCAATAATCCGCCCCAAAACCTACCGCCACGACCTGACCCAAGCCTGCCTTGTCCACACTGCCCTTGCATGTGGCCCAGGAAATCGGTCGTCCCGGCGTCCTCTGCCGGACGCTGGCCATCAAACCGCATCCATCAACAAAGATCTTCCCAAGTCCACACCGTAGTTTTGCGGGGTATCATCACCCGTAACACACTACTTGCGTGATCTAATAAACCTCAAGGCGCCTCTGCTACGGCGCGCTCCACTCACAGCCTTCTAAGCCGCGGCTTCTGCCACTTCAGTGTCCTTGCGTCGGCGCTTCGCTGCATGAGCTTTTGTCGCAGGCGTGGTCGCCGCTGGAGACGCCGACGCCGGTCTTACATAATCATCGTGAGCTGAGCTTGAACCACTGTCTGATTCCACTTCCAGCACATGATAATATCGCGGCCCAAGCTGCCCGCCCGGTGGCTCAGGCCCTCCAGTCTTCCTGGCCCAGCTGCCTGTCGGCCGATTTGGTCTCCTTTTGGCTTTGAGGCCCGTGGGTGCGGTCGACGGCGGAACGCGAATTGGTGGCATGTCCTCGTCAACATCGCTATTTTGCACCGACTCCGGTTGCAGCGACGCCGCCGACCGAAGTCTGTTGCCGGAAGAAATACGATTCTTGGCATTTTCCCTCTTCTCCTTCAGGCGATCGGGAATCTTCTCGACCGCGTATTGCGCAGTGACTGGCTCGGGCGAACTACCGTCATGCTCCATAGAACGTTGTCTTGATGAATTACCCCCAGAAAGCCTAATCCTTTTCTTGGCCGGGCTGGGTCTGGCATCTTCTGACTCGGCTGGGGCTAGTCTGGAATTGGCGGCAGGTTGGAGAGATGGAAACGCAGATAGAGCAGTCGACATAGAACCGGCCATAAGTCGATTCGATTGTGCTGATGCGGCCAACGACGATGGTTGCTGCTGTGCAGATGGAGATTCAAGATCTGTCAGCCGGGTCTCGTCCTCCTCGTCACCTTCAGAGTCTTCGTCGTCTTCATCGTCGTCGGAAGCCTCATCGCTATCAATCACAAGTTCAGCGCTGCGCGGCTGGTCTTTTTTGCTCTTTCGACGATTGGCCTTCTTGGGAGGGTCAACAACAGCCATCTCGTCCTCAGTATCGTAGTTGGTATCCCCTCCGCCAAGAATTTTGGCACCCCGGGGGCCGCTCGCTTTGGCATCTTCCAGCAACCAACGGGCGCAGTCTCTAACTGACTTTTCCTTTTGATTTGGAACGAGCTGCCTCAGACGATACCACAGCAACTGGAGAGTCTTTTTGGGCCACTTCCTGCGGAACTCCAAGTCGGCAAGCTTGGTCCACTGAATCTTTCGATCGCGGCCCGCGCCTCCGGCCAGGATTGACCGGACCACCTTGTGCTTATCTTCGGGTGGCATTTCCTGGATCTGCTTGCGGGCCTTCTCCAACGTCCAGGTGACCTTTGAAGCGGGACGCGACGACTGCAGAACCTCGCTGGGGCTCAATTCCACGTTGAGAGTCTTGAACTTCCTCATGCATTGCAGGCGGCTGCGTTTGCGGCCCATCAGGTCACTGATCGTTTGCCAGTTTATGAAGGGTTCGTGAGGCTTCCGGATTTTCGAAGGTGACTGGTCAGTCCGTCTGAGTGAGGTGATGACGTGCTGGACCAACTCTCTTTCTTCCTCTTCAGTCCAATATTGACGGCCTTCCGTGCTGCCGCAAATGACGTAGTTCCGATAACGGTCACGAACGTCTTTCTGATGGCGTCCCAGCTCATCCGCAATCTTGGCCCAGCAATTGCCGTGTTTGGCGTGCAGCATCTCCAGCTTAGCATCTTCTTGAGACGTCCATCCTCCTCCCCGAGCCTTGAAGTTATGGAAGGACTGACGAGCAACGTCGATGATTTTTTGGCGGCGCCGGTCGGGAAGAGCGGCACATATGAAACTCCACATACTCAGAAATTTATCGCCGTCATATGGAATAGCCGCTTTAGACGTTGTCTTTTTGCGCTGTTTCATCTGGATGAGGTTGTTCATCTGCTCCTGTGTGAGGTTGTTTTCATCTCTATATTTCTCGACAATCTCAGTGAGCTTCTTCGTCTCTTCGACGGAGAACTGGCCCGTAACAAACTCGGGTGGTCCCTGTGATGCCCCCTTGGGCTTCGCAGGCTTCTTTGGCGTTGTCGTCTTTGCTGGTTTGTCTGTGATGGTTGGTAGTGAGCCAGTTGCGGCTGTCTGTTTGGCTTTCTTGAGCTTCATTTGAGGCTTTGTGGTCTTGGTCGGTGCCGGCTTCTTGACTGCGGCTACATCTATGTGAGGCACATGATCCTCGCCGTCCTCTTGGATCGCATTAGTCGCGTTCTCTTCCACGTCAAGATACTCTGGTGCCTCGTGGTCTGATATTGACTTCTCAAAGAAGTCCGGTTTGGAGCGTTGTTTCTTGGATGCAGTAGAGCGGTTAGACTTCTGAGCCGAACTGGGCAAGTTGCCAACCCCAAATGACTGTTCTCCGTCTGTCTCGGCATTGTGACGTCGAGTACCTCTGGGTGTTGTGGCGGGCTTCTCGATAGCTGATCCCTTCTTGGAATAGGTGGTTTGTTTTTTGGATGAGTTCTGAAGTGCATCGCGGAAAGTTTTGATCGGCAGCTGAGGGGTTGAAGCTGCCACCATGTCTTCGCTGCGTGTGCTCGTTGGACTTTCTCTCGGGGGCTGAGATGATGGGGGTAGACCATCAGCGAAAGATCCATCATCAGACTGTGCACTGTCTTCGAGGAGTGGTCCGGGCGAAGAGGGCCGGTTCGCAGTCTCGTCCAAATCCGCGTCTTGATCACCATTGATGCTGTGCTGGTCGGATGTGGCATTTTCGGGTTTTGCGACAATCGGTGAGCTTTGTTGCGCGGCCTCGATGGACTCTTCAGACTCCGAAGAGCTCTCTACCTGTTCATCCACAGCATCGTCCGTAGACTCCACGGCTTGTAACGTATCATACGGTTGAGCTGCGGCCTGGCTGACAAGACTCTGTCTCAGGAGAGAAATCTGAGATCCCCGTGACATGCTCCTCCGCCTCTGCGCAGCAACGCTAGGTGAAGACGCCAAGGCGTTCTTGTCATCGTCGGTCATATCGCCGTCTGGGCTCGGCAACACAGGCGTGCCGGAAGGTTGAGTGAAGAACTTTCTGGGAACGCCGAGGAGTTGCGACTGCTGTGACTCGTTTTTCATCTCCACAGGGTCGGGCTCGGAAGCAGGGCTGTGAACGATGGGTTGGGCGATGGTGGTGCTCTCAGGCGACTCGGGTACGACGTCCTCAGGCTGTGTCTCCTCCATGTCGACATCTTCAGCATCATCCACCGGTGTACGCGTCTTCTTTTTCTTTCTCTTCTTCCGACCCGAAGCTTGCGACGCGCCCGGTCCAGTGAAGTCTTCCGACGCGCGCTTGCGCTTTTTCTTGTGCTGGGTCGCGACAGGAAGATGGTCGTCATCGACCTGGATTGCGTCGCTAGAGTTTTTGATTTGGCCACCGGAGATGGAAGACGATGGACCTGCATCCGAGTGTTCCAGGTCGGTCGCCTTGTTCGCATCCTTGCCCTTCTTGCCGCGAGCCTTTTTGCTGCTGGATTTCTTATTCTTTTTGGACTTCCGTTTCTTCACGCCATTGTCCTCGCCTGACTCATGCGCGGCGCTCGCAGCATCTGGAAAATCGTCCGCTTGGGTCGAAAAAGGGATCATGGAGGAAAACGGGTCCACGTAGTCGTTAACGCCATCGAGACCGTCAGGGAAATCGTCATCGAGCCCGTCGTCGTTCTCTGGCGCCATTCTGGCTAACTGTCGGTCATCAATTCCGTCTGGGTACTCGGGCGGCGCAGTTGAAGGAAAAGTTCGATCTTCGCTGTCGTCGCGTTCTGGTCTTGCAGGTCCGGGGGACGAGTTCTTGGTAGGCGTGTACCGGTTGAAGATCCTCGAGATGGAGTTGAACATGGCGGAGTTTTGCCGGGGCGGCCTGCGGCGCGGGCACGCAGAACAGTTGTGAATGACACGACCGAGGGAGCCGAGGACAGTCGTCGCGAAGGAGGTGCGTCGGGGAGCTTCCTTCTGGGAGAAGGTGCTTGCGCCTTCGTACCTTACCTAGGTTCCCCTACCAAGATAAGATCGCGTACCGTCGACGAAGTGAAAAAATACGCGGGTGAAAAGTGAGACCCACAATTTACGATGGCGACGGCATGGAAGACTACTGACCAGAAGCTTGGGCCGCCCGCCCGCATTCGCTTCCCGCCTTTGGTGTCACAGTACTCCGTAAGGTACCCCAAGGTCTGAATAGGTATCCCGTGCCTTTATCAGTCGAGATTGCATCATCAATCAAGGGTATCACGCATCTGAAGAGAAATAACTTAAAGATAACCCCGCGGCTGTTCTCAGCTTTCATTCGCAAGTAAATAGAACATCTGAGATTTTTACTCTCGAAACTGCGCTATGAATGGGCACCTACGAAGCGAATTCGTCGCTATCAGCGGCCCGTTGTTGTGGCTGCCATGCTTTCTGTCCCTTTGATCTTCAAAATAACAGACGCAGTTTGGCTTTGATGTTGTCAGACTTGTCTGATTCATTATCTACCCCCTCCGCTGGAATTGGATTCATGTCTCACTGCGTCCCCACAACATTCATCCTCGGCCCTCGTAGGTTGGGTTTCATGGTAGGACCTTTATACATCACGATCAGAGCCTGGTGAAAGTCGCCATCTTACTCTCGAGGCATGAATATTCATGAAATGATCCTATCTTTCCATGATCCATTCCTTCTTATTCAAATCATAGCCCGTTTCATTAAATCATCGCTCGGCTAATGCTCCCACCACGTTCTATCCTCTTCTTCCTCCCCCCCCCCCTCACCATCGTCCAGCAAACCTCTCCATTACGTTGTCCGCTTCTCCGTAATGGCCTCGCCAACAGGCCCCTCACCAACAAACCCAAGATTCTTTCCTCCAAATTCAAACACCTTGCATCCGCGGACCCAAGTCTCCCTCACCCGACCAGCAAACTCGTGGCCCTCCCACGGCGAGCAGCGGTTCTTCCACCGCATATCCCCAGACCGCAGAGTCCACGCGTCCGCGTCGTCAAACACGCAGATATCAGCATCCATGCCCACCTTGAGCGCGCCCTTGCGGTGCGCAAGACCGACCTGCTTCGCCGTTGACTGGCTGCAGAACCGCACAATGTCCACAATCGACGGCGCGGCACCCTCGCCCTCCGCGGCGATGCGCGCGGCCGCGGCGGAATAGACGATAGGGAGGCCCAGGCCCACCGACGAGATGCCGCCCCACGCGGCGAAGAAGTCGCCCCGCGAACTCGCGTCCGCCACGGCGACCGCTGCGTCCTCTAGTGTCTTCTCTGCGAGGATCTTGTCGACACTCTCGCCTGGGATGGTCATGTCGATACCGGAATCCGAGTGGTGCATGTTGGGCGCGTCGCTTTCAGGCGGGGTCCGGCTCTCGAGATGGCTGGGTAGGAGCTTCAACTGCGGTGTACACGGAGAGTGGTCCGAGACGATGGTCTTGATGCAAGAATCCTTCGCCACGAGCTCCTCCCAGAGCCCGTCGCGGTTCGACCGCTCGCGGATCGGAGGGCAGCACTTATGCCGGGTGTCGCCGTCGGCAATATCCTCAGACGCGAAGCCCAGGTAATGGAAGCACGTCTCGGCAGTAATGTTGATGCCCCTTTGTCTGGCTTCCTTGAGGAGGGGGATGGCCTCCGTGGCCGAAAGGTGGACGATGTGGAGGTGGAGATCCGGCGCGAGGTGGGCCAGGGACAGGATCTCCTCGACGGCATACGTCTCGAAGGAGGGCGGGCGAGACTCGAGGAAGGTCTTGTATGAGTTGAGCGCGCCAGTGGGAGCCAGCGGCGGCTCGGACTGCTGGACCGCATCGCCCACCGAGTCGGCGATGGGAGGGATCATTTCGGCGTGGAACATGAGTGTCGTGGGAGTGCCGTTGAGCTTCTCCATGGCGAGGGCCACGTCCTGCGATGAGACTGCCGGGAACTCATCGACCTGTTGGGAAAGTTTGTCAGCTTACATGCTTCAATGGCGAACTGCCAGTGCTGCCAAGGCATATGCACTACTCACCCCAGACTCGATCAGGAACCCCTTGAAGCCTCTGACACCAGCTTCGACGAGGGGCAGCAAATCATCAGTGTTTCCGGGAATCACGCCGCCGTAGAAGCCGACGTCGACCCAGCACTGTCCTTGACTCGCAGCAAGCTTCTCCTTGAACCCAGCCACCGTGGTCGTGGGCGGGATAGCGTTGAGGGGCATGTCGACGACGGTCGTCACACCGCCAGAGGCAGCGGCCCTCGTGCCCGTCCAGAAGCCTTCCCATTCCGTGCGACCGGGCTCATTTAGGTGGACATGGGCATCAACGAGGCCGGGCAGCAGGAGCTTTGAGCCGTAGTTGATGTACTCGGTGGAGGCCGGGAAGGAGGTCTTTGGCAGGACTGCCGGGATGATGTTTACGATCTTACCGGTGGCGGGGGAGACAGTTATCGTTGCGGGTGTGAGGACGAGGTTGTCTTGTTCAAACGTGAGGACCGCCCGCGTTGAGACGAGGACCACGAGGGGCGTGGTGGTGTTTTGAGAGGCCGTCATGATGAAGAGAAGAGAGTGGTGGAAGGGTCTTGTGATAAGCTTATCTAGGAGCTTAGGGAGGTTCGATAAGGCGCAAGCCGCGGTATCTGAAGAGCTCTCCCCGCGGTGGACGTTCTTAAGAGCTTGCTGTTGCGTCTGGGGAAGAGCGAAGCTTATCTTGATCGCGGGGTGGCGGGGTGGTGAGAGAGATAAGATATGGCCGGTGTGGCTCGAAGCAGAGAGGTGTGTAAGATGTGAGTCTTTGGTGATGAGTGATCAACCAAACTAAAGGTGAGTGGTCTCGCGTAGTCGTTTGATGTACTATGAAACTCAGGAAGTGCAGGAATCCGAAGATGTCAGAGAAGATTAATGGAGAAAAGAGAAGAAAAGAGAAGAGTGGAAAGGAAGAGGTGCTCCCATCCGAATCTCTCTCAGAGGAAAGTCATTCCTGGCTCGATCCACGGCCCACCCCAAAGTCCAGACGCGATTAGGACGGCCCTCAGGCCAGCCATTCCCTTCCATTCGTTCTTCCAAGCTTCCATTTCCAGTTCTTTTCCGATAAGATAACGTCCTCTGACAGGAAGACAAAGGGACCACGGGAGTCAAAGGGACTGGCCAATCCCAACCAGGGAAAGGCGATCAGCCCAGCCGAGACGTCCCCTCTACCCCGTCATTGTTTAATGTTTACCCTGTTACGGATACCTACCTTCTTCGACTCGTCAAAGCCCGCCCAGGGACTCGTGTTCCTTGTGTGGGGTGCGTTATCGAACCCTTTCCACTCCCGAGTCCTGGGACTCTATCGACAACTTGACGCACCCCGGGGAACCCTGAAAGTCTTCCTTGTCGTTATCAGCCGCCGCTGATTGGCTGGCCTCTCGTCGGACATGGCCGTTTGCCGATCTAGAACGTCTTAGTCATCCAGTTTGAGCGAATGAAAAGCATGTGCTCAGGTACCTGTGACGGGGTGTTGTTCAGCAGCGGAAAACCCACCGCAAGTCCCATCACCATCTTGACTCTTCATCGGCCATTCTCGGAAATGTCGGGCGGAACGGGTGCCACTTTGGCTTTGTGTGCTTATCTCACTCGGGCTCCGGTGCCGCTGCTGCATCAAGGCGTCGTCTAAGCTTCCCTTGGGAGTTTCGATCGAGTAATGATCGAGTAAAACACCGCTCTTTTGAGGCATCTGTCCCACCAATTCATGCGCCCCGTCGGGAGGTATAGTCTACTGAATTTCCTCTCGTGACTTCTCGTGAGGATATTTTTCGTCTCCATGGCGCATATTCAAACCAAATTGGATTTGGTGCCCGGCCAAGCGGGTTCGATTCTGGAAACCATCTTTTCCCGTCCAGTGACGCCGTTACCATTGGTCAGAATTGGCTATTACTCGATCAATTCGCAATAGAGGCAGCAAAAGCCCGCTTTGTGTCATCGTATCCCACTACGATCAAGCCACCAGACACCGAGCACCGATGATGGACAGCGAATAAAATCGAGAAGAAAATGGCCCACCATCCGGCGCCGTCGTGACACAGCCGCCGCCCCCCCCGTGGACGACCGAGTCATCTCAAGCCGAGGAATGTCTCATTTGTTGGGACGAGCGATCCCGGCCCCGACAGACGGCTCGCTTTCTTCCGATCACACTATTCATCCGCTCATCAGCCTCCGAGTTCTCATCCCATCCCTGCTCTGTTTCCGGAATCCCAACGGCTGCAGCTGCTGCAGATACTTTGTTTGAACCGTGCTTGACTTTTTCTTGATTTCCATTTGTTGCAAGGTGGAGAGCCGAGACGAAGAATCCAACAGGTCTATTTTTAATTCTTCATCCTCCTCATCTTGTCAGGACTGGGAAGCTGTGTCAAGGATCTGCAAGCATCGGACCAGGCCTTGACTAAGCTTCGCACGTCTGACCGATCCGTACGTCTGGTTATGCTGTTGTCTTCTGCCACGCTGCTTCTAGAAGCGGCCGAGAAACGTAATGGGAAATCGCTTCTCCACGGAGCTCGCCGTCCTATGCCATCTGAACCCGTTCCCCGTGAGGCAATGTCTAAACCTCACCGAATTCTTATCGAGTAAGAGTTTCCCATCCCCCCAATCAGATGAAAGCCATCGAAATTCCATACATCGGGACATCCTCCACCGTGCAGTTCAGTCTCCCCTTAGGACATCATCACCCCTTGCATACTCGTTCCGAGTCCCGTCCAATGTCAAAAAAGGGAACTTGTCAGTGGTATTGAGCTGAAGTCATATGCCATCTCTACCCCGATGAGATCCCTCCCCACCTTGGCCTCCCGCCGCACCGTCTAATTGTATAATATCGTTACATGTACTCTGCAAAGAGCCCAGAGGGTCTGTTATACAGTGGTGTCGAGTGCACGTTACCACAATGTGTGCACTCCGGATTTTGGTTTTTGTACAGGTTTGATCGGCCAATGCCGCCAGTCGCTCACTTTGTCCTCTTCAGTGCCTTCATGGCCATTTCGATGAGGCCGTCCTTGGCCTCGCTGTCGGGGAAATCGCTAATGGCTGCGATCGCCCGCTCGGAGTAATCCTGGGCCAGTGCCCTCGTCTGCTCAATACCGTCGCTCAGAAGAACCAACTCGCGTGCCTGAAACCATGTTAGCCATAATGTTCCCCGAATTCAGAGTGTTGCTGCGCGCGCGCATCCTCACCCTAGCGACGTCACCCTCCTCCTCAAACTTTCTGCCTACCAAGGCACCCAATTCCGGATTCGTCTTCCACGCAAAGAGCAGCGGTGCGGTCGCGAGACCTAGCTCTAGGTCGGCACCGGCCGGCTTACCCAGCTCCTTCTCGCTTCGCGTGTAGTCGAGCATGTCATCGACCAGCTGGAAGGCGAGTCCTAGGTTCTTACCATAGGCATAGGCTGCCTCGACCGAAGCGGCGTCAGATCCGCCGAGGATTGCCGAAGCACGGCATGACTTGGAGATCAAGCTGGCCGTCTTCAAGTAGGTCTTTTGGAGGTAGTAGGTGAGCGCTTCCTCCGACCACACAGGTTTACGTTCATCCTGCTCAGTGTTCTTGAGCTGCATGAACTCGCCTTCGACGAGGTTCGCGATAACCGTGGCGAGGAGTTCAACGACCTCGGCATTCCTCAAACGGGCCAACGCGACGGATGCGCGGCCCAGCAAGAAGTCGCCGGCCAAAACGGCCATTTTGTTGCCGAACTCGAGGTTCGCCGAAGGTGATCCGCGTCGTGCGACGGAGTGATCGATGACATCGTCGTGGAGCAAAGATGCGGTATGGATCAGCTCGGTGATCTCAGCAAGGCGGCGCTGGGACGGGAGGATGTCAGACTCGGTCTCAGCAGGCTCGGGGGCGGCGCTTGTCAGGGGCGAGCTCGGGTTGACGTCGACGAGGATGTTCGGAGGAGATATCGCCGTATCAACGCTACCAATGGCTTGGCCAGACTGCAGTCGGGGACCCTTGGGGCAGAGGGCGGTAGCTCTCGACATGAGCAGGACGATAAGAGGCCGCATGTGCTTGCCCTCAGCTTGTGTGTAGTACTTGGCGACGCGATCCAGAGATGGATGGCCGGAACCAAGGAGCTTCCGGATGTTGCCCGTCAAAAACTTCATCTCTTTGGCCACTGTCCGCAGAGGGTCGATGTGCATGTCACCCTTAGGGATAACGCGATTGACGGCATTCGCAGCCATGTTGGACGCAACTGATACAGCGGCACCCCATGCTGAAGATCGTCTTGACGAAGAATGGTACAGGGCACTGGTGAGAGGTATCCTAGCATCGAGGGGAGCGATTCGTCGACATTGCGAACATCGGGAGGAAGAGGAGGAGAGAAGAGATCGTGACGTTATCGAAGTGCTGCGCAGCACCGCTGCTCCCGTACGGAGCTGCATGGCTCCTGTCTTGCTCCGAAGGAGGTTCAAAAGAATGTCAAAAGAATCGCCAGAGGGTCCGACAGCATCTAAATTAAGTAGACCTTGCTCAAGATCCGTGGCTGTGGCAATTGGCAGCTGAAGGCGGGTAGATGGTACAGGCCGATAACTTTTTTTTTCCCTCTCACGGCGAGAAATTCAAGCCACAGCTGGACAACACATCCGATCTTTCCCTTGGTGCTACTCCCCCGTATCACCTTAGGTAAGGCAGGAGAAGCGGATCCTGGGATACGTATATTTGGAGAAGGGCGGTGGGGCATCGGCTTTTTGATTGGTCTGCTGGCTTACAACCTGAGCTTGGAACAGGAGCTAAGCTGCCTGGCTGCCTCGGTCGTTGCATCGAGCATTGCAGGCGTAGCAGGCACGACCCGACGCTTGAATTATTACCCCGATCTGACCGATCTGACAATCGCTGTTTGGCGCTGCATGCCTCTATTACCAACCCACATCATTCCGGAATGATATGGTGACGGCCACACAATCACATCAGCAGCCATGGTTCGATTGACAATAACACCCGTCATCGCCGAAGGTCGGCAGAGGCTGGCTGAGGTCAGATTCAGACGGGATATCGCGGAAGCATCGAAGGACACAGAGCAAGCCCCGACGTCAGATGCTGCCCTCCAGTGCACAGCGACAACGAAAGCCGAAGAGCCGAATCCTCCCGATGCCGTGGTCGCCGACCCCATCACGCATGACCAGATACTGGAACTGTGGAAGAACTTGAAGACGGAGGGCATCGAAGACTTCAGTCTGGAGGGGTTGCTACGGGGCGCCAGGGTGTACATACCCCCGCCACCTCCAAAGCCGGAGCCGGTACGTCAGAACGATCTCTTTTTTTTCCCCCTCTTCTACTATGAGTCGCTGACCATGACTTCACAGTCTGCCGAGTACAAAGCCCTAATGGCCCGCCTGCGACGCGAGGAAGAGGAACGAACGTACCAGCGCATGCTCAAGCAACCGTCTCGGATGGAGGCCTTTTCCCAACAGTTCCCCAGCGCTGCCGCCCGAACACAAGCTTTTGCCGAAGTAAACCGCCCCATGCGCGAAGCAGACAATGGTGATGACGAGGTGACGCTTGGAGACGTGCAAAAGCAGATGATGGTCATCCTCAACTTCCTCATAAGCATCATTGGCGTCGCTGCCACCATCTGGATTGCGGCCCGATGGTGGAACGTAACTGCCCGGATATTTTTGACGCTCGGGGGCGCCATTCTCGTCTTGATAGCAGAGGTCGCCGTGTACTCTGGTTATGTCTGGAGGATAGGGGAAGCCAAGTCGAAGAACAAGGAACCAGAGGAAATCAGAGAGGTAATGCATTCGTGGGTGCTGGGTAAGGATAGTAAGGACGATCCAGCCGGAGAGACGATCACTCTTCTTGATACGAAATCGCAAGATACGGATGAAGGCATACGGCGAAGACTAAAGGGGCTTTCGTAGTCAGTAGGTTCCGTGCAACGGAAAGATTGTAGACTGTTGGCAACACTGCGCCCCATTCCCGGAGTTGCCAGGTCGCATCGCTGCGACATCCCTACACATGGCCAGCAACTCGCCCCAAGACGCCGTCTGCAACTCCGCAGCTATAGTCGATCCGTAAAGCCGTAGAGCGGTGCCGAATTTGTGTTTTGGTGGTACTTAAACCATTGTTGAAAGGCTCTGTCCGAGAAGGTATGTCAAGCACGTGACGGCGTGGGAAGAGTTTTAGAGTGCGCGAATCGACGCGTCGCTGCACGTCATCTAGCGCGACGCGCTTTGGGTGGAGGCCCAGAGCACCTGGATGCTCCCCCTGGTATGATGACCGGCCACTGCCTCTGTATTCTCTTCCAACCTCGGCCTCATTTCCCTCTTTTTCGGATGTTGTAATTCTTAATCGTTTTATGGCCCATTTGACCATCCCCAGCGACCGATCTCTTCTTGTCTCGACCGAATTCGGCTTTTGTCACCACGCCTTATCATCTGCCACACAAAGCTCTGAGCGCGCGCGTCGCGTAACAGCACATATGTATCTGCGCCTGAATCTCGACACCTCTTCGCCGTAGACAACGACACCCACTACCTTGGCTGGAGGCATGGACCAAATAATAGTCTCGAGGTACGCGTTCACATGGCTTTTGAACCTCCGTCAATGTTGCTCACCACGCACCGCAGCCCACGTTCTGGATCCGATTCCACTAGGACAACAACAGCCGATAAAAGGTATAGAACCTACGACGTGCATCAATCTCAGCCTGAATTGACACTTGGCAGACGAACTCTCAGAACCTACAGCAAGCGATCGCGCGCAACCGATGACGACGCTGGCCTACTACCTTTCAAGAAGCGGAAAGCCGATGTAGAATCGGCGACACGGTCCCCAGACATTCCACGGCTTCCTCCCGCTCAACCCGCGCCGCCACCGAGCAGCATACCCAAGAGTTCAATCCTAAGCTACTTCAAGCCCTGCCGGTCAAGCTCGGGTACGGAGGCGTCTGACCCATTGTCCGACTCTGAAAAGCTGCTCAACACCCCACCTTCATCGCCTCCCCTCTTCAGGAAGATTAAGGAACCTCGGCGTCTGAGGCTGCGACCTAGCACGCCTCTGTCGCATGCGTTGGACACTCTAGAGGTTGCGAAGGACGGAAAAGATGGAGGTGACGTCGCTGTTCAACAAACAGCACAAGGCACTCGTAGGACAAGATCACGAGGTGGCATAGAGCTGCAAGATGTCGACAAAAACAAGCTCAACAAACTCGCCGACCTCGAGAAGACCAAACCCCAGCCTACCCTGAAGAAAGTTTCCGCACGATCAAAACCTGTTCCGACTGTCCAGACGACTATCAACCTTTCTTCGAAACCTACTTTTATGGAGTGCAAGACGTGCCGGATAGTGTACAACCCGCTGCACCCGGCAGACGTCAAATATCACTCTCAACGGCATGCGGCTTTCCTTAGGGGTAGGGCGAAAGCATGAAATCTGGCGCAACATCTCTGGCATAGCATCTGTTTTGAAATAATGACTCAATGATACCCACTTAGCAATAACAAGAATATCCTTTGAATTTCGTCCAGTTCGTTAGAGCGTATGTGAAGCATGAGGTAACTAAGCGAGTGACGAGAAAGAGGGAAACAGGCAAAATGAGCGACAATGAAGGAATGATTGTCCTGCTCCAGGAAGTCAACCACAGCTCTCGGTATTCCAATCTCCTGCCACGCCTCGGATCTGATTGCGAGCCCGCACGCGCCGTGGCTCACAGTGACTGAAGCGCCGGCAGCTTTTCATCTCAACCCTCCATGGGCTCAACCAAGCCCATCCAAAGTGCAGCCGATTCGAATCTGATCGTGTGCCATGAGCACTCCTTAACCGATGCGAGCTGCCAAGAACACCGGGGCGGCAATGGCCGCGTCGGTCTGATAAAGGAAGTGGGCGGGCAGGATGAAGAGCGTGCCTGGACGTGTCAGCGGTCACCGCGACGCCTTTGAAGATGAGAATCAGGATTGCTTACCATAGCACACGGCATCCGCAATGTCGCAGTAGACTGACAACTTGGATGAGGGGAAGTTGGGAATGCGGCCGAGGTTCTGGAGGTTCTTGGTGTAGCCGAACAGGACGACGCCCTTGATCTGGTCCTGGATCGTCGAGCTCAGAGTCGAGATGGACGAGGCCATGACGGCGGTTCCCTGACTATTTGTTTTTCGACCACATTAGCAGAGGACTAAGGAGAAACCTGAGGGCCACCGCGTCGGATGTCTGCCTTACCTGTATCCACCGGCGACCACGGCCGAGTTGGGGCACTTGGTGTTGGCCAGGGTGAAGAGTCTCTTGGCCTCGTTGATGGCGGCGGTGCTGGTTCCCGCGGGGAGGAAGTTGGATGCCAAGTCAGCGCTGTATGGTCCGCCAACACCCTGAACCCAGACTTGGCTCGAGCCGTAGCGGCTCTTGAGGGCATCACCAACGATGGGGCCGGCACTGATTCCCTGTTTTCGACCGAATTAGCTTTGGAATCCTTCTACAACTCGGTGTATGAGACGTTTGGCAACTTACCATGTTGCCGGGCTCGGTGGAAGCGCGGGCAAAGATGAAGATGACCTTGGGGCAGGCCGAGCTGCTGCCGGACTCGAGCTCGTTGCTCGTCGTTCCAGTCTGGCGGACCTGGAGGTCGGCGACGCTGGTGTCGACGACTTCAACCGGGGCCGCGGCGGCGAGGGTGACGGCGAGGGAGAGGATGCTGAAGAACTTCATTTTGGATGGTTGGGAAACGAGTTTGGGATCCGGAGTTTGACTGGTCTCTGAATGAGAGCGGGCTGGCTGGCTGGGCTAGGCTTCGAGCGAAGGAGAGGAGGATTCAGGTTCTGAGCGAGAGCTTGAGTCTGATGAGCGAGATATTCAGGGTATCCCGGTAGGACCTTGAGCGACTATTTATCTTATTCAAAGTTCTTGTCCCAAGGAGCATCTACAGCTACAACTTCTTGTATGCCTATGTGCCCAGCCTTTGTCTTGCAGCTCACACGCTCGCCGGTCTTGTCGTGAGCACATCAGAGTCCGGCGCGACCCGACTGATCTTGTTCAGTGACCACATCGTGGAGACGGTCGTTGGATTCATCCGCCAGTCGCATCTTGCATCTTGAAGCCATCCCCAACGTGGGCGGGCCAGAGTCGGTCAGGGAGATGCTTCCAAGGACAACGATGCCACGTGAGGGCTGCCATTTCGCGACAGGACATCGAATTGGGAATGGCTCGGAGGAGCCTCCGCCAACCCCTTTAGTTACAGTGGGACGGCGAGAGCCTCGGGACAAGACCTCGACAACTACTAGACGTCCATAGAGCCGGTGTTGGAATGAGGGGAGGAGGGATATGCGGGCTTACGATGCCCCTCGAATTAGCCCCCATGGAAGTGTGTTGGTGAACACAACTCAACTATGTGTCTCGTCCAACAAGAAACGGCGATGCTCCTTTACCGAGACTTTCCGCGCTTGGAATAGTCCGAGGCCTTATTGGACGTTGATGGATAGAATGTTCTAATCTATCAATCTGTCGCAGAACGAACTCCACTCTCTCTAAAAGGGTCTCTTGGTTATGCACGACCCAAGCCGGTAGAGAGCTGCAATCCTCAAGCCCCCCCCTCCCCTGCAACACCCCGCAACGCGCACTTGGGGAGAACGTTGGATGCCTCGGCTCTGAGAGGCCGGACTAGGTCGTTTCGGGCGACGCATACATTAGAAGGGAGCCATAGAGAGGGCAGCATACTCAAGAGTTGCAAAGTCAATAGATGGAATAGTTTATTGTTTTACCCGTCGAGAGCCAAGAGAGACAGCCACGCCGAAAAGCACCGCTGGAGCCGTGCAGCCTGCATGCGCAAACCGGCCGGTACTTGGGTAAGCACAACAGGTGGGTTGTCTGGGGATGGAGGAGGACAAGGAAGAGGAGGCGCACGCCAGGTGTCTGCCACGCAGTCTGGTGGGTAAAAAGATTACTAGATGAACTGGAGCTATTCCCTATTGTGTAAAAGTTGCGAGGTTTGTCTCAACTTTTTTGGCGACCCCATCGGGCAAACGTGCTGCCAAGGGTTCGGGCGTGACAGCGGGGCCAGCCGACTTGCAGACTGTCTGTCTTGTCACTGTCAGTCATCGATTTAGCCGTTCCGGCATTCCGGGCGGTCCGTATGCGAGCCGAGTTGGCGGATCAACGGGACTTTGGCATTTTCTAATGGTTCTGGTCCGTACGATGTACCTGAAACTGACCTTGGTATGTGGGAAACTGGGAAACTAGCTAGTAGACTCATGCCGTTGTTGGCACTGGAATGAGCTGGCCAACGGACTGTTGTCTGACCAGGGCCCAACAGCGGGGCCTTGTGCGAGGTGGATTGGTCTTCCCCCTTTCAATTCTTTTCAAACAGGTTCTTAGCTTCACTTATTCATTCCTCAAGGGAACTCCTGGGCAGAAACTCCCCTCCTTTTCCCTAGAGTTCAGTAGTTCCTGTTTCAAGTGTTATCTCGGTTCCACCGAAAGCAGCATTTTGTCCAACATTGCAAATCTAATTGCGCTTTCATGCCTTTCGAAATCTTTGTGAAGAGACTTCTCATCTCTGTCTAAAGACATTGATAATACCCAGCTGCGTTTACATCTTATTCTGAGTTGAATTTACGAGTAATGGGACTTTTCCAGAGGGTTCTCAATGCCGTCATTGTAAAACGGGATCGACTGCCTTCGGTTGCTTGAGCGCACTTCCTATAGAGGTAATTTGTTCTTCAAACTACGTTGTTTATTAAAATATCTTCTGGCCAGATCGGGAACCCATTGTGATTCTTTCTCTCCATTCTTATATTTCCAAATCCGAGGGCGGCATCTCATTACTTGCTAGTGAATCTCGGAAAATTTCGATTTGTGATAACGCCAAGGCAAACGCCTTTCAACCATCGCCGTCATGGAGCAAATCCAAGAGGTCAAATAGGTGCCGCAACCCAATGGCTCAGTCAGATCAAAGTGATAACGACAGTGAATCGTTCATGGTGTGCCAGTCTCCAGAAAGGAAGCACACCGAGGCCATTATGGAAGATGTGAAGGTTCGTGTATAGGCTTGTGGAAGCATGATAGAGGTCTCCATTCTCAGTCACATGATATGGATTTCATTTCACAGCAAGTCTCCAAATTGTTTGGAGACAAAGATGAGTATCGATCAATACAACGAGAATCCCCAAGTTTCCACAGCACAATATTTAGCATACCCAGCCGCCATCAACATTATATACGGCTCCTGTCACGAAAGAAGCTTCATCGCTGAGCAGAAATGCGATAACGTGAGCCACCTCGATAGGCTCTGCTCTTCTCTTTTGTGCGGTGACTTGTAGACCACGCTTCACATCTTCGGGATTTTCTCCACGAGACAATGGCGTGTTGACAGAACCTGAGGGCCGGCATTAGCTTAGTTCCGTATCGTACCCAGCTTGGAGTGCAGTGAGGCAGACGGTGACGGGTGGATGTTAAAAAGGGGAAGAGGAGGAACTCACCGGGCGACACGCAATTAACGCGAATCTCTTGGTTTTCTTTGGCCGCTGTTCTTGACAACCCGATGACAGCTGCTTTGCTGGCGCAGTATGCTGCGTTACCAGGAGCTCCAAATTGACCGAACACACTCGCCGCAGATACCTGCCATGAAGAACATCATGTTAGCTTCTGTGCTGCGCCTACTATTAACTAGCCGGATACACGTGCAGCCAGTTTCAACGTTTAAGAGTAGACTAGAAACGTACGATGCTACCTCCGGCAGACATGGCTCCCAACTGTGACCTCAGGCAGTTGAAAACTCCTTTAGCATTGACTTCAAAGACGAAATCCCAGTCCTCGTCTGTAAGCTCCGCGACGGGGGCCGCGTGGGTGATGACGCCGGCCATGTTGACAGCACCGTCCAGCCTGCCAAACTTCTTCACCGTGTTCTGGATCCAAGTGTTGACGACGTCGCCCTTTCTTACGTCAACAACCTCGTACATATGGCTTGCGCTGTCTTCCAGAGACGAGATCGCCTCCTTTAGAGAGTCCTCGTTGATATCCGCCAATGATAGTTTAGCGCCGCGGGAGGCTAAGAGCTGAGCTGTTGCGAGCCCCATGCCGGAGCCGGCGCCGGTTACCGCGATCTATCAGAGTGGACTTTAGTGTGCTATCTAACGAGAGCGGGGGATCAAAACTTACAACTTTGCCTTGGAAGGAAGACATGGTGTGTTTCGATACTCGTGTGTGAATACGTGACTCAGCGCATAGACTGCTTGTTGATACTAGTAGCAAGCATGTTTCATGCCGTTCTTCGTGCCTTTATTAGAGGGAAGGTGCCAGTCCGTGGCACAGGGACAACCAGACTCGATAAGCAAGCATCCGAGTGGGAGTGGTTGCTCGCTAGGAAGAGCGGGGTATCTTGGAGTATAACTTACACATAGGAAGCTCGTACAGAATAGGAAACTTACCCCTTAGGTGCAGAGGTGGCGAAGCCCCACCAAATGGGTAAGTCAATTATGATCTGCTTGTGTGAACGCAAATCCGGGCACACCCTCTCATCCGCATCCTACGCACTATATCACTGTTGAGCTGAGAACAGAGACTGGTAGACGGCAAGTAACACGCCTTTCATGATATCAAGATGGCCTCGGCAGTGCCGCCATTCCCTACACATTTCTTCTCAACCCACCGCCTCTCAACATCCGCAAGAGAATCGCTGAATATACGAAGACCACTCCGACGCGCCCAATCCCTGAACCACTGCGCAAACGACTCCCGCACCTCTGGGTTGTCCGCCTCGCTTGCCGCAATCACCGCAGGCCACACCAGCCTGGCTGATCCGTATCCCATCGCAGACTCGGTAGCCTCAAACCGGAGCAAGCAGTCCCGCACCCCGATGACCTTGTCCTGTAAAATGTCTGCCTCCACGTCGTACACCCTCCGATAGAAGAATATGGTTAAGGCTAGCAACATTGCCTGAGACAGGTTATCTAGAAATTGTTGGCAGTGCTGCAGCTCCGGGTCCGAGGTCGGTAAGTCTGCTATGACGTACCCGGGCTGCCGTCTGAGTTGGTGAATGCGTCTCTCGACTGCCTTGGCGCGGAACATGAATTCTTTCAGACCTGCGGGACTCGAGCAGTCCGAGTCTTCTTTTGAACGAGCCAGTCGAATGACGAGCGAGAGGAGGAACATGTAGATCTCTGGGATACCAAAGATTTCTGGATACAGCGTTGCGAGCCAGACACCCGGTATTTGCAGATGCAGGTCGTTTTCTCCCTCCTCTCGCCCCTTGACCCTCAACATCTCCTGGTCAAGATTTCTCCAGCTTGCCAATTGGAACGACAGGCTATCCAGACTATAGGCACTGGCGTTGCTCGTTTCAATCACCTTGCGTACGTGAAGACGGTGTGGAGACTGCGTGCTTCCCGGAAACGTGGTCTCATGCAGGACTCGCTCAAAAGCGTAGCAGTGATGCAGCAGCCGGACTTTGCGAGATTTCTTCCTATTGAGGCCCTTGATGCGTATAAACTTTTCTGCTTCTAGCAGGTAGCACTCGACCTGATCCCGGCTGCCGGAGACGCTCGAGATTTGCACCATGGTCAGAAACGCGATCAGTATCGACTTGTACTTTGCCTTTTTCGGAACGTCGTAGGCTGTCTGCAGCATGAGACGGACGTGATGGCGAGCGCGCTGCTTGTAGTTCTCTGCCTGCTGGGACCACTTGTGCGAGTTGGAGATGCCGCCGAGGCTGGAGGCGCTGATGGCGAGCGTGCCGTAGAATGCCGTTAGGCTGGCGTGGTCCATGTCGTCTCCGAGAGTCAGTGCTGCTAGGCAACTCTTGACGTATGGTATGAATAGGATGTGCCATGGCGTTTTGCTGTGGCGAAAGGGTGTGAAGCCTCGCAGCACTGTTGTCGAGTAGTGTCGGAGAAGGAAGACGGCATCGTGGGGCACAGCGTAGTCGATTGTGGGAGCGATGGAGCAGTTTTCTGACGTGGCTAGCTGGTGGGACTGGGAATCTGTGAAGATGTTCGGGATACGAACTTGAACATCTTGGGAAGTAACCTGCATTGGCACCCTCGAATATTGATCGATACCGGGAAAGGACACACCGTCAGAGATATTGCGCACACGATCTAATCCCACGGGCGTATCCCACCAGTTGCTCACGCCGGGGAGGTCGCCCATGTTCCACCACTCGTTCGTGTTCCACCATTCAGTCAGCGGGCTTAATGGACGGTCACCAGAGCATGCAAGGGCGGGTCCCAATAATGGCGTTGTCTCTTGCACTGGAGCAGCGTCTGATGGAGGTATGAGCTCCTCGTCCGCATCCTCGGGACTATCCTCACCGACCTCTTGCGCGGTCTTTGGAGGGCTACCAACTGTAGGGTTGTTTGACTCTGGACTAGATCCGGTGCCAGCTTTAGAAGAATCAAGCGAGAGTCGGTGTACTCTGAAAGCCCCGAAAGGACCTCGACTGATTTGAACATTTTGAGAGAGGGGTGTCCTCTCGCATTCGTCTTCAATCTGGGCAATGTGCCAAAGAGTCAGTGCCGGCGGAATGCTGGAGACGAGCTCGTCGCTCATTGACTCGCGTTCCGATTCTGTCAACAGGGGCCTCCGAAAGCGCGCCATCCCGACGCTCGGAATGTCCTCAAAGTCGAAAAAGATATTCTTCTCATAACCGCTGCATGTGAGGCTTGAGGCTCTGCACATGGCGCATGTGGGCCGACCCTCGTCACACTTCATCCGGCGGTTTCGACACTGAAGCAAGTCAGTCCGTTTGATTCTAGCGACGGGTTCCGGACGTGATGGGTGACATGACATACAGTTCCACATCCGCCAAAGGACCGACTGCGCCGGGTGTCCGGGTCCTTGAGTTGCGTCATCCGGGGGTTGATGGCATCAGCCATTCCTTGTCCGCCAGAATCAGCTCAGGGATTGCACTTCCTTTTTGGCTTGTGGGCTGGACGTTTGTAGGGTTGCTGGCATAGGGATTACGTTTGTGATATCAACTGCTGATACTCTGTAAATGGATATGGAAAGTGATAACAATGGGCCGACTGCAACAACATATCACCCCAGCCGAGGGGCGTACCAACGAGACGAGATGGCTATCTGCGGAGAGATACCGTTACGGCGCTAACAATGGGTAACGCAACTTACCCTATTGGTTGGAGTGAGGGGGTTTGATAAGGGCGGGGGAGTAACCAACGACCCGGCTCACCAAAATAAACCTTGGGAACATGTTTTGGCGTCTGATAGCTGGGAAAGCTTTCCTATCTGATTCGAGCCACATCTTGCCAATTCGCCTATGCACCGGACAGGCGAGGAACAGGGACAACCGTAAGTTATCTCAATCCATGCTTCCAAGACTTGAATTCGTAATATCTTCAGAGAGCTGTGCCGGCACTAAGCGGTATTGAGGCTGGTCTTGTTGGTTAGTCCAGACAAGGTTCAGGTTAAAGGCCATGGGCAGCTTTTGATGTCCGGTATCGTAAAGTAAAGTTTAAAAGACAATGGAATGCCCTCATCCAGTGCGAGCCTAAAAGAGAAAAAGAAAATCTTGCACTTGACTGCTCTTACAACCGAACAACTTACTCAGTTGCCTCGAATGCGTAATCAAACCAACTCAACCCGTCCCAATTACGTCGAACTGGTCTCCAATGGCTCAAGACAACGACCCAGCGTCCCCTCTTTCAAAGGAGGGAACCTACGCGGACGCTTCCAACGATGGCAAATCGCATGATCAAGACCTCAGCCAACGTGAGAGCAATACCTACGGCGAGACAAATGTCGTCGCCCAAGGCGGCACGAAGCGGAATGTCAAATCTCGCCACGCCCAAATGATCGCCATTGGCGGTAGCATCGGAACCGGCCTGTTTGTGGGATCCGGCCAGGTTCTCGCTGCCGGAGGACCTGCTTTCCTCTTCTTGTCATACGCCCTAACGTCTCTTCTCGTCTACGGCATCGTCACAGCGGTGATGGAAGTCGGCACGTTCCTCCCCATCTCGGGTAGCTCCATGTCGTACTACTGTAATCGCTACACGTCTCGGTCCCTGGGATTTGCTCTCGGTTGGCTTTACGTGTATTCATTTGGCATAATTCTCGCCTACGAAATCACTGTTGGATCAGTCATTATCAACTACTGGCCGAACAACGTTCCAAACGGCGTGTGGCTGACGATTCTCCTCGTTGTCATCGTCGGACTCAACCTATCGCCTGTCGCCGTTTACGCAGAAACTGAATTCTGGTTCGCCAGTCTGAAGATCATTCTCTTCATAGGCCTATTGCTCCTCTCAGTGGTCTTGATCCTTGGCGGAGGGCCGAGCGGTGAGCGACTGGGTTTCTACTACTGGGTGGATCCGGGTGCGACCAAGGAGTATATCATCACCGGCTCTGGAGGACGCTTCACTGCTTTTCTCTATGGCTGGGTGTTCTCTGGCTTCTCATTCTACTTCAGCCCTGAATTGATTATCGTCATGGGTGGCGAGATGCGAAACCCTCGCAAGAACTTGCCCCTCGCCAGCCGACGCTTTTTCTACAGACTAATCATCTTCTACCTCCTTGGTTCGCTCGCAATTGGAGCCATTTGCAATGCCAACTCGGAGGGCTTGGTATCTGGCGCTGGCAATGCGAACGCATCGCCCTGGGTCATCGCCATCCGGAACGCTGGGATCCACGGTTTACCCTCAGTTGTCAACGCGGGTATTCTCACGAGCGCCTGGAGCTCCGGAAACTCTTACCTCTACATGGCCAGCAGATCTCTGTACTCTCTTGCGGTCGCCGGCAACGCACCCAGGATCTTTGCTCGCTGTAACCGCTACGGCGTTCCTATCTACGCCGTCATCGCAGCAAGCTGCTTCACCCTCCTCGCGTACTTGAGTGTATCCTCTGACGCCGGGGTGGTGTTCAACTGGTTCGTCAGCCTGACGAATACCGCTGGCTACACCTCGTGGGTGCTGTGCGCCTTCATATTTCTTCGCTTCCGCAAGGCCTGTAAAGTGCAGGGCGTCAAGGTTCCCTACCAGTCCTGGTGTCAGCCCTACGGGGCATGGATATCGATGGCTGCCTTTGGCTTCCTTCTGCTAGCCAATGGTTTCACGGTGTTCTATCCTGGAAGGTTCTCTGCATCCAGCTTCTTGACTGCGTACATTGGCATTCCACTTTTCCTGGTGACGTATTTCGGGCACAAGCTCACGGTTGGAAGAAAGGACCCGTGGTTGTATGCGCCGGAAGACGTGGACTTGACGAGCAATTTGCGGGAGGTGGAAGCAGAGGCGGAGATGTGGACGGCAATGGATGAGGTTGACAAAGAGAAGCAAGGCCGCTCAAACGAATGGTGGCGCAAGATCTCGCTAATCTGGGAATGATTTTTAGTCGTATGTTGTGAAAGTTGAGTACTTCTGACGTAGACATGGGAATTAGAGCATTGTGGCTTTGAAAAAATCAAACAACGTGCTCTTACCGTTACGGGTAATTTTGCACAATCCTAATTGTGTATTAATACTATTCAACGTGATTATGGCCTTCAATGAATGATTCGCAGTCTTGCAGTAGGCCGATAGGTGTATACCGTGAGTCGTGACGCATACAGCGTTGATCTCTCATGTCAGTTATGACTTTTCAGAATGTTTAACCAAGGTGAAAGCCCGCCATCGCAACCAATGTCGGCAGCAACGGATGCACTACAGAAAGTGTCCAGCTGCAATCATGAGATGAATTGGTAACTTGGCATCTCAACACCCTTGAGGCTTTAATGCTTGCTAAAGCCGTAGAGTCTGGCCCGGATCTCGGAAGGGCAGGATTACCCTTGGAGCTAGCCGGTAACTTGATCAATGCGGGGGAGGGGCCCGATAAGCGACTTTTGGTCAAAACCACCCAAATCCAGAGTTGGCAAGTTATCCCCGATTTGGGGCTACCACTTGAGATAAGCCCCCACCCGGATCAGCGTTGTTTGAGCTGAGCAACTCTGGCAGATGCTCTGGCAAATGCGACTGGAAAGTTGTGCAGACACCTTCTCAGCAAAATTGTATTTGCTGGCAGACAGTTTTTGTCTCAAGGACAAGCCGATGGTTACTAAGACATCTTACAGACTTCAAATAATGAGACGTCGCTATCCAAAGAGCAGAACCACCAATCTCACCAATCATTCCTATCAACATTTGGTGCTCACAACCAACACACCATCTGAACCCATATTAGATTTTTTGATTCCATCATCCCCGTGACCATGGGCTCTATTCCGACCCCTGTGGAAGAGAAGTTTGATGTTCTCATCATTGGCTCAGGCCTGTCTGGCCTTGCCAGTCTGCACCACATCCGAGAACAGATGCCCGATTACAGGGTAAAGGTTCTCGACAACGGTGCAGACGTCGGTGGAACGTGGTTCTGGAACCGCTACCCCGGATGCCGGTTCGACTGCGAGTCCGTGTCCTACAGTTACTCCTTTGACAAGGGACTCTTGGAAGAATGGCACTGGAAGGAGGCCTTCTCTCCCCAGCCCGAGACACAAAAGTACATCAAGCGCTTCGCCGAGAGAAACGACCTCTACAAGTACATTCAGTTCAATACTACCGTCAAGTCGGCTCGCTGGGACGACGAAAATCACAACTGGACGTTCGTGGACCAGGACGGAAACCGATACGTTACCACCTTTTTCCTCAGCTGCATCGGCTTCCTTTCGACGCCATCGCTGCCCGCTATCCCCGGCATTGAGAACTTCAAGGGCAAATCTTTCCACACGTCGCGGTGGCCGACGGATCTAGACCTTGCGCGAGACTTTGCCGGCAAGCGCATCGGCGTCGTCGGTACCGGGGCCACCGGCATCCAGACCATTACCGCACTGTCAAAGGAGCCGAGCATAGAGTCCATCAGCGTTTTCCAACGGACCGCAACATGGACCGTTCCGCTACGCAACTACGAGATCTCGCCAGGAAAAATGGAGGAGCTCAAGAAAGATTACGACAGCATTTTTGGCATCTGCCGCGCGACACCGTCAGGCTTCATGCACATGGCGGACCCTCGCAAGTCGATGGAGGTCACGGAGGAGGAACGCCTCGCTCTCTGGGAGAAGCTGTACGCCGAACCCGGCTTCGGCAAGTGGCAGGGTCTGTTCAGAGACACGTACACGGATCGCCAGGCCAATGAATTATACTCCCGCTTCATCGCCGACAAGATTAGGCAGAGAGTACACGACCCGGAGGTAGCAGAGAGCCTCATTCCCAAAACGCACGGGTTCGGCACCCGTCGCGTGCCGCTGGAGAGCGGTTACTTTGAGGCCTTTAACCAGGACAACGTGCATCTCGTCGATCTCCAGAAAGCACCAGTCTCCGAGGTCCAATCCGACCGCATCCTCACATCCGATGGCCAGGAGCACGAACTCGACATTTTGATTTACGCCACCGGTTTCGATGCCATCACGGGCTCTTTCAGCGCCATTGAGTGGCAAGGCAAAGACGGACGGCCGCTGATCGCGCCGAGTGGGACGGCCAAGGGCGAGCGCGCCGTCTGGGTCGACAACAGGCCCTACACGTTCCTCGGCATGACGGTGCCGTCCATGCCCAACATGTTCATGGTCCTCGGTCCGCACCAGCCGTTTGGCAACGCCACGCGGAACATTGAGCATGCTGTGCAGGTTGTGGTGGACTTGTTGAAGTTTTGCCGCGAAAAGGGGTACACGTACGTCGAGGCGACGCAGGAGGCTGCGGACGGGTGGACGGAGCATGTGTTTGAGTGCAGCAAGGGGTCGCTGGTCAACGAGGTGGATAGTTGGATGACGGGGGTTAATACGAACATCAAGGGCAAGCAGGTCAGGAGTGTGGTGCGATATGGCGGCTCTGCACAGGAGTTCCAGAGGCGGTGCAGAGAGGTCAAGGAGTCTGGATACAAGGGGCTTATCTTTGCTCAACAGACTGAAGGAGTCCAGCTGTAGTGTTCCATCATGTGTTCAGGATCCAATTCACTTTGATTCTAGGGACAACAATAGTGACGAGCACCAAATGTTTAAGGCTATTTCTTGCTTTTTTGTTTTTCTTCTCTTGCCATCGGGTTGTGTTCCTGGGAGTTATGCTATGTTGGCTTGTCAAAGGTAGAGTTTCAGAAGATGTGAGAAAGCCCAATGTCAGTCTAAATTCTGCCGGTGGGCTATCTTTCTGCAAATCTCGCAAGTGTTCTTAAAGCCAGGCTTAATGAAAAGCGTCATCTTTAGTCTTCTGATGAGGTAAGAACAGATGACGCGCAAGATTATCGGGCAGCGCCGGTGTTGATGCCGCGGAGTGACCCCGCAGAAGCCGTTCATAGGGCGGGGGAGGTTCGTCGCCGGAAGTGGAGTCGAGGCACACCCGAATTCAATGAGGAAAGTCTTCCCTGGTCGTCAACGGAAAGCCACACCCGATACCCAACAACACCGCGAAGATGACACGGCGATGATGGACTACTTATTGAGGAGGCCATAAACATACTATGAACGTATCATCATAATCATATTAATTGCAAAACATTATTCAGCCCCAGCTCCAGTCCCCCCAAACCTCGAGAACCGCGTTTTTCATTATTGACTTCCCCATCAGACCAGCTGTAATCAACATGGATGTCCCCGGCTTCGCATTGGTCACAGGCGCAGCTTCTGGCATCGGCAGAGCATGTGCCCGCGGTTTCGCCCAAGAAGGTTCCGCCGGCATCGCGCTGCTAGACCTCAACGCAGACGCACTGAAGACCGTCAAGGAGGAGATTGAAGCCGAGTTTGGAAAAGACCGCAAGATTGAGTTGCTCACCTACCCCATCAACGTTGCCAACGAAGAGCAAGTCGTCAAGGTCGTCAACGAAGCAGCCGCCAAGTTTGGGCGGTTGGACTACGTCGTCAACGCCGCCGGCATCGCCATCAAGCACCAGGGCGGCGCCGCCTTCGCCAAGACGGAGGACTGGCAGCGCGTGCTCGACGTCAACATTAACGGAACCTTTTACGTGCTGAGGGCTGCGGCGCAAATCATGTTGAAGCAAGAGCCTATTTTGTCGGCGATTGACGGCAGACCGTTGCAAAGGGGATCCATTGTCAACTTTGGCTCCATTCAGGGTGTTGTGGGCATCACGCTCTCTACGGCGTACACGACGACCAAGCACGCCGTCATCGGGCTGACCCGCACGGCGTCCGAGGACTATGCCAACCAAGGGCTGCGCATCAACGCCATTTGCCCGGGCTACACAGAGACGCCGATGACGACCAAGAACCCCGAGGTGTTGAAGGCGATGAAGGAGAGGGTGTCGACCGCGGTGCCGATGCAGAGGATGGGACGTCCCAAGGAGATTGCCGATGGTGTGTTGTACCTGGCTGGCGGCAGGAGTTCGTTTGTGACTGGGTCTGCGTTGATGGTGGACGGAGGGTATACTTCGAGATAGGCTGCTCCTGTCGGCGAGGATATCAAAATTTGTCAGTAGAATGAAGCTGGAGTGGATTCAACAATTTGGCTACACTTTGCTGAATACGACCTGAAAAAAAAAAAGATACTTTGCGGTACGACGGGCAGTGTCTCTACATTGTAGAAGCGGAGTTTTATTCACACACGCATGCATTCGAGATTCGGCACTTTTGTCATCCTTGAATAATTTCAGCATTTGCTATCCTTGCCTAGCGTTGAGTCATTAACCATGATATATCATTGCACCTCGTGCCACCCCCCAGGCGTTAGGACTAGGAGGTCCTAACCCCGCCCCGACTCCGAACATCATCCCGAGAGTTATGCACGCAGGCCGGAGAGTCGCCGTTCCGGAAAAGCGGGTTGTGCATAACTTTGCGTGAATCTGCCGGTCCATGACTCGCATCAGCAGCTAGGAGGCACGTATCAAACAATTGTTTTGAGATTAACGTCAGCTGCGTACTCCGTAGTAGATTCCTAATCTCCCTCCCCCATGAGCCTTCTCCGATGCGACTTGGGTCGGAAAACAAAATCAAAGGAAAGAATAAGGAAAGGGCAAAGGTAGCTTGATGCATCTGCAGATGGATTCCATCTACATTCAGTAAAGTGCTGTAGAGGTCGAGCTGTCCCCACAAGCCGCTGAAGGTTTGGCTTATGTAGCATCCGCGGGGAAAACTCTAAAAATCACCATCAATGACAACTTGATAAGTCTGATGGAAAGTCATATTCAGACGAACGACCTCACACGAACACTGGACAGTTGCTTCTTTGACATTGCGTTTCTTTGGTCTGTAGTATTAGAGTTAGGAGTAATACGCGATGACTAGATGAGAATTGCTGATTCAAATTCAAAGCCAAGCTATCTTGCCGCCTGGATGCATATAATCCTGCATCCGTCGTAAATCTCCACGTCCCAATCTGACCTACCTAACTCAAGGATCCCTCCGAGACATAAAGGAGGCAATATTACAGGCCCGCATCAACTGACCAGTGCCAACACCGCAAGGGAATGGGTCTGTGAGATTCAGGGGTGATTGTCTTCGAGAAAAGACAACCTGAAGCGTCTTTCGATGGCGGGGTTGCATAACGTTATGAACAGACTGCGGAAAGTTGTACTGCCGAACCACAACTTCCGCGCTAGAGGCCGGAATTAAGCCTAGTCGGAGCCGGACTGTCCCACCACCATCGGCAAAGACTAGATGAAGGGAGGCCACCAGAACATCTCTTTCGTCACCACGTTTTCAAAGCACCTGCAGTGCCACGCATGTTACGTATCTAGTGCGTTGGGCAGGGTTTCCCATACGGAGGGGGGACACAACGGGGTGTTCATCTCGGCTACCACGGGATCGTGAGCACTAGATCCAGATGTGCACCGTATATGCAATGCGAGAATGAGTGAATGATCGATCCGAGAGCGAAGCCAACCGGAACGGCGCTCGTAGTGGGCACGGTACAACGGGATTCAGCACCTAATATTGCCGCCCGTAAGCCGTTTTAATTCGGACCCTGTGATCCTGTCTTCGTCATTCCCGTTGTGGTTGGTTGTGTTGCTTTTCCGTCGCCCGGCTACCTACAAATACATTCGTCTCCGGCTTATTTCCCTGTTATAAAAAAACATCCCTTTCTCCCTCATCGATTGCTCTTGGCATTGCACCTTCTGCATATCCGTCATCTGCTCTCACTTGCTCACCTTTTTTGTTCCTCTTCTCTCCTTCCGGCGTATGCCCACAAGTTTCTTTGACGCGGCTGTCACTGTCTTAACCTCGCAATGACGCAAGAAAAGGCGGCCGACGATGTTGGCGAGCCTCCCGTCCACCAAAAAATACCATACTGGCGCATAGTCATCGATCAAGCAGGGATCACACAAGAGGTAGCCAACTATCGATATCCCGGCTCTGGCACCGAGGCAGATCCTTTTTTGGTGCAATGGATCCCCAACGACCCCAGGAACCCGATGCTCTTCAGCAGGCCAACCAAATGGTTCATCACATTCATGGTCTCGTTGACCACGCTGGCAGTGGCGCTTCTCTCATCAGCCTTTACGGGTGGCATCCGCGAAATCATCCAGGAATTTGCTATCTCCCAAGAAGTCGCGACTCTGGGCGTCTCCCTGTTCGTGCTCGGATTCGCCATTGGACCGTTACTCTGGGCGCCGCTCAGTGAACTCTTTGGACGGCAGTCGCTCTTCTTCGGCACGTATGCCATCCTGACGGCATTCAACGCCGGTTGCGCCGGCGCCAACTCGGCCACGACCCTCATCGTCCTCCGCTTCTTCGCCGGCGCCTTTGGCTCGTCTCCACTCGCCAACTCGGGCGGCGTCATCGCCGACATGTTCCCGGCCGCGGAGAGAGGCTTGGCCATGGCGTTGTTCGCGGCCGCGCCTTTCCTCGGACCCGTTCTCGGACCCATCATTGGCGGGTTTCTCGGGGCCGCTGCGGGCTGGCGATGGGTCATGGGCTTCCTTGCTGCGTTTTCTGGGACCCTTTGGCTTCTGGGAGCGGCCCTCGTCCCCGAGACCTACGCGCCGTATCTGCTTCGACGGCGAGCTGCAAAGCTGTCCAAGATGACTGGCAAGGTTTACGTTAGCAAGATTGAACACGAGCAAGGCAAGATCAGCTTGGCAGAGTCGTTCAAGACGGCCTTGTCGAGACCGTGGATCCTGCTGTTCCGCGAGCCCATTGTCTTGCTCCTGTCGCTTTACATGGCCATTATCTACGGGACTCTCTACATGCTGTTTGCAGCTTTCCCTATTGTCTATCAACAACAACGAGGTTGGTCACAGGGCATTGGTGGACTTGCCTTCCTCGGCATCATGGTCGGCATGATATTCGCCATCATTTATACGCTACCCGAGAACGGCCGGTATCAGCGAGTACAAAAGAGAAACGGCGGATTCGCCCCTCCGGAAACCCGCCTTCCATCAGCCATGGTTGGAGGCGTTGCAATTCCCATCGGTCTATTTTGGTTCGCCTGGACGAACAATGCATCCATCCACTGGATGGTCAGCATCGCCGCCGGCGTCCCATTTGGATTCGGAATGGTCTTGTTGTTCTTGAGCGTCATGAACTACCTCATCGATGCTTACACCATCTTCGCGGCGAGCGTGCTGGCTGCCAATTCCGTCATCCGCAGCTGCTTCGGCGCTGCGTTTCCCCTGTTTACGACGTACATGTACAAAGACCTCGGAACCAACTGGGCGTCGTCGGTTCCCGCATTCTTGGCACTGGCTTGCGTACCATTTCCGTTCCTGTTTTACAAGTACGGCCCGGCGATCCGGGCCCGCTGCAAGTTTGCCGCACAATCGGAAGCGTTCATGGCGCGGCTGCGAGAACAGGATCCTTCGTCTTCAGACATGGAGCCGGAAGTGAGCGGCGCACAGGAAGCCGTGGTGAGCGACGCCGTCGACACGGATGCAGCATCTTCCGACGATCGTTCCTCCCTACGCCGCGAGGGCTCGCGCCGTCGAACGATGAGCTTGGCCTCGACACGCCGAAAGTCCTACGACGGAAACCCGTACGATATCGACAGAGTCAACACGAGGGAGTCTTTCGCATCGACACACAAGTGAAGGAGGAGTCTGACACGTGTTGGAGCTATGCTTCAGTTGTCAAGAAAGTGTGAGGATATGATACTCGTTGGGAGATTCAAGACTGGAGAGGTAATTCTGTTCAATGTATACTTAGTAGATAATACTTGGCTCTCTTGTCGTTGATTGCTTCAGCTCAAGCTAGGTGGAATACCACATGCAATCTTGAACGAGATTAGAGTTTGCATGTGTGTTGCCCCAAACAGCCTAACCACCAATAACTAAGCTATCTTCAACTTTGTGTGGCCGCACAGATTCATCCGGCTCTCGGGACCGCGTCCGCGGGGGTGGATTACCTATTCGCAGCATCAAGACCCCAAATGTGACCCCCAACTTCCCCTCAACTCGGCAGATGCGGGGCATCCCGACAGCTGCGGTGGACAAGGCGGTTTTCACGGCATCCGAGTGGTCAATTGGAGGCGTGGCATGTCATCTTGCTTTTGTCGTGGCACCGTTGTGGCCTGCGCTTTTCACCCATCGCCTCATGGCAACAGAAGCGTCTCCGCACTCGGGGACGTTCTTTTGCTGGGCCACGGACAGTTTTGCTCTGCCTACAAGTCCGTCTGCGTCCCTTGAATATCAGTCTTCAGGCTTCTTCTACCCACCCAGTCACCAAACCACCCTCCTGTGAGTGTGAGCTGTATATCATCTCAGACTGATATAGTCGTCATGGGCCTTCAAGAGCAGGACGGGAAGCTAGTCTTCACCTACGACGCAGAGAAAGTCTGGGTAGAACCATGGGGGCCAGATTCTTTTCGAGTCCGGGCAACGAAAGCTCGAAATATGCCCTCTGAAGACTGGGCTTTGCTCCGGCCCAAGAAAGTCGACGTCAAGATCACCATCGACGACAAGACGGGCACAATCTCGAACGGCAAGATCAAGGCATCTATAACAAGCGGCGGTAAGCTCATGATGTGGAATTCCAAGGGCGTGCTGCTGCTCGAGGAATACTCCCGCCACCGACGGGATGTCTTGGATCCCAAATGCAGCGCCCTCGAGGTCGAGGCCCGCGAGTTCTTGCCCATTGTCAACAGCAACGACTACCACCTCACCGCCAGATTCGAAAGTGTGGATGCAGAGGAAAGTATATTTGGGATGGGACAGTATCAACAGCCATTCCTCGATCTCAAGGGTCACGACCTCGAGCTTGCGCACAGGAATTCCCAGGCCAGCGTCCCGTTCGCCGTGTCCTCGCTAGGGTACGGACTCTTGTGGAACAATCCGTCAGTCGGCAGGGCGATCCTGGGCCGCAACATTATGAGTTTCGAGGCGAAGTCGACTCGGGCCCTCGACTACTGGATTGTCGCCGGCGACTCCCCGGCTGAAATCGTCGAGGCCTACGCCGACGCCACGGGCAAGGTCCCCATGATGCCGGAATACGGACTCGGGTTTTGGCAATGCAAGCTGCGATACCAGACGCAGGACGAACTCTTGGAAGTCGCGCGCGAGTACAGAAAGCGGGAGCTGCCCATCGATCTCATTGTTATTGACTATTTCCACTGGCCGCTCCAAGGGGAGTGGAAATTCGATCCGACATACTGGCCCGACCCAGATGCCATGATCAAGGAGCTGCAAGAGCTCAAGATTGAACTGATGGTCTCGATCTGGCCTACTGTTGACCACAAGTCTGAGAACTGGGATGAAATGGTGGAGAAAGGGTACCTTATTCAATCTGACAGAGGCATCCGGATCGCCATGAACTTCCAGGGTGATACGACGCATTTTGACGCCACACATCCCGGAGCGAGAGACTACGTATGGAAGAAGGCCAAGAAGAACTACTACGACAAGGGCATCCGTGTCTTTTGGTTGGATGAGGCAGAGCCCGAATACACGGTCTACGATTTCGACACGTACCGCTACCACCTGGGATCCAACGTCTCCATCGGCAATATCTACCCCGTCGAGTACGCAAAAGCCTTTTATGAGGGCATGGAGGCCGAAGGACAAAAGAACATTGTCAACCTCATCCGGTGCGCATGGGCCGGGAGCCAAAAGTACGGTGCCCTGGTCTGGAGCGGCGACATCGCCTCGTCTTGGGGCAGTCTGCGCAACCAGGTGGCAGCTGGCTTGCACATGGGCCTCTGCGGCCTCCCCTGGTGGACCACGGACATCGGGGGCTTCCACGGCGGAGACCCGAGGGACGACAAGTTCCGCGAGCTCTTTGTCCGATGGTTCCAGTGGGGTGCTTTCTGTCCCGTCTTCCGGCTCCACGGCTGTCGGGAGCCAGAGCAGCCGCAGCATGGTACGACGGGAGGCGCTACTTGCCGCAGCGGCGCGCCGAATGAGGTTTGGTCGTATGGGCCTGAGGTCTATGAGATTTGTAAGAAGTACATGTTTCTCCGTGAGGAGTTGCGTGATTACACACGCTCGCTCATGAAGGAGGCGCACGAGAAGGGTACGCCTGTGATGCGGACGTTGTTTTACGAGTTCCCGAAAGATGAGGAGACTTGGAAGATTGGCCAGCAGTACATGTTTGGCAGTAAATACCTGGTATGCCCGGTGCTGGAGCCAGAGAAGAGGATCATCAAGGTTTACTTGCCCCATCTAGAATCAGGAGGCAAGTGGACGGCACTGCTTGAGGGCAAGTCAGACGCATATGAGGGTGGGAAGTGGATCGAGATTGATGCTCCTTTAGATTGGATGCCAGTTTTCAAGAGGGAGTGAGCACGCTACGTTCATTCATCATTTAAAGGACCATACTCTACATATTGCTTGCCGTCTCATGCTCTTCTCAGCAATGTCTCAAACCTTCCATGCCGCTTTGATAAGATCAGCCGCTTTTTCTCCGATTCCATATGCAGGCATCTGCGTATGACCGCCATGAAGAATAGGCATGATACTGCAGTCGGCAACCCGAAGACCTTTGACACCCTTCACGGAGAGTGTCCGGTCGACAACTACGTTGGGATCAGACGCGTTGCCCATAGCACAGGTTCCCGCCGCATGATAGCCTAGAAAACGGACAAATGGTCAGCAAACTATGCGTGAGTCGTATCGAGAGAGACTTACAAGTCGTTGCGTTGTCCCGGACATACGGTATCCATTCCTCGCGCGTGGTATGCTTATGGTGCACCAAATCGCTCGGCCACGACCCCTTGACAATATCCTTTGTCCCTTCACCTTGCATGATGATCTCATTCCCGAAGCGGCACGCCTCCGCCAGCACCTCCACGTCCAAGGGATCAGACAGGAAATTCGTGTCCACCACGGGGACCGCCTTGGCGTCGGTGTTGCGCAGCATCACCGTGCCGCGGGACCGGGGCCCGAAGAGCTCCGCAATCATGCTAAAGGCGTACTTCCCGTCGGTGGGGAACTGGTCGTACTGCTTCGGCCCGCCGTAGCACTCCGTGGTGAAGAATTCAATGTTTGGCTGCTTGGGCGTGAGACCCATGGGATCACGGCCGGGCTGCCGGGGGGCGTTGTTCCAGAGGTCCGAGTCGGCGAGGCGCTCGTCCAGACGGGCGTAGGCGAATGCTCCAAAGGGGAATGAGGAAAGGAAGCCGGCTTTATGCTCCTTCCACAGGGCGTAGGTCTTTGCGAGGTTATCGCCGTGGTAGACGTGGTGGTCGTTGGTCAGGCCGGCCTTTTCGGTTTCGTAGAACATGAAGACAATCTTGAGGCAACACATTTGTTATCAATTTGCCTTGAGGGTACAGGTCTCGGGGTACTTACAAGGTGGTCCATGAGGTTCTTGCCGACGCCAGGCAAGTCTACCAACGTTGGAATACCAAAACTCTCCAGCTCGGCCTTGGCCCCGATACCAGACCGGTTGAGGATGTTGGGGCTGCAGTACGCACCGCCGCTGACAATGACCTCCTTGCGGGCCCTGATATCAAAAACGGAGCCGTCGGCCTTGACGGCCTTGACACCTGTTGCCCTGAGCTCACCGTCCACGTTCTCAATGATGACCCTTTCGACATGGGTCTCGACGAGAAGGTGAAGATTGTCCTTCTTGTTTTCCTTGGTGACGTAATCTGCAGCAGTGGTTCTCAAGCCCTTGTAGACTGTTCTGGGTGCATGTCCACATCCGTGAGGGTTGTTTCCGTGGGAGAACATGTCGTGGTCTAGAGGTAGTCCTTTGGATACCATGGAATCCATGATGAGGTTCGATATGGGTGCCAGATCGTGTGGTTCAATATTAAGGTGGCCGTTGGTGCCATGGTCGGCGGAGGCTTTGAACCAAGGTTTCCCGTGAAAGTTCTCCGCCTAGATTTTTCCTCAGAGAGATCAGTAAATAAGGTAGCCAAAGGTTTGGAGACTGGGACATTTGACGTAGGATCGGAGATACTACGTATGTGAGCAAATACTAAAGTTCTTACCTTGCGAATGTATTTGAAAACCTCATCACCACTCCAGCCCTCGACTCCCCAGTCGTCGTAGTCCTGTTTGGCACCACGAATGCATAATGTGCCGTTGCAGCCAGAACAACCGCCGAGGAATTTTCCACGGCTCAGTTTCACCTGCCGGTTGTTGACGGCTGGTTTCTTCTCACTGATGACATTCCAGTCGGTCTCCTTGTCCATTAATTGGAAACATCTATGCAGGAGAAATGATGATTAGTTGATAGTAGACTCGATGGCTGGAAATTTGCTGATTACCCTCCTGTCATGTGAACGTTTTCAAGATGCTCATTGTGTTCACCAGCCTCAATGACTAGAACATTTACACCAGGAATCTCGGCAAGACGGCTAGCGACGACGCAGCCAGATGTACCACCGCTTGAGGACTTGATGTTAGCCGCCAACTGTAAATATTAAACAGGCTTTGCACCAAGGAACGTACCCGCAGACTATAAAGTCGTACACAATGTCTTGAGGTATAGATCCCATGTTGATGATGGCTGCACACAACCTTTGGGGTGTTTAAGGGACAGCGTTTGATAAAATAAGAGAAGTGGACGACTGTTGAGGTCACAAGATAACCCATGCAGCTCGGGCTGTTGCTCTTGTATGCGGACGCTGCCTGACAATTCCGATATTATTTCCGAAGTGCTTCCTTTGCCACTGTGAACCTCATACGCCCACGTCAAAGTCATCATGCGGGGGAACGCAGAAGGCACCGGACTCACTTAGTGCACAACTTGGGGAAACCAGCGTCGCTGCTGAGTCTCTCGAAAGCGGAAAAGATAAACATGATCTTCCAAAAGTGGAGACTCCAAGCCAACCGACCATTGCTTCTGACACGACTGTGCCGACTAACTTTGGGTGCATCTTCAAGAAAAGTAGTCTCGACTTGAATCGAACATAAGGCTAACTAACCTGTTCAGGTCAGGTAGGTGAGCAATGGTCGGTTGACTTGCACCCTTATATGCAGGGTTCGGGTTAGAGTCCATGCTTCCACACCAGTTGGCTCGAAGTCCGGGGTCCCCACAGGCCCAACGCGGGGCTGTTGAGGGTGGACTTCTAGCTCAACATCTGAGAAACATAGGCCAGTGAATGATTGTGCGCGGATCTTTACTGTGGGAATTTATATACTACACCTGCCCTTCTGAATTGAGAGAATTCTTATAATGGCGATCAAACCGTTTCGAGGAGGGAATTTGATTAGGCTGTTGGGCGAGCCGTGCCAGTTAAGCGGTACTATGTTGGGCACGGATGAATGTCGAATGAAGATCATCCTCTTGCAGACGGCCAATGAGGATCAGGTAGAGTAGATATGCAGGCAGTAGACAGGAGGTTGGAGGCAGCATCCTGAAGCGCTTGGGGTCCACGAGAGCTGTGGTTTGGAAGAATGTGGACCCTGCGGAACCGACAATCTTGCTCGGCATTGAGGCGGCGGTTCATCAAATCAAAGAATCTCCACAGGAACAACCCAGTAAGGGTGCGGCACAGCACCTTGGCGTATCCTCCCGAATGTCCCCCGGCACAGCCTGGGTAGCTTCAGTCAGAAATTAAGTTGACTCTTTGTTATTGAATGAGCCGATGCTGGGTCAAATGCAATCATCTATAGTCTAGAATACGTCAAAGTGTCGGGGGCGAAATAATATCCCCAATGACAGTCTGTTGTGACAGGGGTTGGCTGACGGGATTTGACGGAAAAGGAAGTCGTGGCTTTTGAGTTCCGGGGAGCATAACAAGCGTTGGCCGTAGTTGGAGCTCAGGTCCACCCGCTGCCAAACCCCGGGGGCCCCGTGGGAAATTTGCGGTGGGACAGGACTGTGGACATCGGGAAATGGGGTCGGACGGGAGATGCGCTGTCCAGGCTTCCATTTCTGGCGGCTTGTCCCACCTTATGAGAGATAGGAGTAGGCGCAGAGGTTCATCGGGGTAGCTTTCTAAGGCGTTACCCGCATGAGGAGGTTGACCGGCCTGCGAACCTACCCCTCTTTCTTGGGGGTGTACTTGGCAACGTTCTCCTCGTAAGATCATTTGTTTCCGACCTAGAGGAATTCCATTCCATCAAATTCCGGTTCGACCTCGCAGTTCCGAAGACCACGCTGTCATGGGATTCATGCATGGGCATGTGGACGAGGTCGAATGTCACAGGACCGAAGCAGGCGCCGGCCAGTACGCTACCAGATCAGGATAAGAGAGGAAAGGGGACACTTTTAGAAAACTTTGAGCCTTTTTGAGCTGCTCCATTGCGGGAAATTCCATGCAACAGTCGGACTTGATGCCGAACAAGTCTTGGGCCTCAAAATTAATGAGAGACGAATATCAGGGTTAGTCGGAAGCCGGGGTCTCAACACGACTCTGAAGGACCAAGAATGAAGCAGTCGCTAGCAGACCTACGATACAGTCACCTCGCGCATCTTCGGTACACTCAGACTTGGAATTCAAACCGAATAGTCGCCCAGGAATGACCCGTTCATCCTAGGACTCTCGAGTCAATTCAGCTTTGGGCTAGCGCACAACTTGCGTTGGGATTCGCGGGGCGGAGCTTGTCCGAGAATCGCGAGCTCTTGCAAATTGCGAATCACTCTTCTCGCATCCAGTTGGTCTTGTCGAAATAAGGAGTGCCATTTATACATGTACTTTTATAGGCAAAATTCCACGTCGCCAGAGGAAGGAATTATGGCGTATGTAACTGGAGACAAGTAATCAATCCAGGAGACGCGGCTTGCACTACTAAACATGATTCACGGGAATTCTCGGATGAGACAGATCGAGGTGATTCCGTTCATGAATTGACTTCTTCCTGAGTGAAATATTTATCGCTTACTTGTTCGGGCCTGCCCCTCTCGCAGCTAGTGTACAGCAAAATGGCAACCCTCTTTCAAATCGAAGCCTGAAAAGAGTATTAGCTTGGTTTCTTGGTCATTCTTCTCCGTACATATTCTCTGTGGAAAATTGTCGGCTTCAATTGGCAAAGCGATGATTATTTTACTAACTTGTGTTTGGTGATCTGGACTGTATACCTACCAATGCATTTGATGTTCTAGAGTCAACGTTCCGCGGTTGACTTCCACCTCTTTGAGCTGGAACCTCCTCATGGACGATGAGAGCACTTGCAAAGTCGACACTGATAAAGTTCCCATTCTTACACATCTTGACAGGCCACAATGGAACCAGCATTGAGGACACGACCGATATCGGCGCGACGTTGATGTTGGAGGAGATATCCAACTTCGAATTTGGGTCCAAAAGTCTGCTGGCAGGTTGGAACTTTTACATTACTCTCATTTGGTGCCTCAAAGCCTGCATTTTGTTCTTCTTCAGTCGCATCACGTTCATCCCCCCTTTGCCCTTGGACCGCGTACGCGTAAGTTAGTCTTCTCTCTGACACCTTGTTGCAGGCTTGCTACAAGACAGCAAAAAATTGTGTTGGGGCTTGTTCAATCGAAGACTGAAGCGGAGGCTTGAATGCGAAAGCAGGTACGCTGACTCGTGGAAGCCAATGTCCAAGGTTTACTGCCCAGCTCTCCATCTCATCTTCTTGTCCACTCAAGCGTGCTGCGGCTGACTGAGCCCATTGGATCGAGAACGCCGAAACGAAAAAAGAAAAAGTCGGATTGACCCATTGGAGTATCAGAAAAGACAACGCGCCTACCGTGCGCCGAGGTCAGTTGTGACAAGAAGAAGTCAAAACATTGGACGGTTGGCAATGTTTTCAACGCTTGTGCCTCATATCCCCATCAATAAATCTAGAGTACCTCTGCCAACAAGCTCTTACTTCCCTGGCCCACCTCATACTTGGTCCACGAGAGAATTTGCCCGTCATTGACGAATCTTGCCTTTTGGGTAAACCCTTGTCCAAGTCAGTTGCCCAAGTCTTTTTTAGGCAACACCTATGAACGACTAATTTCAAGCTTCTCTTGACAAGTCAAAGACAGATATTGATCTCATAGCATGCGTCAACGCAGTCGTAAGCAGCGCATACATGGTGACGATGATGCCTTGCCCGACTTCACCCGTCACACTCTCCGTTCGGTCCAGGCATCATGGGAATTCTTTCTAGCATGGCTACGAATCACATGGTTTGACATATTTGTCATGTCAGCGATGGGTGGCGCTGCTCTAGGCGTAAGTCATAACTCGAACGAAACAACGCCACAACTAAGACCAATGTGCTGTTGCAGATCTACAATGCCCCTCTGGCCGCGACGCGAAACTTTCCCATCACGTTTAACGGTACCGGGGATATTGTCTATCCTCAGTGGGCTTACCCTGATCGCGGCTGGATCATCGACACCTGGCTGTCCGCATTACTCTCCGCCCTCATTCCTATCGCGGTCATCCTCCTCGCCCAGTTCCGCGTGAGGAACATATGGGACGTGAACAACGGCATCATCGGCCTCATCTTTTCCATCTCGCTCGCCACACTGATTCAAGTCATCATAAAACAGTTAATCGGCGGCTTTCGCCCTTACTTTCTGGCCGTCTGCATGCCCGACATCACGCGCGCAGTCACCAACAACTCGACCGGACTCAACGCCGTCGGCTTCCAGCAAATCATGTACTCGGTCGACATTTGCACGCAGCCGGACCGCGACAAATTGAAGAATGCAATGACGTCCTTTCCCTCAGGCCACTCCACGGCCGCGTTCGCCGGCTACGTCTATTTATTTCTGTATCTGAACGCTAAACTCAAGGTGTGGGCAGACTATCGCCCGGCGCTTTGGAAGATTGCGTTGACTTTTGCACCACTTCTCGGCGCTCTGCTTATCGCCTGTTCCCTGACGATAAACCAAGCTCACAATTGGTATGACATTGTGGCTGGAAGTGCCATCGGAATTGCTGTGGCCTTTGGCTCATTTCGTGGATGCTACGCTGCTATCTGGGACTGGCGGTTCAACCACATTCCTCTCCAGAGGCGCGATCAGTTCGTTTACTCTCCGGAAGATGGAACGGAATATCGAAACGACGTGTTCACGAGATCTGGTGGCTGGGGAGTGATTAGGGAAGAAGCGACAGAGAAGAACTCGCCCAATGGACGAAGCGGTGCTTACTACGCTGCCCAGCAGACTGCGTATCACGGAGCATCAGATAGGGATACCCTGCCGTCACAACTACCACGAACACGCTATAAACAGCATAGGCATCGACCCCGGGGAGACGATGTCGTTTGATAAGCATTGAAAGGATCGGACGGTTGATTTCATAGACCAATGCAAGCCGCAACAGTCGCTGGCAGTCAATTCCTCTTGTTACAGTAGCGCGGAAGGCGGAACGAAGCGGTTCTAGTGTCAGTAACTACAAGCTCTCGTTGAGAAACTTTGCGCATCTTGGTATACCTTTATTAGTCTATCAATGCCGAAACGCAGTATTTGAATGCGCAAGGTTTTGAAAATATTCAAAGTTCAACGTCAGTTACCGTCAATGTTTACAATCGCTCGCGTGGAACCTAACCCTAGACTTGAAGCCTCCACCAGGCGTGCCAGGGTATATGATGATCTATCTAGATTCCATCCAGGAAGCGAAGCAGCCTGGATTCGCGCCTGCGGAGTCGGGCGTACGACATCCCTGCTAGCCGTTTCCCTAACTGTGGGCTCACCGCTCGTCCCGCACCTTGATGTTGTGCATCGGTCAAGGATACTGTTCGGACTCTTATCGTTACCTACCTACATAAATGTACAATAGTTGCCTCTAAGCTGGCCAGTCATCTCGGTAGATGTATTCCATGCCTCGCTATCCGTTTCATTTTCCGCACTGCGTGTTTGGCACAGATATGTCGACTACAAGGTGGAAAGTTCCAATCAACTCTATTTTGGTTTAGTGGACTAGGGATATCCGTCTGTCCAAGCTTTTTCAATTGCATAATGTTGACTAATAGTCTGAGAGACACGGCTTAGAGATTGATCATCGACCGATGACAACATAAAGACTCAGCAACCCGGGGTCAACTCCCAACCACCAGCCTTTCATTATGCCGCGCCCCTCTCTGCATAAGCCTCATCTTGCGACCTCCACCGCCATGCTGACGGTCATCCTCGTATTGCCCAGCAACAAGCGTGCGCACGCTCCACAATACAACCCTGTAATGATAGCAGCTCGCAAAACTCTGCCTATATACGAGGATCAAGTCCGACGAAGCCCACAATAATTTGTTGTCGGCTGACTCGGCGAAGCAGCAATAAGGAGAAGGATGCATTTCTCGATGCAACAATGACCTGATGCGATATTCCCCAGTTTACGGTCACCCGCAAAAGATTGAGTTAAAAAACTCCGCTTTCCCCGGATCCCCCCTTGGCGCATAGCTCCTCTGTCTACCACGGCTCCCTCGTCGACCTCGTCACTCGTTTTCCTCACACAATTACCCTCAGCAATTCTAGTTAATAGTCCTAATAATAATAATCAACCAGCTTCACGATGCTGTCCCCCAAAGCCGCCGCCCTCTTCAACTTTGCCCTGCTGGCCTCCGCCGCCCCGGGAGTCGCCCCGGGAAAGCGCCAGTCGACCGGCTCCGGATCCTGCACCGACCTGCATATCTTCCTCGGCCGCGGATGGAACGAGGGCTACCCAGGCAGACAGCAGTCCCTTGTGGAAGCCACCTGCAATGGCCTCTCCAGCTGTGACTACGAAGACATCCAGTTCGACGCGACCAACCCGTCGGGGTACCCTGCCGCGGTTGAGCAGGGCCGTGTCTCTGGAGTCGCTCAGTTCAAGGCATACAGCCAGAGATGCCCCAACTCCAAGATCGTTCTGAGTGGCTACAGCGAAGGTGCCAACATTGTTGCAGACATCCTCGCTGATTCCGGAGTGGTCGCCAACGCCGCTCCTGGAAACCAGGGTCAGTCTTTTTTCCCTTCTATCTGAATAATGACGGGCAAAAGTAAGCAGTAGACGGAAAACTGACATGAATTTGTACTAGTCTGCGCCGCTCTCCTCTTTGGCGACCCAACTCACGTCGCCGACCAAAGCTATAACGTCGAGGCCGGCTCCGGCTTGAGCGGCGAGATGGTCCGGTCGGGCTCCTCCCTGAGCAACCTCAACAACTTCGCCGGCGTCCTGCGCTCCTGGTGCAACGGCGAAGACACCGTCTGCGCCTACGGCGATGGGAGCCGGACGATGGGCGAGGACGCCCACACCAACTACTTCCAGCTCTACACCAACGACGCCGCCGCCTACATCAAGCAGAAGTGCGTCCCCTCCGGAACGACTCCGCCCACGGCGACCCCTACCTCCGGCCTTCCCGCGCCTACCTCGACGGGATCGTTCTGTGTCTCTGGCAAGGTCAAGACCGGCCTGTCTGACAACTACACCGGACTCTGCGACTTTGCGTGCTCCTACGGATACTGCCCCGACGGTGTTTGTGAGTGCTCTACGTATGGCGAGCAGAGGACTAGCCCTGGTGGAGACGGCCGTGATGGATGCCCGGCTACTGGTTTGGATGACAGCTACAAGGGGCTTTGCAGCTTCAGCTGTAGCCACGGCTACTGCCCAACCGGAGCTTGTGTGTACTGCTAAGCGATCATGAGGCGCTATCTGAGGATGCAGGAGCTGCACTCATAGTACATGGGAAGATAGACCAGCACATAGGCACCAAGTAATGCAATACATGTCAAATTCTGCACAAAAAGCTTTTCTGGCAGTGTCGGACAATTGTGTGAAAGTAAGTCGCGTAGCAAGGCAAATCTGCCTTTGTAGCTCAACTCATGAGTGGCTTGGCCCCGAATATTCAAATGACTGCACGCCAACTCAAGGATGTTAGTGTGTACTTGAGTTGTTTGACCCTCATCAGACGATATTGTGAGAGTTGAAAATCTGCCATTTCCCTGTTGTCTGACAGGCGGCTCTTGGTGTGACCGGATCGACACACTCTGGGTAACACCACATGGTGAGACCTTCGTATCCTTACAGAGCAGTCAGCTGTTGTGTTTGGAACCGACCAGTAAGGAACCAGACAGTTCATCCCACCCAACCCAACTCGTCAGATTTGAGTTCTATGCTGACTGGAATCTGGACATTCTAGCACAGGCCACGCTCGGGTGCGGACCCGATGCCGTGATGCGTTGTCTTGCCGGATGGACCGCGCTACCGGCACTTCCGACGATCCGGCCGCTCTTTGCCAGATGTGGCTTGTCGCGGCCAAGCGGAAAAAAAAAAATTTAAACGTCAAGATGACAGTTCCGAGGAGTGCGCACGGGGTTCCCAGAACCTAATCTGCAAGGACCAAGCCTGGGTGCCAAGACATGGGTGGCCGGCCAGTGGACCGCGGAACTGAACATGTGGGATGGAGGAGCGGGAGATTCAGACGCTCAAGTCTGAAATCACTGCTCAGACAAGTCTACTACTGGGGTAGGATGTGGAGGATCACATCTCGGGCAGTGGAAAGAGAGAGCGACGAGCGGATATGGGCATCAGGTCCGTAGCTCATGCCGTCTGGTGTTCCCTAGTCGCCTTTCCGGCCCCCCAGAAAGATGGCTGGGATATCATTTTGGGCCTAGCCACGCACGTTTCGGCCAACAGCAAAATCCCGCAGCGCAATCGACCGACGCGATGGGAATGGGGATTCACAGGTCAGCAATCCCATTCAGCATTGGCGTTCTTTGATGTGCTTTGAAGCACAATGTTCTACAATGTTCTTGCGGCCTGTCCTTAGTCACTTGGTTAGAGAAAATCAATCAATCCAAGGCAGGTGTGTAACTAAGGTATCCTCGCTGGCAGACAGATATGCGCCCGGGCCTCTTTACGCGGCCAGCTTACTTGCGGTTGTGACTGGACTGTTGGTTCGTCATATTGACAACAGCGATGCGCCCGGCAAGGGAGATGGAGATTCACCTTGGCGTCTAATACATAGTAAGACTGGGACTGCCATGTGACCACGACAGACCGGATTCCCTGCATCCTGATTGACGTCAGCCAATTCGACGTGGTCTTTGGTCCTCCTTCCAGCGGTGCTTTGCGAACGGATTTGCATTCTTCAGGAGCTGCTGGGTTCATGTTCATGTTGTCTGCTCTCCGCTTCTGGCTCTCCTGAAAATCGCTATTCAGTTCCATTATTTGGCTCCATGAAAAGCTCCGTCAAAGAAGTGTACCGCCTCAACGCGTGGGTGGAGCAAAACGTTTCTAATTTCGTTTTGGAGAATAAGGACGATCGACAGGAATCGACATTGCCCGTTCCATTGTTCCTGCAGGAAACGGGAGAAGTCAGAGATTGAGTCGATGAACGCGGCAGCGGGATGGATAGCATGCAACAATGGGTTGTTCAAATTCACCGTGGACTCTTTACTGCATCGCGCTATCCTGAATCCCATCCAGGCTCTCCGAGCAATGTCGGGATGGATGGCTGGATCTGTGTGGTGAATGGGGGTGGCACGGGTGGCTTGCGGTGCGGCGTTGTCACCTTTCCTAACCACAACCGGCTGGAGGGAAAGCGAAACAACTGCTGTCATCCTTGTATCATCTTTTCATCTCCCAGGTTCCTTGACTCTTGACTGTTCCGCAGACTCTGCGCAACCAACAACGTCTGTTTGACATCACTCGCCTCTCACATTACCCCCCTTGTTGCTCTGTACCCACGGTACTCCGTACGAATACATGAACCCAACGCACGTTTCTTGAGACTTGCGGGGGGGATGCAACACATCGGCCCAGTGCCACAGTTCTGCCAAACCTGCCAACGCTTGGCCCACGGAACCGGACAGGGTGTGACAAGGGGTGTAATCCATCACTGATGTCATTAACCCACCAACCGGCTGTCGCAATCACGGTACAACGGCATCGTCGCGCCTAAAGAGGCATGGCATTTCTTGTGGCGCCTGGTCTAGGCTGCTCTGGCACTCCAATGGCCTCGGTGAACCGTCCCAAACAGATCTGCTACTGCGGTTCGAGAAAACTGGGTTGTGTGCGACTTTAGTTGCCCATTCTTTAGAGGTTCAGTCTCTTTTTTTCTGTTTTTCACCAAAGCTCCCACAGCTCCCAAGCACCCCCAAGCTGGTAGTACGCGTCAGACTGGAGCAAGCGCCTCGTCGCCTCTTGGTCCCAGCAAGGGTTGGAACTGACACAACGCCGCACGAGGGCGCAAAAGCTCCGGCTTTGATCCACCACAATGATGAAATGGATGGGGTAGACCGTAGACCGACGTTGGAAAGACCGCCAGTCTCGGTCTTGTGTCCAAACGTCTTTAAAGTCTTTTGGCCGTCCCGCTTTCTTGTTGGAATTCTCATGATGTTGTAGGGCCTTTCTAACAACCGAATCACACACAACCTAATCCAGGCCACTCCTCCCCCCCCTCCGGTCCTCCGGTTGTCATTCGAACATGGCGCCGTTACAGAGTCGTATTCTCGTCGGCTGCGGCTTCATCTCTGCCGCCCTCGCCGCTGACAACGTCCTATCATTGACGCTCTCCGCATCAGTCCCCAATAATGTCTCCGGTACCATCGACCCGTCATTCGCCGGCTTCGGTATCGAGCTCGACCACCTGTTCTACTTCATGGGCGACGAGACACCAAACGACCTGTCCCTCAACCTCATCAGCAACCTAGCCAATTTCACCGGTCGTCCACCGCACATGCGATTGGGAGGAAACACGCAAGACTACCTCATCTACAACGACACACAAGACGAATGGCTTATCAAGCCGAACCCCCGCCCTACCGCGCCGGGGAACGTCCCTGCAGACAACTTCATCGTTGGCCCCCGCTTTATGGAGATCGCAAACCGCCTGCCCAAGGGTACGCCCGTCACCTGGGGTCTGAACCTGGGATATGCAGAGTCCGACTATCTCGAGAGGCTCACGACAATGGTTTCCCAGATTATCGACAGGTGCACCAACCTCAATCTCATGTCCTTTGAAATCGGAAACGAGCCAGACCTCTACGGCGACAACGGCTTCCGGCAAAAGAGCTCTTGGTCCGGCACCGAATACACCAAGGAGTGGCGGGAGCGCGCCAACGCCGTGTGGGAACAGGTCCTAGAACCCCGCGGGCTGCACAGTGACTTCTTTGAGGCATCTGCCTCGACTGCTTGGGTAGCTGGCACGGGATTCGAGATCAAGGATTTAGTCGAGTATGGAATCGACGACAAGGCCAACAGCTCCGACGTTGGCTTCATCACGACTTGGAATCAGCACAACTACTTCTACTTTGTCGGATCTTTCCCGTACCCCTTGACCCTCGACTATATGCTGCGCTTCGAGACGACAAAGGCCCAATTCGACTCGGCGATTGAGGCTCAAATCACTCAAGCCGAGAGGACCACGCACCCCTTTGCGCTCCGCGAAATGTCCGTCGTCGGACCGCTGGGGGTCGAAGGCCTCAGCAACACCTTTGCCGCCGCTCTCTGGACCCTCAACTTCCTCCTCTACGCCACAACGATCAACATCTCGTCCGTCCAGTTCCACATGACATATGACAGCAACGCCAGCGCCTGGCAACCAACAGCCATGTTCGGACGCGACCGCTTCGTCCGGCCGCTCTACTACGGCATGGCCGCCTTCGCCCAGACCATTGGCCGCTCGTGCACCGCCCGCGTCGCGCAGGCCGAGATCACGGACTACCCCTCGGGCTACAACGACTACATCAAGGCCTGGTCCGTCTACCAGGGCGACTCGCTCGCCTCCCTCGTCGTGCTCAACGGCAAGGTCGCCAACGTCTCTGACGCCAACAAGGGCAGCATCACGGTTGACGTGACCCTGCCCTCCTCGCTGGCCGGCGAGACGCTCCACCTGGCCTACCTGACCGGCGACGGCGCCGACGCGACGAGCGGAACGACGTGGAACGGCCTCAGCTTCGAGCAGGGTGACGACGGGAAGCTGAGCCAGGTGTCGAGCGACGACATCACGGTCAAAGTGGGCAGCGACGGCAAAGCCAGCATCCCCGTCCGCGACACCGAGGCCGTCGTCGCCAACATCGGCGCCAAGGTCGGCAGCGGGGAGCCCGACAGCACGGCGTGCGGTGGGCTCGCTACCACGTCGCAGGGGGTTGGTACGGCGACCACGTCCACGCCCGGGTCGTCGTCGGGGGGTGGCTCGAGCAATTCGTCTCCGGGCAAGGGGAAGGATGACTCCGGCGCGGCGGGGTTGGGTTCGGGAACGGGCGTTTATAACTGCATTGCGTGGAGTTTGGTGCTTACTATGGGAGTCTTCTTCTCATAAACTCCGGGAATAGAACATGATACCTAGGGCTTTTGCATTTCGGCGTACTTGGAGGAAGGTAATGACTACACGGTTTATTTTGTAATGCCATCAAAAGAACCTTTAATCATATGATTACTACACCGATCTTGACTTGTGTGTATTGTGACGCTCTCCCGATTCGCGATGATCTGCATGCTTCATCAAATCCAAGGTTCATTCCACCTACCAAGTACACCGTGACTAGGCCGTAAAGTGCTCACACCATGATACCTCATCGACGCAAATCTAGAAAGAAGTCGAAGTGTACTTCATACGAATGACGCCCGTTTAGATACATACTATATGTGGTTTAGAGTTGACGGCGCTACAAATTGACTTCTGGGACGCCCGGGTATCGTTGAATACTCTTCGAATCCTGCGTCTTACATACGCACAGGGCTTGATGCAGTCGATGATGCCTGTAGTTTAATGAGCTACACTTTTATCTGATTCTTAATGATCAATAAATGGTGTGTGATTCCGACGTACATTGTCTTTCTTGGTCTGACTGCGACAATTTATCGTTTGCCACGCTGGTATCACGATAGTTGTGGAGCAAAAAATGGGAAACTGGACCAAAGAAAGACCATAGTTTACTAGTCTTTTCGAAGAAAACCGACATGATTGAAGAGCAGCGAATGTCACGACTCATAATAATTGTACAAGCCAGCAAGGCAAGCTTGCAGAACCCAACGAGTATGCTCCTGTGAAGTATATACACGAATTTCGCTTTGGTTGCCCAAACTCGAAGGGCGATGGATGCCTGGCATTGTCCCGACGAAACAAAGCAACCGCGAACTGAACGAAATCGATTGAACATGGTTGGACATGAGTTCTAGCATGAGCCAGACTTCTTACCAGGACCTTTGTATAGTTGGCATGGGGTCTTGGCGTCAGTGCAGAGGTTGACAAGAGTCGCCTCGTCGCCGGTCCCCTCATTAATGCCAGTAACCTCACCGTCGCCGTAAGAATAGTCTCCCTCAATCGTGATGGCACGTTTGCAAGCACCGAACTACCGAATTATGAGTCAAATTTGTTCAGTGTGTGTGGGAGGTCATTCAAGAAACTTACCGTGCCGCAAGATTTGTAGACCTTTCCATATTCAGAGGCGTAGACGTTTGGGATCTATTATCATTGTAAGTAAATGAAATCGACTGCAATTTCTGCTCGTCAAGAATTCCGTTCTCTTACGCTGACACTTCCGCAGACGTTATGCTGGACAACATTGTCCGCAGCGTTGAAGGCACCGCCGCCCATGACACGAGTCTCCATGCCGGCCTCATCCTCCTTGCTTAGGCAAAGATCAGCAAAGATGGCCTTCACAGTGTTCTTCCACATGGTCATAAGAGGAGATGGCTTATATCGAGATGGTATCCTCGCAGATGTTCTAAAACCACACGTTTTCAATGGTGCAGCCACTACTAATGCAGTAGATACCCTCCATCTGGTCTTTCCCAATGATGGCGTTCTTTAGAGTGGCACCCCTGCGGAGGAGGGAGACGATATTTTCTACCCCCCTTTCCGTCTGAGCCATGTAAGCACTAGGTCCGCTGTCGAAGCGGAACATCTTTCCTTTACATGACTTGCCGGCCGCAACTTCAATTGGCTCAGTGTTTTTAATCGTCTATATGCTTCAGTGTGCAAGTTGAACGGTATGTAAAGTTCAGTATGTTTGCTAAAAGAGTGAAGACGTTTCCAAAGAAGTTGCTGCTGAAGATTTTGTTGATACTTTTTCTACTGCACGCTCAAACAAGACTTTCCTTTTCAATGATACTCGATATGCAGATACCTAGTAGGATGATAGAGAGGTAAATAGCCATCTCCTTTACAAACATACTCTTACAGCAAGACAAAAAGCCGAATGAGGGAGGTCTTGGCCTTTGAGGGGATTCCGCAAGTCCTCCACAGCCCGCTCTATCTGGCGGCTATCAGGTCCACTGATTGGCGTCCATGATCTTGTCGTGTCAAGGCTGGCAACGCTTGGTGGTGTTTATTGGTGGAATATAGACATCTGTACTAAATTTCTCAGCACAATCACTGCGGCATGCATCCAATCTGGAAACCTGTTCGTCAATAGTTTGATTTAAAAAAGATAACATTACATGTGGAAAATGGAGAAAGCTTGTTTAGAAACGCGTCAAGACATGTTGCCGTGCACAAGAGCCGGGCAAGATCACCGCCGTTTTGAGGTCTTCCCGGGGTCGGTCAACGGGGAATTGAGAAGATCGTTGTCTACCCTGCTGCCAAGACTCTGGGCCCTGCCACGCTTCGCACGACGCCCAAAAATACCAGAGCCTCGAATTGAAAAAGCAGCTTGCGGCAGCTTGCGGTGCTTGGATCGAGTCTAGGCCTCCGTTCATTATGTTGATTTGAATCATTGCCAATTTGGCTTTCCTGCTGGAAAGGTCCGGACTCTATTCAAGATTTGCCCCTGTTCTATGCCTCGGGATGATGAAGGATACCTTATTAATACTTGCTTTTGTCAAATTGAGCCGGTTGGAAGGTAGGACAAGTTTCTGTTAGTGAACCGACGTTCTTGAAACACTTGAAAGGCAATCAAAGTAAGTGACAGGCATGAGCGAGATGCCAGTTGGGCTTATGTAATGATTGCAAGATCCTAGGGTCCGCGTGAGGATGTCTTTTTATAGAGACAATCAGGCATTGATTAAAACTACATGTGAAAGAGATCAAAGCTTTCCTTCCCCAAGATTATGTACAGATCACGTAGCTTGGAGACACCCCCCAAGGACATTCCGTCAAGGAGTGTAAGAAATCATCAATGCACCAGGCACTCATGATGAGAAGTTCTTGCTTTCGTGATCGACCTGAACTGCTTCGACCGACGACTTCGCAGATTGACGGTTGAGCAGAGGCTTCAATCCGGGAAGGGCAACCACGGTAATGGCGAGCGTCATTTCGAGAATGCTCAGAGGGTCTGTAGAGTTTTGTAAGACGATAATTACGACTAGGGGACATGGACGTATAATACTTACAAACCAAGTTCTCCTGACCAGTACCAACTTTAAGGCAAATAAAGCGAACGATGGTAGTCAAGATGGTCAAGGTACCGAGCACAAAAGTGAGAGTCAGGCCGGTGGATCGCTCAAGAACACCTTGAATCAACAGGGTCAAGGGAAGGACATATACTATCGATTCAGTAGTTAGTGTCCATCCTTCAAAGGAACCATCAACGAGCGTTGAAGGAATGTTCATACCGCAGAGGTAGCAGGCAAGGTTGAGGGTGAAGTTGACGATGAAGGGCTCTGGCGCGTAAAAGACACTGCACGCGCCATCTTCCTGTGACCACTGCACCGAAACCTTCTTACCACAGAAGAAGGTGTCGTCCCAGAGTATAGCCGTGTACGAAAGGCAGACAAAAGCAGTGATACCCCAAAGTGCCTTGCGCATTGCCGGGCTGGTCGTTGAGGGGAAGTAGGCCCAGTAGAATGCCAGCATGCTCATCTTTGGAAATCCCATTCCGACATCGTAGAAATAGTTCGAGGCGAAGGAGATCTTCGAGACAGAAGTTAGTGATGAAAAGATGGGAGTGATGGCTTGGAGTATACCTTTGAGAGAGTGACGGAAGGTTCCCAATTGTCCATGACGCCGAGTCGGAAGGTCAAGGTATCACATATGATGAGGGCGAGAGCGTTGATAGCAGAGAGGACGAGAAGAATATCAGACCAAGTCAGCCTCTCTCGCAAGCGAAAGAGGCGGGTGTAAACGCGCAGAGCGACGAACACATATGAGGTTGCCAGTAGTATCCATTCGGATATCTGAAAGAGACTGGAGCGTTAGATAAGCCGTGATGAGGTCGGAGCATTAACAGCATAAAAGTTGGGGGACTAACCATGCAATCCTTTCCGTCTATGAAGTACGCCATGTCGTCGGATGGCTTCAGGAAACAGCACGGCACGGGTGACTGTAATGACTCGGGAGAAGTTGATTGTGTGCTGAGAGACTACAAGAGTTAGAGTGAATTGTCCGATTTAATAGAGAGGCCGACGGGTACGAAAAGTCCGCGTATGCTGGGATTTGGAAGCCGGGGTGGTTTTCGTGACATTCACAGGTAGGGGATCGATTGTCTATTGGTCCGGATATGAACCAAAGTGCTGCAAAGGTGGGATCGCCAAGATGCCAGCCATAGACATTGCAACACTTTGTGTGGATTCATTTGACCGTTGGGAGCAACATGGACAGGGAAAGTCAAGCGAGGTGGCAGATTCTGCAGATACTGATGCGTGAAACAGGCCAGAACCCTTTATTTTTTCTTATTTCTGCCTCTCCCGTCTCCGCCGGCGTGCTCTCTTTCGGTTCATATCCCCGGGTTCTTCTGAGTGGTATCACAATCTCTTCGTGCGTCTGCGCCGCACATGCGCAGAATTATGGTTGAATCACGCCAGAAATGATTGGCCCCTCGGTCGTTCTCCGTCAAACCCGGACCCGCCGGTTGGTTCTCGAGAAAGGCTCCCTTCCTCCTCGCTTCTGCCCAGTTTTTGCTAACCGAATGCCGGTCGACTTGAACCCTTGTCAACGTCCTCCCGCCGTTGGTATGTCACGCTCACTCGAGCGGATTTGTAGATCACACCCGATCGCTCGAGATTATTCAGCTCCACCTCGCTGCCCGACTCCTCCTCGGAAACCGCTCTCGCTGTCGCCACATATGACTCCCTTCCCGAGGACAGCTTGATGTGACCGCGACTGAAATTTGTCGGGTGTTTGTCATATGCCCGTCCGGCCGATCCTGTCTGACCTGTCCCGTACTTTGAAGTGGCCAGCCCACGGCGATGAAGAAGCGACTTTAAAGCGGGCAGGGACACGACAATAATTGCAGCAGCGACTTCCGTCATGGAAAGCACATCTATAGTCCGTTTAGTATCATCTCGGTTTCGTTTTGATTAAACGAGAACTCACAGACGTTCGTCCATGCGTGGATGGCTTCCACGGTTGCAAATCTTCCAACACTCGCCCCTATCGTAATGATGCCCGTGGAAAATATAGCGACCAGTCCAATGATGTATCTTCTGCTGAGTTGAAGACCTAGCAAGAGTGGAAATGGAATGGTAAAAACTACTGTCTGGTCAGCCCGGTAAACTGATTCGGCAGCTATAAAAGCCTGGCGTACTCAATACATCCGACACGAAATTCAGGGCCCAATCGATGCGAAAAACTTCTTTCGAGTCAAAAGTGTTGCAGCTTCCCTCTATGTCCCAATTGACAGACACATTTGGACCACACCAGAAGGTATCTAGAAAACAAGTCGTCACGGCGAACGTCACCGTTAGGGCGCTCACGCCGTAGAGCGCCTTTCGAAGGAGTGGCATCGTTGGCGGAATCAGCTTAAAGTAGAAGGCCAGTAACGCAATCTTTGGGAAGTAGATGCCGGTATCGTAAAAGTAGTTACCGGCAAAGGAGACTTTCATCAATCGGATCTGTTCTTCGACGGGAGCCTCAGGTGCGTTTGGGTCGTATTCGTCCATTCCGCCGAGGTTGTGTGTCATGGTATCGGTTGTGAACAAGGCGATAGCATCGAGCAATGAAACAACAAGAATCCAGTCGCTAATGGTCAGCTTCTGATGCTGCCGCACCAGACGAAGCCATAGACGTGCAAGGACGAGGACGATGGCCAATCCCAGAAGAACGGCCTCGATGGGCTGGATGTTGTGTGTCTTAGTTAGATCGGCCGAGAACATAGGCGTTTGCCTGCTATTCACTGGCAAGTGTAAGGTTAACTCACCACAACGGCTTCTTTTGCTACCCCTGCCATGTTGAGTGACTCGAGGAGCAGTGAAATGGATACTGGCTTCGCTTTTTGAGTTGACAAGCAAACAATCTTGCATACTTCGGGAACAACCTTGAACACATGAAGAAGCAAACATTTGGGACACAAGCAGAAGGCGGGCGGACGGCGGGCTGTAACAGATGGGCATGGAGATTTGTTATGGGTCTTCAGCAACTCTTGAAGAACCCCAAGAGTTACTAAGGTAATCAATTCTTCATGCGGGATGACGGTGACTTCTCAATTCCGCACACGAAGCGTCAAACACTGCAACAAGAAAGCAACCCAAAATGAGATGTTATTCTTCCACACACATCACAGTTGCTAGGGATGTAAGGGGGCGGCGCTCCGTCGTTCCACTGTTCACCTTAGGCATGGCGTATTGCCTAGCGGTCCCCTCGTCTTTTCCTCGATCACAGTGGCGTGGATAAGCACAGGTTGAAATCTGTGCAGCAAAGAACATGGGGTAACCACCTCCGGAACATCCAGACCGCGCCGCTGAGAGGACGAGATCACGCAACGCCCCATTTCTCTTTACATGGGTAGTCCAACACGATATGCTAGCGCCGGGGGTGGGACCGCGAAAAGCACGGTTCCGAAGAAGATTTGCGAGCAGAAAATTCCCTTGTCATCTTACACAGCTTTCAATAATCGGTTCTTTGCAGGCGGCTACCCTTGCCTTGCCGGGGTCTAAACCTTGTTTCCGCACAGATGCAGCCGAGCTGGCTGAAGCCTCTGGATCTATGTTGGAAGAGTTGTGTTGGACGCATGGGAGTCTACGCGAGGATCCTGCCCATCCACATTGGGTAACCCACATCAAAGCCTAGACGGACGACGGAACCGAAATCTCGCGTTTCTTGCTACTTTTCACCTTACTAAACCCTCCATATTAAATCCTTTCATGCAAGCACTGTGGGTTGGATCCTTTAGCAGGATCAAGGGCGGATTCCAGTAGAAGCCCCTGCATATTCTCAATGTTTTTGGGCACTTCAGTTAGTCATCAAACTTTTTCGGTCATCTGAGCGACTGGACATTCGCCCGCCTGACCGCGGGCTCTCTAAGTAGCACCCTCGTTCCCGCCAACCCGGGCCAACGGCAGGGCTTCTACCATTTTTCGTGAGCGCAATTTGTCAGAATAGTACTGTGACAACTTTGGAGGACGGCAGAGGAGGACTGAAACCGAACCTGAATCCACTCGAGTCCTGAATTGTGCAGAAAGTAATTAAGCACGCTTGTGGTGATCTTGGCAAGGGAGAGTTTCACAATCATCGTTTGATCACATCACCAATATTGAAATCCCTATGTAGAAATTTGCGATATCTGATTCATTGTTTGCCTAATAGGATGGGGCGACAACGCGCTCATACGTCTCTTCCGCGTATTTTTCGGCATCAAACTCGAGGATCCAATCTTCTCTTGGCAAAGCAATCGTTGTGGGATCCTTCTTCACTTTCTCCCAGTCCATTTTGTGCCACCTCTCACGAGTGGAGATTCCAGTCTTTTGCACAGCCCTGACGCGGTCGTATCTGTATCATCGAGCATCAGGATCCTACGTAGATAATCTGTAACAACAAAGGAAGGGCTTAGTCTGCTTACCGTATTTCCTTGTATGCACTGAGTGCGGTACGTATGTTTTTCTTTCCCGCGCGTCTCAGGCACACTGCCATTGTTACGCCGTCTTCCATAGCTTGAGTTGCTCCTTGGGTGCTTGTTGGTAAGAATGGATGAACAGCATCTCCCAGCAGGGCAATTCTTCCGCCTTCGCTGACCCAATTAGGAAGTGCATCGCGATACATGAGTTTCCAATCCACCAGTGACGGAGTTTTCTCGACAATTGCGTGGCAGATAGGATCCCAGCCTTTCAGTGCTTGGAAAACATCCTGGATTTTGCCAGGAAAAGACCATGATTCATCGATGTCGTAATCGTCCTTATGAGTCAATACCCAGGAGCAGTCTTGACCTCCCTTGAGAGTAGAAAATAAGAAATGGGCGTCTGGTCCTATCCAGCCATTGAAAGTGTCGCCATTCTCACAGAATTGTCTGGTCCGAGGATCTGCCAGCAAGGCATCGGCGGCAAACCTACGGCCACTCGAGGTTAGAGACAGTTTCAAGCCGTGATAATACATCTTGAAACCCACCATGCCCGCCAGATCGCATATCCGCTGCTTTTTGGCCTATCCTTGTGGCCAAGAACAAGTTCCCTTGCTTTGGATCGGACTCCATCCGCAGCAACAACGACGTCAGCCGTAGCCTTGGAAATTGTTAGCACGAATCCACCATTTTACAACATTAGCTTTCAGAGACATTGGGATTTCACCAACCTTGGTACCATTTCGAAGCTGAATCCCTGCGCCATCCTCATTCTCAAAATAATCAGTGACTAACTGATTCAGATGAATTGGAATCGCCAGCTCATCCTTCGCATAATTGAAGATGACTTCGTGAAGCTCTCCTCTGTGGCCATTGAGGACTGGTGCATCGGGGTCTGTAGGCGGTCTTTTCTGAGTAAGAACGACTTCACCGGTGTCCCACTTGTGGATTCTGAAGCCGTAATCCTGAAGGTCGATGCAAAGAGGTTTCAACTTGGTGACAATATCTCCATTGGACCATCGCTGGAAGATTCGACCGGCATTCGCACCGAAAGAGATGATATCGCCCAATTGCTTAAGCTCGGGGAACGATTCATAAATCGCAACGTCGTGGCCTTGCCGATGGCACTCGATTGCAGTTGTGAGTCCCCCAAAGCCTGCACCGACGACAATGACTTTGATTCCAGTCTTCGTTTCCGGCGTGGTCATTGTGAGTGCTAGTCTAATAAGCAGAGACGTTTGTATGGTATTCTGAGTTCGCTCTCTGCTCATTCACTGAAAAGATAGTTGCGTCGAGAAAATAATTAATACCAGGAAAGGAGAGAAACGCAGTTACACATCTGCCGAAGGATACAGTTTATCCTGACACATCTGCCGTGGGGTCATTATACACGAGATATTAACTACCCCACATTCGCCCTGCGCAGTGGCAACGGTTATGGTTTCCCGGCCAATCAGTGGAACGTTGTGCAAACTGCGAGCCACTTTGGGACAGGCCCAGACACTTTGATACAACGAGGCGTTGCCTTATTCTATGAACTGCTCTCTTTTCTATTCGCTGTGCCAAGAAGCTGACATTTCCAATTCATCCTAGTGTTCACCGTCCCCAAACGCAAACAACCTCGTGTCATCTTCTCATAATCGCCCGAGGCAGGTTTGCGTTCACCGTCCCCACACGCAAACAACCTCATGTCATCTTTCATAATCGCCCGAGGCTGGTTTGCGTTCACCGTCCCCACACGCAAACAACCTCATGTCATCTTCTCATAATCGCCCGAGGCAGGTTTGCTTTCTCAACTGCCGATCTCAAAGGCTGGGGACAACTGCAGAATGTTTGAAGTCTATAGAAGCCTGTGCCTTCCCCACGTTCAGATTTTGCACTCAAAATACTTGCATCGTCCAGTGTGAACGGGGATTCAAAGACCTCAGCCGAGCAAAAATATGGCAAACGCAAATTCTGATGGCATTCGGGCTAATATTTGGTGCTTTGTGGCGTGTGGCATGGTCGCCCTATCTCCGTTCCAATATGGACTAGACTTCGGGATCATTGGCGGTCTGCAGGCCATGCCCGGCTTTCTCAAGGTTTGCATATTTTCCCTGTCTCCGTCTGTTTGCTGTTCTCCTCCCTTCACTTACTTCCGGTAGGACTGCCGTTGACAGTTGTGTGTTATTCCAAGGTCTATGGCTACGAAGACCGAGGCACAGCTATTGGTTGGAACATTTCCACCACCCGACAACAGCTCATCTCTTCTTTGATGACGCTTGGGGCATTCATTAGCTCTATGCTTGCTGGAATAATTGCAACCAAACTAGGCCGGAAGATGTGCCTTTGGCTCTCTGCTCTACTTTGCGTTGTAGCTGATATTCTCATGATGACTACAACACACATTGGCCCACTCTATTTTGGTCGGTTGCTCATTGGTCTAGGCAACGGAGGTCTCATGACGTTCTCTCAGCTTTACTTACAGGAGAGCAGTCCAGCAAAATATCGCGGACTGTTCCTCACTGTTTTCCAATTTTGCGTAACGCTCGTGAGTAGCTTCCGTCAGAAATTATCTCGAAGGCTTGGACTGTCTAACTCTATGAAAGGGTACTCTGCTTGGCACGATCATAGACTGGGCAACTGCGCAGCGTCCTGATAGATCAGCCTACTTGATCCCTTTGGCAACTATTTACGTGATTCCCGTCTGCTTAGGCGTCGGTCTTTTCTTCGTACCTGAGTCACCGCGTTGGCTGGTATTAGACGGCCGTGTTGATGAAGGCCGCAAAGCTCTCAAATGGTTGAGGCCCGCTGATGCAAATATTGAAGATGAAGTAACCGAGATTCGGACATCGATCCAAGAACAACTCGAGCTGACAAAGACCGTCACGTTTTGGGACATGTTCACAAATGCAGTAGATCGGAGACGCACAGTTATCTCCATCGGCGCTGTGTCTTTGCAGGCCGCGTCAGGGTCTATGTTCATCATTGGTGAGTGTCGAATCAGCTCCAACTCATTTCTATAGGCTGATTCAAGTCACATAGCGTATAAAGCATACTTTTTCTCAGTCGCGCGAGTTGAACACCCCTTCGCGATGACGAACGTGTTGTCTACAGCCGCTCTTCTGGCCATCATTGCAAACGCTTTCATAGTCGTTCGCTATGGTCGTCGCCGAATCATGCTTATCAACGGTCTTGTGATATGCGGCTGCTTGCAACTCACCATGGCTGTGGCCTATGATAAACAACCACACACCATAACTGCCGGGAAGGTACTCGTTGCAATGTCATGTATTTTCATGATAGCTTTCAACGTAAGTTTTGCATAGAGGGTAATTAATTTCCAAGAAAAGATGACTAATGAGGCTTCAGGGAATGGTTGCACCCTACTCCTGGATGGTCGCTGGAGAGGCCCCGTCACAACGACTTCGCAGCTACACCTTTGGAGTTGCCTCGGCATGCGGTTATCTACTTGCCTGGATTGTGACGTTCACTACGCCGTATTTCATTAATCCTAGTGCACTCGATTGGGGCCCGAGATATGGCTATATTTGGTTCCCATCTTGCATCGTTTCAGCTGTATGGACCTACTTCTTCGTCCCTGAACTTAAGGGACGGACCCTAGAAGAGATCAACACGATGGTAAGACTTTTGACAGGAGCCTTTTGTAAAAGTTTAGGTTTTAACTAATATGTTTAGTTCACCAATCAATTACCGGCAAGAAATTTCGGCGCTACGAAGCTCCCAGCAGCAGCCAATTGAAGACGGTTGGTACTTCCAAAGACGATGTTGACGTCGCTCAAGTTGAATTGGTTGATCGTACTTGAAGGTTTCAAGCCAGCAGCGCCGTCAGCCAGATTGTCATGAGATGAACGTTTCTATACATAAATGTGATCAGAGATGGAAATGCGCGGCGCTTTCCATGGTAAAATATGGCAAGACTATTTTATATTCACCTGCAGGGTGCAGTAACTTTCATGGAGAATTATGTCCCAACGTCAATACATGGAATCGATTGTAAGGATCCATATGGAATGGGAACAGCCTCTTCAGATGCGACTTCACCTTGAATCAAGTACAGAGAATCCCAACTTGTTTCGTGAACTCTGCTAGACATAAGCCATACGAGGCAAGGTTCGTCATGTTGGACAAGATTCAATTATTGAGCTTTTTCATGCCGAACCGATTGGTCTTTGCAGCGGCGTATTTGAACGAGAGTAGACCAATCGAAACGTAGAATTATCAAGACAGAATGCGGATAATCGTGTTGACGACCTTTCCGATAGTTACCTTCCACCATCTCGTCCGTCCAGCAGCGAAGTTCAAGACCGTTGAAGTGTCATCATTTCCAGAGGCATAGCTCATCTCCATATCATAGACCATCTGGCATTCTCTCTGGAGTTCCTCCAAGTGCAAATTCCTCCTGACATGGAAAGCCCGTATATACCCAGAGACACTCTTCTTGATGCAATCGATGTCCGCGGCGGAGAAATTTTCATCCTCCACACACTCATCAAGTATCCGGCGATGTATGAGCACAAGGCCTCTGGCTTCAGTCAAGACGACACAAGCAGAACAGCTCGGGAACAAGCACTGTTGCTCAAGCTCGGATATTGCCGGACAGAACGCATGATCCGGTCCGCTGGATGAGCAATTCCCGTAGGCGTGCTGGTACTTGGCCACATAGAGGATCCTGGGGCATGTCTTCTCGCCAGTGACCATGCAAGGCTGGCCGATGTAACAAGCTCGATGTTTTGGGTCGCAGGCATCCCAAAGCCCGCTTTGCTGATAGGCAGCGAACAAATTTGCCATCGGACAAGATTGGTCTTTGCCTACAACGCAGAATTTTCCAACAGTACATCCAGTATGGAGGTCTGGATCTTGAACTTTGATGTTCCAGTTGATGACATGATGTTCGCCGCAGAACGCCTTGATAGTGGGTTGTGATTGAGGTGTTGCGGACATCTTGCTAAATGGTAAAGTCAGCTATACCGTGACGCACTTATGAAAGGAAATTCGAAGGTTATGTAGGAAGAGAGCGGAAATGGATTGACAGAACGCCTGGTATAGATAGCAGACAGAGAAAAGTGACAGATCCAGAACCTACCTCATATTGAAAAGTATTGGGAAAGTGGGTCGTCTTGAGAAGTTAAGCTATAGAATAGGCATTCGAACTGAGTAACAAGATAGCGGAAGAGAAAGAAGGATGTGGCTACTCCAGCTCACGCTGGGAATTGACTCCTCATCTGTTATCAGTGGGGATTTTATACTTTAATTGAACGCCAAGAAGTTTTCTCTTTTCCCCTTCTTAGGCGCTGTGGTCTGCCTTCCCTGGCATGTCTTTGGTCCCAGCAGTCTGGCCATGCAATGTCTCTGCCTCTTTCGTATCGGGCCGTTTGTTGCTGAAATACGATGATGTCTTGAGCGTTGCCCACTCCACAATCAAGGCATCGTAAACACATTGCTCATCTTTTGGCGGCAACTTCAAGATTCCTTCTAGGCGAGACAAGTGTGCAACGTGCCCATTCCTCGTCCATTTTGCTTGGGGTAAGAGAACCTTGCGTAGCGAATACACTATTTTATACCATAAGGCTGTGATAAATCAAGTCCATTTGACGTTTTGGGGTGTTTCAAATGTTTTGTTGTGGCCCAGAGCCAGGTCTCAAGAGGGAGGAAGGTGAGAAAGCAGGCGAAGGCATCCCTTGCGTAAGGCGTCCAGTGGAACCTGGCACACTCTCTGCGTGGCTGTAGCTGATGCTGGGGTAGCACGAGAGGTGTCTTGGGAAATTCTTGGCCAGGGCGTCTGAATCAATTGGCTTGAGGCCACGCTCGCATCTCATAATCCTTGCAAATCCGTTCCTCACCTTATGCCTCCATTTCAAGTACTTCACTTCATTTCTTGATGCGTTTCTAATATTCTGCATGACAATTCGGAATAGATTCCGTAACCGACATCTATCGTCATCGCCCTAGCACTCAGCTCGATCTTGGCACAAAAGGCTTCAAGGGTCAGCACAGAAATATCTTTTTGATCTCGGCTACACTGAGCGCTCTCTGTCTCTCTGTCTCTCTATTTTTCTCTTCCCGGATATTCATTCAGTCATTCGATACTTCTCCGGTCTTTGAGCTGCAATACTAGATGCCGTGCCATTAAAAAGAGCCCTCAATTCAAATGAGTATCCGTACCAGCAGCCCCCAATCCTAGCACAAAGTTGATGGACTAGCAGATATGAAATGCATAAATTCCCATTTTAACCATCCAAGACATCTTACCTTCATGTCGGGTGGGACTCACCCTGGATGAGCAAAGGAGCCGACTTCCCCAGCCATGTGAGGGTCAGAAGATTCCGCCGGTCTCCGAGCACCGTCAACGAAGCTGTCCCTTCCACATCAGCTAAGTAAATTAATTTAAAATATAAAAGAAATACATAAAGTGTTTCTTTATAGTCATAAGGCATTTAAGTTAATATTTAGCCTTTTTGGGTACGTGGTAGACTGCTGAGAGCAGAGAGAGCGTGAGAGGACCGGCGGAATTGTCTGATCCCCGCGTGCCAGCCCCCAGGCCGGCAGATATTCTGGCTGCTGTCTTGGCCGATTCCCTAGTCCATAGCATCGGAACCGGGCTATTTTAGCTCGAATTGAAAAACGTGATTTGTAGTGGACTAAGCTTCGCAAGCTTCGCCAACATCATACTAGTCGCAGGCCAGAAATGTGATCAACATTGATGTCTCGACCAATGTCTGCGGACACCATCCCTTCTGCAATGATTGAAATAAATATAGATGGCTGAGGCGTTTCTAATGATAATTCAAATGACGTTTCATTGGTGAATCATCGGAAATAACAGGTTCTTTTTGTTATCAAACTCAGGAACCGCGTCTCGCATATAGGGATAAATTGTCATTTCTTCAAGTCTTTGACCGAGGAGCAATGTCGTATACCCGAGGACGCACTCTGTCCCCGGTCCGATAGCGGAGACGGGGAGACCTTCTCTCAATGGCTTGTAGTCTTCCGACCACCCGATTACTCTGGCTGTCGGTTCCGGCAACGGCTGGTGCTGCAGTGACCCCGCCCTCGTTCGGTCGCCTGACAGTTGGGGCTAGTAATTATTCTCTTGGCCGTTTCTCTTGCGTAGTTAAATAAAGAGCGATTGAGGCATTTCCAAGGTTGCAACAGCAAAACCAGTGATACATACACGAACTAAAGAGAAATCGCCTCTTTATACAGCTGTTCTCCTTTCTTAAGCATTACCACCGTCCCCAGACCTGGGTACCTGACGACGAACACCTAGTCAAACTATTCATCATGGCTGGCCTACAAGATCTAGACAAGCACTTAGCCTCTCTGCGAGCAACTCCTTCAACACTGGCTCTCCTCAAAGACCTTCATACCCAAGCCCTCACTGAGCCTCCTTACGTCAGCACTGATAGTCAACCTGCTTCCGTTGCCTTGGAAAGATTCGTTGCACTGGAGCCGGACAAGTGCGCTCTGGTTTACCTACTTCTACGAGCCACAGGAGCGAGACATGTCATCGAGGCCGGGACTTCCTTCGGCGTCAGTACTATCTGGTTAGCCCTTGCCGTGGGACAAAACGCGACAGCTCAAGGTGCCGAAGGGAAAGTGATCGCTACGGAGAACGAGGCATCCAAGGCGAAGAGAGCCCGGGAGCATTGGAGGAAGGCGGGGGCTGAAGTTGAAAACTGGATCGAACTCAGGGAAGGCGACCTGCGAGATACACTGAAAACTGATCTGCCCGAAGAAATTGACTTTTTGTTACTCGACAGTACGTTATCCATCATTCTCAACGATTCTTTGTCGTATGGGAGTATTTTCATGGTGAACCAGGCTACTAACATTTTGAGAAGTCTGGTCGAATCTTGCAATGCCCACAATAGCTACTGTCAAGCCGCGACTCAAACCCGGCGCCTTGGTCGTCGTTGATAACATCATTTCTAGCCAAGCAGGTTACAAGGACCTGATTGAGCATTTGAATGATCCTAAGAATGGCTTCAAGAGGACGACGGCTCCGTATAACGGGGGCTTGCATGTTGCTGTGTATTTAGGTCAGTAGATAAGGTACAATCAGAAGCCTGATGACGGGTAGGACTTGTAATTAGAATAGCTCAACTATAGCACGATTCTGAATAACGAGAGTGTTTCAGGGTTCTTGGAAGAAACACAACAGCTTTTCCCAGACAGGTCCATCAGAATTCTCGTGCTATGTTCAAAAAGCCCGGAGCATTCCCTCATGCTCGACAACCAATGATCCGTCCTCTGGGAATCCAGGTTCGTGTCCTTCGGATCCCGCCCAGCCAGCTGCCATGGAGAAAACCGCCATTTCCACGGAAATACTGTGGTGGATACGGACCTATCGCAATCTGGTTGTACGGACGTATGTAAACATGAAGGCATCCTTGTGAAAGATTCTCTGGATCCCACGAATAAGTGCGCAGGTATGGTGTATATCCGTAGAACCGTGAGCTAGAGATGGGTGAATCGGCTCAAGTCTACCTCGAACGCGGGTCCCGCGACGAATTAGCCAAAGTCCGAACGGGATCAGCTCTATAATATCTGCCATACGACCCACACATCAAAGGGACTGACAAACTCAAGTCGATCATCCCAAGATTCCTCGAACGTGATCTCGATTGCCTACGAGCTAAGTTTTACTATCCTAGTGTGAGAGTGTGAAATGATACTGAGTTTTCGAACATTCGAGCTGTTCAGAAATTAGAGACTGGCTGGTAATGTGACCGTTTTGTCAATGAAATCTTTTATAGCTTCATTGAATTCTTCTTCCCTCTCCCACAATGGCATATGACCACAGTCTTTCCAGGCAATGTATTCCGGCCCTTCTCCCAAGGCGGCCTTGATCAATTCAAAGTGCGGGAATGTGATCGTCTCGTCAAAGGTTCCGTGCATCACCAGAATTCGGGATCTGCCCACCCCGTCCCCAATCTTGACTAGATCTTCGTCGCTCTTGTAGTGCCATCCAGCGGCAATGGCCTGAAAAATGACGCCTTTCCTCCGAGAAAATTCAGTATCTTCGGCACGCTCTGCGAGCTCCTCTGCCACAAAACGGTCGAGATTGGTGGGGAATGTTTTCTCTGGGTCTAGGGATCCGGTGTCTGGCGCATTGAGATATCTCTCAGTGAACAACCTATGGGCCTTGCTTTTGAGCTCGATGTCAGCTCCCTTGGGGAGAAGTATTGCGAACCGCTGCTTTATATGCTCCAAAGTGTGAACAGTTCGAATCAGGCGAGGGGCGGTAGAGATAAGAACCAGTGATTGCAATCGTTGAGGTATCAGAAGAGCAAGCTCTTGCGCAATCATGCCACCGAGGCTAATTCCAGCGATGTTGAGGTCTCGGGGGTAATACTCAGAATCGGTGTCGAGCCAGCCGATGTGTCTGAGCAGTTCGACAATATCTTTCGCCATATCCGAGGTGGTATATCTACAGTTTGGTTTGGCTGATTTGCCGACGCCGCGATTATCGAAGACAAGGGAGCTATACTTTTCGCCACACAAATGTCCAAAATGTCGATTTTGACGTTTCCATATATTCCGGCTACCACCAAGCCCCATGATCCAGACAATCTTCTTCGACCCATGGCCGTGAACTTCGTACCACATAGGAAAAGGTCCTCCTGGGCGCGATTCAGCCACTGTGGCGAAACCTGATAGCCTTGACTTGAGATCCCATTGCGTCGTATCATAGGCAGGGTGTCGCTGAATCTCTTCTGCTGAGAGACTTGTTGTTTTGGCAGACATCCTGTTACCAATTGAGGAGGCTCAAATGTGCCGATGGAGGTGTTGGGGCGGTATGTGGTGATTGTTGTGTGTATGATAGTACCAAATATCAACGTCGAGGACAATTTCCACCCACAGAAGATTTCGAGAGACAGGACTCAGTATTCGGCATGACCGGCAACACTCATCATTTGAAGGTTCTTGGTTGCTCGGATCTGTGTTTCACAGGAGCCGAGGTTGATACTAAATTGAGCGACACATCAGCACAGATCCTTCGGCCGACCAGAACAGCAACTCGATGTTAATGAGCAAATTGGCCTAGGCTTTTATCAGTTCGCTGAGGACTTCCATATCTCATTTACCGCAACCGATGGGCAGTTGATAACAACCAGGAGACCCCAAGGTACCCCGATAAGATGAAGACGAAGGCTTGGGGTTGAAACGGCGAGTGAGAAGGCGAGGCCCCATTTTGTGGTGGCGGGGTTTCTAGCTCTATCCTGTAGCTTCCCGGATGTTCAGATGCACCGATCAGCTCTTTGAGGTCGGCCCAGCATTTCTGCTATGCTTTCACCCCTACTAAGTGCTGAAAATATCGATACTTGCTAGGCATTGCCAGGTAGCTTTCTGACAGTCAAGAGTCCAATTTAACGCATCTTAGTGAAAGATTTCAAAGCTTGATACCTAGTCTCTTTCAGATTGCATGTGCTCACAGTAGACTATGTCACCACGCGTTGGAGAAGTGATTGTTGCGTTCTGCCCAACCCAAGCATTGACGAAATCGGTTTGAGTAAACAGTGCAGTCACGCTTCGCATTACACGCCGCAACACACTCAACTGCAGTCATTGTAGCTATCTTAGTAGTCAGCTGAGCATAGGTACACTCCACCACTTGACTCCGGTCAGCTTGCTCTTCTCTTATGCGCCTAAGAACGTTTGCCAATACACCCAGATTAGTAAGTATCTGTATCTGTATCGCGGTCAGGACCGCTTCCCCCCGACTGACAAGTGGGCCCTTTTGCTTTTAGACGCTGGCACCACTCCAATAAAAAAGTAATTCAAGGACTTGCAATCATTCATGTCGCGGCTAATGGATCCGTGGTCTTTTCGCTCTCCTGGGGTGACTTCAATTCCAGATCAGTCAGAGCTCCCGCAGGTCCAGCTGTTCGTTTGGACAAAAGATTCCTCCGTTGGCGCCTATAAAGCGACGCGTTTCGCTAAGCGCCCTTTCCGGGGTGACAAAGCCCTGGCGATTGGGGTTGACTCGCTGCGACTCTAACAGCCAAGCTCCGCTATCTCCAGTGTCCGGTGGCCTGTCATATCTGCAAGGGTTGGGACAAGGAATGGTTGGCTGTCACTGTTCGACGCTGCAACAGCAATAGCGCCAATGGTCAAATGACTGGTGTTACTATTTGCATTGAACATCGTGAGTCTTGATTCATCGGATGTTGTTCGCGCTCAAGAACGACGTCCTTTGCCCATTCGCATCTTATAAAGCAGAGTCTTCCGGGCTTTCCATAGCCACGCTGAATCACACTCACTGCGGTATTTCATTCCTCTCTTCATCATCTGGCGTCTGTGTTGCCTCGGAGTTTTCTGCTTTGCACTGCCGGCCGGTCTCACAATTTTGCACTATTTTCTCGTCGCAGTATCGTTTGATAGGCCTCTTGTGCCGGCTCCTCGACGGCTTTACCAACTTCTTTCGTTTCAAGAGCCATTTTCTACTGCGCATCTCGACAACCTGAATCATTACACACGTTCTCCTACCTCATAACAACAATGGGCAAATTCGGAAACGCTCTCAAGGCAGGCCAAAGTGCCGTTGAGCTAGGCCGCAACGTTCAAGGCCTCGCCGGTGCTGCCTCTGAATTCCGTTCCGCGGACAAGGCGGAGATGGGCCGCAAAGCTGGACGCGGCGTCTTCAACGAGGGAGCTGCGACAGGCAAGACCATGGGGAAGACATGGCTCAAGACATTCGAAGTCGTCCCCCGCCTGGTCTGCCGCGGACTTCAGTTTCTCTTCGCTCTCATTGCCTGCGGCATCTACGGTAACCGTGTGAGCGCGGACCGCAAAGCAAACGATGGCTTCTCGCCGGAATGGATCTTTGCCATCGCCGTGGCGGGAACCTCTGCTGTCACAGCCGTCCTCTTCGTTGCTGCCACACCACTCGGCGCCATTCCCTACGTCGGCAGCAGGATCAAGATTTTCAAGACATATCGCGCTTTTGCTTGGGACTTGGTCCTCTTCATTTCATGGATTGTGGTGTTTGGGATCTTTGCGGCGATTTTCCTCCACAGGGAGAGCGATGACTCGTACAAAGGTAGCAAGACGAGCTTGATGAAGGCTGCCGTCTGGATCGATTTGGTAAACGCAATCTTTTGGTTCATCTCGGGCGTTTACGGTGCCATCAAGACGTTTTTGGGAGAGAAGACAGACCTGATGACGGACAAGATTGGTCAAAAATTGTTTGAGAAGAAGCAAGCGCCTGCGAAAGAGCCTGACTATGCGGAGAGCGTATAGGCTACAGCGTACACGATCATCAACCCTTCGATTTGTATAGATAGTTCGAGGGGTATTTGGCAGTAAATGGTCTGTCGTTAGAAGGAGGCTTAATAAAAGATTTATGACGTGCATTACGGCAATACCCGACTAGTCCTGTTCAAGGCTTGTAGCTGACGCGTTGTATTCTCACCATCCCTCGCCTAAAGTGAGGATTCCTAGTTGACTACTGCTAGCAAGAAACCGTCCAAAATTGTGCGACCTGTGAGAACTGTGTGTGCGGTTGATATCATGGGAACGAGCGTCGCCATAACTCTCTTATCCTTCCCAACGTGAGTCAACAACGATTCCTTCCCTGCCTCTGCGTTTCCCTTCTCCAACACGTTCCACACAACGTTATCGACGTAGATGCATCCCTTCGATCGGGTCAACTTGACCGCCCAGTCGAAATACTTCTCCTGCTCGCCCCAAGAAGCATCGCAAAACACCATGTCAAACTTGCGCCCTTCTGCGGCCAAATTAGGGAGGACGTCCAGAGCGGCGCCAAGTATGATGTCGGCGCCGAGACCCGACACATTTTCAAGAGCAACATCGCGGTGCTTTGGGCTGATCTCGATGCTCGTGACGTTCGCACCCGCTTCCGCAAGCCAGATGGTCGAGTATCCACCAAGGGTGCCAATCTCGAGAACTTCTTTGGCGCCTATGAGCTGACACTGGATGGCGAGGAACTGGCCTTGGAGCGGGGAAACGGTGATCTCCGGCAAGTTGTGCTTTCGAGAAGTTGTGATTGCGTTGTCCAATTTTGTATTCGGTGTGAGGAGGTTCGTTCGAGCGACGCTTTCGATGGCGTTAGCAGCCGCGACGGTGTTTTGCTCCTCAGTCGACATTGTAGTAATCTGATTACCTTTGAATAGTGTCTTTGGGCAGTTTATATCTTTTCGGCTCAACAGCTTTTTAGCCCTGCTTTTAGGGGGTTTTTATAGTCAGATTCCTTGGTACCTCGGGCTCGCTCCTAAGGTATGTCATCAGGATTTTAGGTTCGGAAACCGAGACAGCTTGCTTCGGTATCATGTCTTTGGGGAACCTTTGTTTTTCGAGCGCACGCCCGTAATCGCGAAGAGCCGCTTACGAGGACCTCGGCCCTATCGGCCACCGAGAACTCAGAACTCTACGAACTTCCAAGGGACGCGTCTCACGCTGAATGACGCATGATGTAGCAATTGCCTGCTACCCTGATCCGCAAGTATTGGGAACTCTATTCGCAGATGTCGGACAGAAATTGCTTTGCTCAAGGTATCAAATCAACTCTTACCGACAGCCAAGTTCAAAGCCGGATCCATCTCGTGGGGCCGAAGCTGCCGCCGTGGCCGGGCGGGGCCGGGGGCAGAATGGGAGTGTCGCCATCGCGTGCACGGTGGTAACCCAAACCGGCCTCGATCCGCAATTTGCAGTCCTCTTTCGTATAGGATTTTGGTAAGGACCACTAAATCTGAAGAAGTGTCCATCACATCAGCAGGTAGAAAACCACGGTAAACAAAGCTCTTATATGAATGAATAATTACTCAGGAGATCGGTGCAGCTCATCCGAAGGGCATGGGTTTTCTGGACTCTGACTTGTTACAAAATCTCAGTCCCTCATCTCACTTTTGACAATCCATCTCAGCATTTCATGAAACTTTCTAAGCCTCAAGACAGCAAGTTAGAGCAGAGTTAGTCATCATTTCAAGCCTTCGCGAAGCTATAATTCCGCTATTAGTAAATTGATCCGAATGAGACAACGTCGAGTGCTGCTCAACTACCCTCATGCCTCTTTTCTTCCTCCAAGGCTTTTTGTGCCACGTAAGCACAGCGCAGAAAGTAGATGACTCTTCGGTTGTACAGACAACTCTTAGATAACATAGCAGTAGGAGATATTTTAGTAGTTGGATTCCTACCCCTTGCATCAGTCATTTCGTCGCATAATTAGCAGAGTGCCGAGAGTATGCGCATAGTCCCAATCGGGCCAGAGGCCCAACTCGGATGTTGAAACTCCTTCTGCCGACGAACATTTCTAGAGGTATGCCGCATAATTTTGGGGATGTGCTCAGGAGTAGCTTCAAATACCTCCAAGGCAAGGAACCGCATGAAAGCCGCTTCAATTAATCCGGAGAGGAATCGATGTCGAGATTGCGACAGCACAGCGAGAAGCGCCCTACTCTAGAGGTCCCAAGTCGTAATCTGTTACCGACAACTGTTGTAATTTTCTCTCAGACCTTTGGTGACAGCGATTGTGAAATGGTCAAATCTTTAGAATAGCTTCGCGTTGCCGGCTAAAGATGCTCTAGCAAACAATATCTGACCTGCAAACGGAGATAATCTCGGGGAAGGAAAGAAAAAATGCAATAGATCTTCGATGCAGCGATGAAGCTAACGGGCCGCCTTTGGTGCCCGCGGATTGCGTCCGGCGCTAGAAGCCGCAAGATCCACATCGTGTGATAATAAAGGGGGTCGCTCAATGTAACTTTCTCCACCAGAAAGCACATCGCACATCAGGCATAAATCTCCGTACTGTGCTACGATCTGGCTGAAAGAGGATGAAAGCACCAATCACTCCGCCAGGAAATGTCAACATGGCATTTCTTGAGGGGCACGTTTTGCTATGCAAGCTGCATGTATTTTCAAGTTCTGTGCTAATTGGACTGAGAAGCAGCCTGAGTCATTTCACTCTCGACGCAGTACGCCATAATAGAAGTCATTAGTGCCTGGAGAACAGACAGTAACTGCGACAACTGTGAAGGACATTGTTTGGTCGCGCACGAAGCATTCAACTTAATTCCACAGACGTTTTGGACCTCTCATGAATTACATTGAATAACTTCATGCAGGTATTATGTTGCCTCTCGTTCATTCATCAGTAATTACTACACCAACCGCGTCGTCTAGACCTCGTTATCCCCGCGCTTCGTCTCGACCTCCATTTCAAACTCTTTCTGCACTCTGATTGCACCGAAACCAGTCTTTGTCATGATCCTTTTCTGGCTATGATCATCTGGCAAGCTCTCGCTGCTGATATCGCCCAAATCTCTACCGTATACTCTTGTCTCAACCCCTGATCGACTAGCTTGACTGATGTTCTTCCTCGTGGGATCCCTCTCTCCGAGCTCGAGGTAGCTATTCTTTACCGCGGCTGAGGCAGCTGGGTCTTTTGACGATTTATTTTTTGAGCCAGTGAAAGACGTGAGGCGTGCGAGTGCGCGTTCGAGGAGGGGTCGACATGCGGGGAGGTTAGCGACCAGCATTCCGATGCCAACTTCTGCCTGAGCCCAAGCAAGGATTATGCTGAGGCCTTGCAGAAACTTTGCGGTGTCGTTCAGTAGGAGGAGGTAGTTGAGTCGAACAATCGGAGCCACCGATGCACTAGAAATTGTTAGCAATGGAGGCGAGATGTTCGAGGGACCTAAGTTGCAACGCACAAGAAACCCAAGCCTAGTAGGCCGATTACAGAGGCCTTGACCTTATTGGCCATCTGTAGCCTCCAGATAAGAGCAAATGGCATGATAGCAAAGATCCAATCAGTTGATATCGATACTGCGGCAACCAAGAAGGATAGGGCTGTCTGGATTTCTCGGGGTTTGCATTGTCCTGGCATGCTTTGATGCCAATTTTTCCTAGTCAATCTCGTCAGCACCTTGAGAACCACACTTGATTCAAAGGGAAACTTACTCAACTGGCGAACACTGGAAGAACAAATACACGCCAGTACCTCCTGTGCAGACTGTGACCAGGGCGAGGCACGTGTAAATGACGGCTTGGACCCAACGTTGGCCATTAGCAATACGTAGTAGGGTGAAACCAAGGGACCACTTGAGGGTGACCAAGGTAAAACACCAGAACTCCTGGAAGACATAAAACCACTGCATAGTTCGTTAGTCAAATATTTTGAGTGCAATGGCTTCTGCGGATGATGCATGACTTACAAAATACGAATTTGCAGTCTGTTCTGTGGACAGAGTGCTATCTAGCTGCCCAACACCGCTCCAGGCCATGCCTATTAAACCAATCTGCGATACTGCCCAAACCGGCTTCTTTGTGTTAGCACTGTCCACCGCATTCCGTACCATCCATGAAATGCGCATCAACAGAACGTACAATGGTAGCGACCATAGCCCAATCATCCGGTCCCCAGGCTTTCCTCTGCGCCCGAATCCAAAACCGCAAGATCATGGTGATGATGTCGAACGGTAACGGTACCAGGACCGCAGCGGCCATGTCTTTCGACGTAGCCGCGCCCATCTTATCGAACTTACGGATTTCGTGGTCGCTGAAGAACCAGCTTCGTGCTCCACGAGTTCGTTTCGAAGGGAGAGAAAAAGTGCCGGAAAACGAAACGACAAAAGATGAGGACCTGAACGACCCAGAAAACTTATAAGAGAAAGCAATGAGCATAGGAAAAGCAAACACGGATCATTCAATTACTTAATAGCGGCCCAAGTTCTTCTAGTAACAAAAGTTGGAATAGGATCCACCAACCACAGCAGCGGGAACTCTGCCGTTGCGGCACTGTGGTCCTCCTTGCCACAAAGAGGCGCTGGGATAAACATGAGAGGATAAATCAAACCCCTTGCAGAGCTCAGATGGTCCAATTTCGAAAGGATCCCGTAGGGATATGCTCTTATTTCTTGTCCACTAACCACGAAAGGACCCGACCTTGTCAGTCATCCTGCCCTGACAGGAGGTGCAGGAACGGAACGGAGTCAGTTCCCAGCTAGGCCACGTTCATCTGTTTCTGCATAGAACCCACCGGACAATCAATTAACCAGAATATCATTTTTACCGTACCACCAAGTAGCTTTTCTTCTGCCTCTTTGGTGTTCCCTCGCCTGAGAGTTGCCTGGCGTACAAACTCTAGTTGTGCTTTCTCGGTCGCCGTCCAGAACCACACCTGTGACTTGAGATCAGTACTATTATTCGAAGCTTTCGACTACCACCCAGCTTAGGCTGACTTAGTCGGTATACTTCCAACGTCGCACTCGATATTTCGCGAGATCGGCGGCTTCCAACAAAGACAAAGTTACAACATACACCATCCATGCACCGTCACATTCATGCCACTGTCTCGAAACGTATGGCCCCCATCCGAAAGTAGATCGATGCTATATTCGGCAGATCTCTTCCGAGCCTCGGGGAGTTCTTCTACAGTTTCCGGCGGTGTCGATCTGCAAAGAATCTTGGCCCGACCCATAATAGTGGACTCTCTTCTTCAACACGTTATGCACACTCGTGGAGCTTTGGATTCCAGTCGTATCCATAGTGCCCATAAATCCCACTCTATCGTGCACAACTGATGGCTAGCATCAATGCAAGACGTCGTCGGGTAAATGAAGAAATGCAAGATTGACATGACAGTTGGAAAGTGATGAAGGCTTCGTTGGTTGTTCTGAAGCAGAGGGTTATTGTTGGTCAACGTTGGATGAAGCAATCTCAAGCGAGAAGTTCAACACGGAGATTGGGGGAATTCTGAGCCAGCCCTGGCATTCTCCCCATGGTGATGGTGTTGATACTTGCGAGTTCCACGACTGATTTATACATATTGAGATCGGCAGAAGCCTTTGGCAGTTGACGTGTCTGCGTGGAGAGCCAAGATTCAAGATCCTGCTTAACCCCTAGTCTAGACTCCTTTTTGGATCCCACCCACCGTGCGGCCCGGCGGCACTGACCAGCTGGCTCGCTCACGAAGCGGACAAGCAAGCACTCATTACAGGCAGTACCAGCAGGACACAATATATAAAGCACACAATTTGTCACGTGGTGAGGGACACAAGATTCTCTCCGCCTCCACGTCACATTGTTTAGTCTGCCACTTCTTGACATCTGAGAAAAAATGGCCACTTTTAGGGTTTTCGAGGGCAAGCTTGCCATTATCACTGGTGCTTCGCGAAGTATGTGTTTTCAAACTTTTCAAGCCGTCTTCAGACAGTCTTTTCTTCATAGCAAGAGTGCACGGGCTTGAGATCGTAGTAGACTGACCAGTTTATAAAGGCTTCGGCGCCGTTCTTGCCGAACACTTTGCTAGTAGAGGTGCGAACGTTGTCATCAACTACGCCACTGGAGGCTCAACACCAAAGGCTCAAGCCTTGGCCAAGGATTTTGAATCCAAGTACAATATCAAGGCTCTTCCTGTTCAGGCTGATCTGAGCAAGCCGGAGGCGCCTCAGCGGCTTGTTGACGCCGCCAAGGCACACTTCACCGATGCCAGCGGCCACTTCCAGATCGACATTATCGTCAACAATGCTGCTACTGTGAACGCTCAGGGTATTGATCAGTTGGACCTCGATCTCTTCGACGAGACGTTCAACCTGAACTGCAAGGCTCCTGCTCTGCTTGTCAAGGCTGCTTTCCCTTACCTGCCCACGGATCGCTCCGGTCGCATTGTCAACATCTCCAGCGCAACCACTACTTGGGGCGTCTGGTGGCAAACATCTTACGCCGGCACCAAGGGTGCTATTGAGGCTATGACCCGTGTCTGGGCCCGTGAGCTGGCTGAGAGAGCCACCGTCAATGCCGTTGCTCCTGGACCGATGGACACTGGTCTCTACTCTGGACTGCCCGACGAGCCCCGCGAGGCTCTTCGCCCGTTGAACAATCTGACGCCTCTTGCCAAGGCCAGACCTGGTGTCGATAGCCAGGAGGTCCTCGACTTGGCGACAAGTATCGGCGGTCGTCCTGGTTACTTGGAGGAGGTTGCTGGAGTGGTTGGGGTTGTCTGCTTGCCTGAGAGTGGGTGGATGACTGGAAACCTTGTGGGGGCCAGCGGAGGAGGTGCTTTTGTTCGTTAAGCGGTGTCAATTACATATTAGACAGACAATACTGGTGTTTAGAGCGATGGTTTTCTCTTATGAGCTCAGACAGGTGAATAGATAAAGGTCATTAAAGACATGGGCGCAAACAGGCTGGCAGATCCCCCTGAGAACAAGCAAATGCTGACCAACGGGTAAGGTTTATCACTTGAACGTGCTGCGACCTAATAGGACGGTTAGTGACTGGCTACATAAAGAACGACGCCGGCGTAGCCAGTGTTAGGTTGGCCTGCCTTCCGTATGAGGGACAGCACTATGCCTTGGCCAAGCTAAGAACAAGGCATAGACAGAGAAGAGAACGGTGGAGGTTTTTACGTGACGCGAAGAAGATTATCAATGGGAGGGTGGAATGATCCTAATTCGAGACAGACGATTTTTGCTTCCAGGTTGACATTGCTCATGTTCATCAATATTCCGCAAGGTTGTTTGGCTTCTGACTTCCGCTGGCTTGCTTTGCTTTACTATGATTACGAATATAGCCTCCGGCTAAGGTTTATTATGGGTCATAAATCTGGGACTATATGTATATCGATGTCTTTCTAAACTCGGAGTTAAGCGGAAAGTTAAATAAGTTGTCTCAAGGGAGTCTGGCTCAGTCCACCGACACAGTTCCTATCCTCAGCAGATTCACCCACCCGATTCAAGAAATATGTAGCTCGTTATCCTACGGAGATGCCATTCAAAAGTTCTTGACACAGTCACCCTGGCAGAGTGCGCCTCTGTCAGAGGGGGTAAGACTGTAGGCTAACCGGGTAAGTACACGGGTTAGGCATATTAATCGTAAAAGTAACGTAATATATATATCTTTTTTATTATCCTTCTGAATGGAGGGACACGGCGAGCCCGTTTGAATACACGGGGTCGCCTCAAACACGTGACTGAACTACCAAATGACTATAGGGAAATGTCACAGTTCTAGCTAAGGCTGTTTAAATAATCCCGACTCTAGTAACATCTTTTCATTCATAACGAGAAAGAGAAAAATAGACGTTTTCAAAAGAACTTCCTTAAAGGGTATATAAGAGAGTATTTTAGTTTATAAAGTAGACCTGTATACTAATGTTCTTAACCAGGTGATATTCCTTATCTTTTTCTTGGCACGCTAGCCAAACCTTTTGAACGGCACCTCCGTACCTATATAAGCAATACCAGCACAACCAGGCATACCAATAATATGGGCTTACGTCCCCTTTTGCGCTTTGACAGGTTTTGTACCCTTTTTAGAAACTTTTAAACAGCGCCTCCGTAATTAGACAGCCTTTCGTCAACGATAAAACAAGGCGGTTATACTGCAGCGCCACAATTGCACGGAGCAGAATCGGGTTGCCCGATTAGTCACTAACATCTGCTCTCCCCTATAAATATTTATCACCCAGCATCTTTCCTCGCCTCACTGAACCTCATCTCGTTGGTCACGCCTACAATTGTCACCTCATCACCTGCCTACACTATGCATAGTAGCAAGCTGTTGATAGCAATTCTGCTGCCCTTTATGTACTTTGCATGGAAGCCCTGCTCACTTTTTGAATCTCACTTACTGTTATTAGGGCTGATGCGCGTACTCACGCAGCATGCTATTGCAATATCGGCTTCAATGATACGTGCCAACAGACCGCATGCGATGCCTACAGTGACAGTCATCAATTCTTCAATATTCCCGCCGATTACGTTGTAGGTAACGCAGTATCAAAGTGGGAAAATGATGTATGTCAGTCCTGTGCCCCTTGTATCTTACAGTGAAGACTTACCCTATGGATTAAATCAGAGGTGTAAATCAAAACTCATTGATTACCATTACTTTTATGGCATTGGAGGCAAGGAATGGGAAGAGCAGTGCCAGGCTTCATGCCACACTGGCTCGACATGCGATGATCTAGCTTCGCATGAAGATTGATGACTTGATAGGTCTCTGGGAAAAGTTTGATGCTGCGGCCAATTACCTGACTATGAGATTTCGGGTAGCAGAAGCTGAGGTTGCTTCCAAGAAACTAGTGAACAGTGATCTGGGGCGCTGTAAGCGTTATGAGGGTTCTCATCGTACAATCCGAGGTTAAGCTTCTTGGAGTTAGTCGGAGACTTATAGTTATTATATGAGTAGTAAAAAGACGTTTTTTACCAAAAGATTATAGTGTATTCGATTACTAAAACTTGTCAAGGAAAAGTAGTACTGTTAGTGTAAAAAAGGGGGCGAAACTCTCATCCCTTAATTTAAACATTTTCTTACATTAAGAAATTAGAGTTTAAGAGTACCGAAGCGTTCCCATTTAGCCAAGAGTACGAACTAAACAGATTGAGAAGAAACATTCCGAACTGGCCCAAAGACTATACGTTCTTTCAATCGACTTATTTGGGACCTTGCCGAATGCCAGTCGTAATCCGATCTGTCTCTAGAGCAAATTTGTGACGTTCGTATACCGGCTGCTAACGCTGAATCCGCCCACATTTACACCTGGAATCCAAAAGTTTTATTTCAAGAAACCTCTGATGGATATAATGGTACCCTTGTAGGCTCACAAAATCTAGTTTAGAAACCATTGATCATCACCAGGAGATTGACGGGACTTGGTGTTCAAGAGCAGATGTTCCTGT